GAGCCGGTACTTTGCACGAGTAGGCCGCCGTGTCCTGTGGCCATGTGAAATTTCGAAAGGGGAAAAAATTACCGCAGCTTCTAATTTAATACAACGGAGCGATACTGAGTTACTGTACAAACACGCACGTTCGAGCTGAAAAGGTACGGTGAAAAAAATAAGCACGCCAGTGAATTGTCAAAGAAATGGCGCGACCTTTACCCAGCGTCAAACTCGGAAGTTCTCTCTCGAGGCTGTGTCAACAAAGCAGCGGCGTACGAGACTTGCAATGCGTGCATTTCAGTGTTCACGAACTTATCGTGCTCGGCAAGCAGGGGCTATCCACTATTGGATGAAGGCCTCCACCTCATCGTCATCCACATCATTGGACACCACGGTAGCGAGATGTTAACTTCCTTACCTGGTATACAGGAGGTCGTGGGTTTGATCTCGGCCCTGACGCCTATATATTTGGAGGTTACATATTCTCCCTGTCGTCGTGTGGATTTTTCTCCGGGTCCTCCGGTTTTTCCCTCCACATTTTGAAACATGCGTTTAGAGTATTTGGCTACTGCTATAAATTTGCACATGAAAAGCCACTTCTCGTTGGCCTATCATAGGTGGATAGCTCAGTGGTCTGTAACCTGGTAAAATAAAAAGTTTAGTTTCCTCCCTCTGTCGGTCAGTGGTATTTCTAAGCGAGCTTCTCTTAATGCAGAATAATACATTAAAAACATTAGAGGGCAAGCAAACCACACGAGCAAAGGTGGGCTTCGAAAACATTTCTGTACCAATGACCACACACATACTATCAATCAGATTCAGAAAAATACTCATGAATACCAAATACCATTGCCGTACCTATATAGACTTTCGAAAAGGCATTGACAAAGTGTAAATAAACGCAGTCATTCAAGCTCTCACAAACCAAGGTCTAAATAATATATATTAAGAATTCACGTGAACCATTTACAAAAACGAGCTACACTGGGATTACATTAAATACCAAAATACATCTTAGACCGGAAATCAGACAAGGAGACCCCGCTTTGTTCAAGTTATTCACTGCGATGTTAGAAGATTTTTCCAACCAGTAGGTTGGAAAAAAAGAAATATCAACACAAATGGGAAAAAAACATCTTGAAGTTGTTGATGACAGCCACCATAATCTCAAATGGAAAGAAACTAGAGGAAATGATAGCACACTTTCATGACGGAGGCTGGAAAGTTGGGCTCAACATAAACGTAAGCCAAAAACACACAAGGCCACGTACAACAAGTTCACTCAAACAATTGGAGATGGCCCGTTGGAGGGACACGGCTGTAAAACGCATCAGAGTTAACGGAGGACACTCGCCAGAAAAGTAAACTTCGTCCAAAGTGAAAAGTCGACAAAGATGCCCTCGCTTCCCAGGGAAGGCACTCGATCCCCGGCTGGCTGAGAGCGACAGTCGCAGTGACAACTGCTGCCTGCAGGTTCCACGTGCACACCGGGTGTTTAATGGTCCTTGAAAATGTGCTGCTTTCAAGTGACATTTAAGATTAACGACTAATTTGTTGTGAACGTTTTTAATTCTGACGAAGGAAGGAAAAGCATGCACGCAAGGGCACATTATTTTCGGTCGGCCAAAAAAACTAATTTTTTATCGCCGCACGATATTTTTCTGACAGTAAATTACTGTGACTGGGTCAGAGGTCACCTGGCGTTATATGTGGTGTGGCCTAATTGGTGTTCAATACGTACTGCGAGAGGCTGTTTCACCAGACGGGCCAGGGAGAGCGAGACAACAGCCTTGTCAGCGGGTACATAAATTACGTCAGGCGCTGCTGACCACACTTAATAAACTTCCAAGACTCCGCTGCGCAAATTACTTCCTACGCTCTTCCCCACTCGCAAAGTTGAAGCGCTCGTCACAAAATTAGTTGGGGGGGGGGTGGGTTACGAGCAGGAAAATACTCTGAGATTTGAAAATGCCACGTGTCTATTTAAATTGTGTTAAAAGTTAAATGGAAACTGAGGAGTAATTATAATGAGCTCCGTGTTTGACCCAAAAAAGTCCACACAACAATTCTCATAATTGCTCCCTCTTCCATTCCCTGACAAGGGCTTGCCAAGGTAGGCGGACAGAGCCGGGCGGCGGTGGTGACTGCACGTCTGTAATCCAGCACCCCTTCTGTACGATAGAGTGTTGCCCCCCACCCTTGCACGAGGGGTATTGTAACCGTGCGCTCTGCTTTCCACCCACACATGTAACACTTAATACATATGCACATCCGTGTATGTGGATTGCGCAGCAGTGGGTGTGAGATGCAGTTTGCAGGGATGGACGCTCTATAAAACAGCACAAATAAGGTGTGGGGTGTGGTGCGTGAATAGAACGGTTGATGGACAGTTAAAGTGACGTGTCTAGGCCGCTGTTCCGACACCGCAGCTTGCAGGTCAATGTTACAGCGCGTGCCGAGGGGCCAGCAACCTGGCGTCACGGCACGAGCTCGTCCGCTAAGCGCCTGGGCATGAAATAATCAGCGCTCGCTCGTAAGGAGAAATTCCGGAGCGCTAGGCTTGGCAAACCACCGGGGGGGGTGGGTGGGGGGGGGGCCTTCACCTTAGAAATAACTCCACACTGAACGGTGATTCAATAAGGTCAAGGGTCACCCCTGACCGTAAAATAAAGAACGCTCCAAACTACGCTCCCTCGGGCCCATTAAAATCGCACTCAGATTAGCGCGTGGCTTCATTTTTTTGTTGTTGTTGTTGCCACTCGTCGTGCGAGGCCGATGTGCAACGTGGAGGGGGAGGTTCCGTCACTGTTAATGCGCTCGCAGTGCGGGGAAGGGGGGGTTGCAAAATGAGCTTGTATAAACCTTCGAGATACGTTAATTTATCAAAATGCATCTCATAAATCCGAGGCGTGACCTGAATAATGGCAGCGGTGTTTTCCGGGTGGCTGCCACTACCCACGAATAAGTGGCTGAACGCAAACGAAGATGAATGGGGGGAAATTGTCCCGAGTGCGGAATAGGCTGCAGCATAAGACAGCTGCGCCTCCTAGTGGCCAGGGCCTGTCATTTGCATCGTTCGTTTGAAAGCAGCTTTTTTGTCCGAACTCTTGCTATGAAGAAGGACCATTGCCTGAAACGTCATACATTATACAGGCTGTTTTTCATTTTAGGGCAACGTTATTGACGAATGTGTTGAGTTTTAGAAATGTGTGCTTTTGCACCAACGCCAACACGGGATCACAATGTTTTGCTTTCTATTTATGCATGTTGAACGTCTTTCGCATCGTACGTAGTCAACCGTGCTAATCGAAGGTGCGAGTAGGTTAGAACATCTGGGATGCTGCGGAGGTAAATAGACCTCAAAATAAGTTGTCCCCAGATTGTCACAAACCTTGTATGAGGTGTGTCTAGTTGCATCGCAGACCTCTCCCCGCTCCCAATGCTTCAAAGAAGCATGTCGACGTACAACTACCCACAAATCCTTAGGACTCTATGAATATATTCTGACGCAAGACAGCTGCATTCACCTATTTCAGGAGTTGCATTGTAAATGATGAACTAATGCGAGGTTATTAGCCTCACCTTCGTAGCAAGCGCCTTCCTCTCAGTGTCAACGCCACTCCCACCGATTCATTCAACGCAAGTAGAACCAAGCTTCAGCGCCCAAACATGCAGAGCCAGATAGGACGCCGCGGTGACAAGATGTTAGCTACCTCGCCTGGTATACAGGAGGTCGTGGGTTCGATCTCGGCCCCGACGCCTGTATATTTGGAGTTCGCATGTTCTCCCCGTGGTAGCGTGGATTTTTCTCCGGGTCCTCCATTTTTTCCCCTCCACATTTAGAAGCATACGTTGAGAGTATTTGGCTGCTAGAAGTTTCCACATGATGATAAGCCACTTCGTTGAGCTATCATTTGTGGCCAGGACATTTCTGAGAAAGAGCTATATAGCTCAGTTGGCCTTACTTGGTAAATAAAATCGTTTTTGGTTCTAGTTTTAATAGAACAAGGGCCTTGCCAATGTGCACGAGATACATAAGTTATCCGTATATGGAAAGGCTTGTGAGGAATCGGCGGTGAGGCCGCAAGGAAATGAATGAGTGAAACTAACAAGCTCTACAGTGATGACGCATGTCTGGGACATCTATCACAACAATGATGACAGTGTATATGAGAATGGCAATGATGATGGAGGTCAGTGTTGGTGCTTGGAGCTGCTCCCATTGTCTGGAATTCCCTTCCTCTGAAACTAAAAACTAGAACTATTTTTTATTTTGGCAGGTGTGGCCCACGAAGCTATACAGCTCTTTTTCAGAAGCGACCTGGCCACAAATGATAGCTCAACAAAGTGGCTTGTCACGTGGAAATACTCTCAAAGCATGTTTCTAAATGTGGAGGGAATAACTGGAGGGCCCGGAGAATAATCCACACGACCACGGGGAGAACACGCAAACTTCAAAAATAAAGGCGTCAGGGTCAGGATCAAACTCACGACCTCCTGTATACAAGGCGAGGTAGTTAATATCTCTCCACCGTGGCATCCCAACTGCATTGTCTGAGACCCTTCTGCTTTTAAGTTTCCATATCATGTTCTCTTTTGTATATAACTGTATCTCATGCGTACTTTTATAATATTGTCTTAATGCCCTCTGGCCTGTACGATTCTACCTATATATCCCGGCACTAAAATGCATACCCAAAACCACTTCTCTTGAAACTCTCCAGAAGCACGCGTTCCATCCTATTTGTACAGCGTCTTGAAATGCGGTCGCAATCAGATGCTTTTTCAATCCAAATCATGTTTTACTGCATCATACTTGGCAACCCTTTAGCCGCAGACTGATTTTCAAAGAAAATATAGCATGATAAAAACGTGTCTTGTCCTAACAAAACTTATATAAAGCGATATTATTAGCTTTGAAAATCGATACGCAGTAAAAAGTTTAGGAAGATAGGCAACCTATCACTTAAATTAGTAGGGTTTGCGAGTATGCTGCATCGCTTAAGTGCAGGCCTCACCGGCTTTGGGTGCAGGCTGTGGGCGCCCTCCAGGCTGGGTCCTGGGCCTCCTCTTGTCACGCGGAATGGGTACGGGGGCCCATGGCCTGGGTGCCGGCGTGTCCAGCACACCGCCCATGGCACCCCTCGCACCGCTGTCCCCACCGCCACCGGCACGCGCAGCTGCAGGCCGAGAAACAACCACACACAGTGAGAAAAACAATCACTTTGCCCAGAGGCAAATTGTCTAAATTAGAAATACAGCTACGCATAATCGTTAATACCTTGATATTGAATGTATTCCGCTTGTGTTAAATTTGTGAATTTCCAACTGCACGTCGGGCACAATAATGTCAAAACCACAATTTGTATTAAAAAATTCCTACTCTATATACGTGTGTGTGTCTCCGAGGCCCAACTAAAATCAATGATGAATGTGGTCAGGGTTTTTTATGGAAGTGAAAACCTGTTCACGCTCAGGCATTTGTGAGAACACGTGGCAGTATTCGTTTACTTGTGCTATAACTGGAGGAATGGTTAATATTATGCGTGTGTAGGTCTCACGTAAAATATGTGCGTGTTAATTGTCACTTCATCACCAACACCATTCCCACCAGCCATTCTCAATGCACTGCTGGATGAGGGACTGCCAGGCTGTCGCTACCAACTCTTAACCCTTGGACCGATTTCACCATCCACCTGCCTCTGTGCTCATCTCCTCTGGCATTAAAAATAGGCAACAACTCACATGACCTTCACATTTTATGACAGCATCAGGGGTCAGTGACAGACAGATGAAGGCAAGGGCAGGCATCACAAGCCTCACAGAAATTATGAAGATGTTTTTTTTCAATGCTAAACAATCAGCATGCACTACTCGCACTACGAAATGTAAGTTACTATTCAACAGAGTTGTCCTTACTCGAGACATAATGAATCTCGGCGAATGGTCCAACGGTTGCCTGGGATGAAAGGAACTGAATTATTGCTTTAAAGATACAACCCCAAAGAACAAATGGTGTTTTTTATTGTAGATATGCGGCAAGGTAGGGTGCCCAGCAGGAGCTGAGATTTGTTCAGGAGGAAAAAAATAAGATTCGAAAATTAGGGTCCGGAAAATCACGATGGCGCTCTAGTGACATTGTGTAACCCCATGTCCTTTGTAATGATTCAACTGGCACCTTTGATAAACTCGCAAATTATTCAATTGGGTAAAAATTACGTCGCGACATCGCCCCCCTACTGGCAGACCATACTGATCTGTGAAACAGCTAAATCACGTTGTACCATAAGAATGGCGCGAATATCAAACGTACCCAGGATTTATATTCTTTGGGCCTTTTGGTAAATTCACGTTGATAGGTTCAAATTAATACAAATACAATTATACATTTTTCATAAAAAATGAATATTTTATTTTTTATTAATTTGAACCTATCTACGTGAATTTGAACCTATCTACGTGAATTTTTTTTTTACAAATAATTTTTTTTAAAATTCATAAAAATTAATATTTATTTTTTATTAATTTGAACCTATCTACGTGAAACACCCAAAGAATATTAATTCCTGCAGTCATGAAAGCTTTAAGTCAAGATGTACCCATGATTTGATTGTGATTTGAATATTTGGTCTGTATTCCCACTAAATAAAGCCGAAACTCATGTCGGAAAGTCCATCACACATACCCAAGATCAGAGCAATATGCACTCAATTAAAGGAAGAAGCATCCTTTGACAGAAGTTAATTTATAGAATGCAACTGAACTTATTTTATCTTATTTCTACAGAGTGCCTTCACTCAAGGCGCTTTTAAATCTGGTGCACCTCCCTTCAAGTGAAGTGGAGTGAAATGATTTAACTCTTATGTGTGGTCCACAAAGCGTGCGGGGGGTTAGCCCGTCTTGGCCCTGGCCCGTGTCTGCTAGTCGGCCACCGTGCCCACCGGGTAGCCTGGCAGGGCCCACTGCGGCGCGGTCGCCCGAGGCCGACGGGTCGTCGTCGTCGGCGAGCGCCGGCCCGGCCTCGTCGCGTGGGGCCCGCGCGCCGCCGACGGGCGGCCGTGTCGGCCGTGTCGGCCCCACAGGCCCCGACGGCGGAGCGCGGGAGCAGAGGTCGGCATTCTCGGCGGGCGTCCCGGACGTCAACGGGGCGCCCGCGCGTTTCGCTGGGGGGCCCGCGTGGCCGCTCGGGGGGCCACTGTTGGCCACCGGCCAATAGGCGGCGCTCTCCGGCACGGCAGGCGGGGCCAGGGCGCGGCCCAGCAGGCGAGTCTGCAGGACAGAGAGACATTTGAGGTCAGAGCTATTTTTCGCGGAAAATGAAACTGCGAGTGGAAACGTCTTCCGAGCTTGATGAGGGTCTGCCGCTGAAATCATGCCTTCTGTAAATGTCTCTTTTCATGTGTGCAGTAATACCCTGTTCCCAATATTTATTTATTATTTTACTTGAGCTTACAGTATAATGAGCCAAACTGTCTTTTTCTTTGGAAACATCTGGAAATGATATACATTTTATTCTTTGTGGTTTGAGCTGCGTTTCATCCTTTATTTTTTCATCTAACAGCATGTGATGTTTGAATGATGTCAACTCCACTGGAAAATTGCTGTCTCTAGGGGTCCACCTTGTCAATGAGGCACTTTCACCGCAATGGTAATTCAGTATCCTGGGCAATAGCGCTTTTGAATAACCCAACTAATTCTGGTGATATAGCAACGCAAATAAATACGCAATATAAATTGATGTGCGCATTAACGCTATTTATACGGCACGCTTTTACTGCCAACACCATTTTCACTTCGAGTTAATGCACAAAACGCACGCTTGGGCACAAGTCAAAGCCGTTGCTGTTTTTTCCCTACACGTTATTATCCTCGGCTCAATTCCAGCCCCCCCGCCCCCCCCCCCCCCCCCACCAGATTCACAATTTTTTAAGGACAATTTTTAGAAAAGGTTCTATTTAAAGTTTCAACCCAACACCACACAGCAACGCGCGCAGCGGCGATGCCAAAATCGGCACGGCGCGAGAGCCGCGCGCGGGTGCGTGGGGCGCGCGCGTGCGGCGGCTCTCAAATTACCGCCCAGGTTCAAACCGGTCGACGAGCGCGCTCGCCAAAACGCCAATCACCGCAAACTGAAAGCGACGTCCCGGGGCAGACGTCTGCGCCGGGGAGATGGGAGTTGCGCGGCTCCAACCGCCGCCACCGTTTTGTTACAAGAGCTGGGTCCCCCCCCCTACCCTACCTCCCCCCAGCACACCCCCCCCCCCACCACCACAACCGCCCCTAAACTCGACATCGTTGCTGCAACCAATTTGCAGGGTAGGGTCACGCGAGGACAACGCGGCTTCTCGCTCGAGGCTTGCTGCGGCATGCGCAGCTGCCTCACGTTTCACCCCCTGCACCCGCCCCCCACCACCCACTGCCGTTCCTCCCCCACCATAGGCCGTGAGCTGCCGACGGGGGAGCAGAGCGCTGCTAATTTAGCGGTGGGACCGGCCCGGGCCCGATACGTAATACCAATGCCAATCAAGGCGCTCGCCCCAGCAACGGTGACCTCTCGACACAGGACCGCCGCTTCTTTTAGCGCAGCGCCAACACGCTTCTGATGAATGAACAAAGCTGTCATTTTTAAGTAAATGGGTTGATGGTTACAATAATTCAAACACTGCACTGTGTGTGTGTACAGCGTTTGTGTGTGTGTATAAAAAATATTTAATTCACTAGTGGCTTAATTAAACGAGGCACCCGGTTTCCTCTGCACACAAACACTCAAAAGAGGAATTGGTCTAACATCCCAATCAGCGCATTCATGAAATGAGTACCCAGCGAGACGATGAATTGTAAAATATTTATGCCATACATAAATATTCCCATCAGGGAAGGTTAAGGCGTGTAAAGTAAACATGGCTTACAGATGAAGCACAACTTAATGGATGCCGATATTTAGCGACGTCTACCTTGCAATTAAATGTATGCAGTGGGTTAATTCCTGGAAACATAAAGGAATGAACGTGAATAGAATGCATTCACAGCTAGAAATGCCACGTTATTTTAGACTCCACACAATGAACACATGGTAGGATAACCTTTTCCATACATAATGACTGTATAAGAAATGGGCATGAGCAGGACACACCTTTAGAAGGAACAATGGCCAATGGACGAGCCTGGTGATGGAATGGCAGCCCAAGGACTGAGCGTGCCCGAGAGGAAGGCCGACACAGAAATGGAGTGCTGCGATCCGCTCATGCACAGGAACGAGATTGTGGCATTGCAGGCCCATGTAGGACGGTGATGGCAAAGAGAGGGCCTTCATCAAGCAGTGAATAGATTCACAGCTGATGAGGACTATAAAGGTAAACACAGATCGCAATGCTAAAAACATTGTAGATCTTGCAAAACGGAACAATAAGCAGCGTCCCCAGGGCTTCTTTCGCAGCGCGAGTTTTAAACTCGTGTTGCATTTTTTTTACAGCGTGCACAACGCTGACACCACGGCTTGTCAAGGCACAGAATGCTCGATTTCACAACCGTCTGGGCATGAAACGTGCATCCATCACGTGCAACACGCCTCCCGCGTGCCACTATATTTCACGTCAAGAGTCTGTCACCATCTGTCAAATTGACAAATTAAAATCCTCGCCAGCATCTCCCCTCCGCTCTCTCATTCGTTTATTTCCTTTGTTCTTAAACTGAAACTCAAATTCAACGTCCCGTGGGATCAGAAAATGCATCTGTTCCTATCGAGGAAGAAATATCTCCTCGGTGCATAAAAAAAAAACTTGAGTTCAGGAGTGAACTGAAATGCCCTGCACTTGTAATCCGACTGTGGGTAAAGGTCGTTCAGTGGCTCAGAGACCTAATGTCCACATCGTGGTACTGACCCAGCAGCTCCGAGATCCTGCGCTCACAGGGATAATGGGATATAAACAATATTCTCACTGTACAATGCTATACAATGTTGGGCGGAGCAATGGTGCAGTGGTTCGCACAGCGCACGCTGTGAGCCCGGCGACGCAAGTTTGAATCCCAGCCACGGCTAACGTAAGTGGCGAGAGATATCTGAATCTTGCTCATCCCCATCTCCACACCAACCCACAATGCCCAGCGAGGTGAGGCTTGGTCAAACCCCCATGACTCAGACGGCTTGGGGAGGCTTTCATCCAGCAGTGCATTCACAGACGGCTGATAATTACGATTGTATTTGACAGTGAGCACAGTTAGCGATGACTGCACAACAAAACTCATCATGAAGCGTATTTCTTTGACTGATATTAGCACCACAATTAGCATGTGAATTATAAAGTAAATATTGCAAACATTGTTGCATCATTGTTGTTATGTTCGTGGGTAGGTCAGTCAAATACTACTTAACATTCTAAAATCGTATGCGACTGCTAGAACCAGGACTGCTTTTGTAAATCGCATTTGCATTTCAGCTGCGCAGCCTGGCAAACGACACAAGTAATTATCGACAGGGTAATCACCACCACTCAGCAGGTTTGGCTCACAGGGTGGAGTCATATAACACTCCAGCATAAACCTACAGTATATATGCAGACTAGACAGCCTCGCAGCCGACACGCTGACATGTGTCGAGGAATCGCGGATCATATCCCACGAATGTCAGGACTGGTACGACTCATGATCAACGCACACCACCTGCTGAAAAATGAATAGAAATCTGGAATCTTGCAAACCACTCATTTGTTTGTGTGGCTAAAGAGCGCCATCTGTATTTTGTGGTAAGAGAGACAGACCCTCAAAGGATGCCAAGCACATCCCTGCCGTGTCTGTCACTTCCAGGTTATTGTACAGTGACACGTGATTCTTTTGTGTGGGGGGGGACTGAAATGGAAAAATAAAATGCTACGTACGCATATACCGACAGCACGATTGTAAATTACATGAGTAGCATGAAAGTCTTCAAAATAAAAACGATAACCGATTTTTTAAAATAACATTAGTGAGTCAACAGGTCACCTCACTGACAGTCACTGCTGACCTGTAACTCAACGTGCTGCTGGTGCTGCTTCTCCAGTCCAGAGATGCGCTGCACAAGCTGCTCCTGCAGCTGCTCCTGTAGCCGCAGCACTCGCTGCTGCTGCTGCTGCTGTTGCTGCTGCTGCTCGTCCTCCTCTGGACGCCGCCTGATCAGGTCCGGCCCCACGTCCCGCTCTCGCGCCCGCGCCAACTCCCGTGCCAGACCGGACACCAACTCCGTCACGCCAGCCACCTTCACCTCCAGGTCACTCTGAGCCTGGCCAACACACCGGTGCACACGGATGTCGGGCACCACTTTATCAGACGGAAACATTCCGTCATGCAATGCCTGCAGACGGCCTGGTGAAATTGTGCTGGATACCTGGGCACAATAACCAAGAAATGGGGGGGGTACTACTGTCTTTATTTTTTTGCTGTTGTATGTATGTATGCTGTACTTCTTTTTCACAATAACGTAGTCAACCGTGCAAATCGGAAAGTGCTTTTCGTTTCACACCAAATTTTGTAATCACTTCCACAAGCCTCTTTTGAATCAAACGAGAGAAAACACCTTTTACCTGCCCCACAGAGAACGGTCATTGTATTTTGATTACATTCTCAGAGTTTAAATATGCTGAATTCAGTGAAAGACCAAATATTATATCACGCCTTGTATTTTTTTTTTAACAATGGATGGGAAACGTTGGTTCTCAATGGTGCTCAATGCTCTGCCATGACACGAGCCATCTGAGCCACCTGAACCAAATCCTGGCAAGCTGCCACTTGAGTGTTGAACGTACTGACCACCCACACACCTGGCCACTTTCAACGGCACCTTACCGGTACAATATTTTACAACGATCGCAGGCGCGCGGTGCCGTCGGGCGCTGACCTTGAGCACGGGAGCAGCAGCGGCGAGGGCCGCGGCCGTGGCAGCAGCCGCCGAAGCGGCCGTGATGGCGGCGGCCTCCTGGTGCTGCTGCCGCTCCTGAGCGGCAGCGTCGCTCACGGCGGCCGGAGCCGACGCAAACGAGTCCAGTAGACGGACGCGCACCTTCCTGCGTGCGCCACCGGCTGGCGCACGCCTACACCACGGCGCGGGGGGAGAGCAGAGAGACACGAGATGCCTTCACCGGAACACTCAAGACAACCGCCACAAACGCAGCTGACTCAGGACAGAGTAGGCCTGGAACTCGGCTAATCTGGAAAAGACTCGGAACAGATGTTTGTTGCGTATTTACGTATGCCACATTCTTGAGCCCAACCGGGACACGTGGCAAACTGGTAGTCCTTCCCTCCATCAGCTCTGCCAACCTTAACATAACCATACCCACTCAATCACCACAATACTGCTCATAGGTCCTTTTGCCAAGCTGGTCCACTACTTATATAGCTTCTCCCTTTGCCCACATCGTGCTTTGAGTATGAGGACAGAGAGCTCGTGATGAAAGCCAGATTTTTTGTGAATTCTTCAGAGCGCCCGGACACCCTTTCTGAAAACAGGACTCTGGGAGCTTTATCTAAATAATCAATGGTCGACAGTATGCATACATAACAATCACATATGGATTTCATGCTTCACTCACCTCTGACCGATGATTGTTCTTGCAGCTTGTTTCTCACCAGCAACATGGCGAGACACGACGATGCTGTCATCTACACAGAGAACATAATCACCATCATTATAATCACCACCATCCCCTTTCAATCCACCACTGGGTGAATTCGATCTCCATACGGACATCTCCCTTCCACTGTCTTCTGCCGCTGTGATCCGCTTGTGCCCTGCATTTCATCTTTCAGTGAGTAATCCCCCATCATGAGTGTTTCCTCTATTGATGGTCACCCCTTTGGCAGTTTTGTTTGATTTTATGTAATGTTTGAGATGCTGATTTTATCACACGTGTTGTCTCCACGCGCCTTCGATCAAATCCAATACACAACAGTTTAACGTGCATCATACTCATTATTCATGTTTTGTACCATTCCCTGCGTCACGGACTTTGTACATTACAGCATACATCAGCTGAATTTTCCTCTTAATACGCAATGGCATTATACTTTGAATGACATAGCTTTTGTCTAAAGCGCTTCCTTCTGATTAGACTCTCTTCAACAATGCATCACCTTACTGTGCGAACGCTGTATTCTAATCCCGCTTAGACGAGCGGAGCTGCCCGAGCAGCCCGAGATATCGGTCGTGTGCGATTCTGCTAGAAATTACTTGGGATTGGAATAGGATGCTGTCTTGAACGATGGTCTCAGTTTAACTCTCACATCAAAGATAACACACAAACGTTAATTGTTAAAACACTAAGGCTCTTCGCACGAGAGGAAAGACTTAACATTCCCACTGGCTCTGGGAACAAGATAATTCGTCACTCATCGTTTTCACACTCATTTCATGTTGGCAAAATGGATTTGTAAAGGTTTTTTTTTTATTACAGGACTTATATGAAAACTTAAATGCATTACACCTTATTTTTTTTATTCATTTTAATTTCATTTCACATTCAGTGCTTTCAAGTAATCGTACATAAACGACAATAAATATAAATAATAATACATTTATTTAATGGAGGAAAGCCTCGCTGTATCTCAACTTTTTTTCAACAGGATCCTGGATTTAAATGCTCGGCTAATTCAATTAATAAGCGTTTGGCTTGTTGACAATCATTGTTCTGTACGTACAGATTTAACAATTAACTCCTGCAGTATCATCTGCTGGCTTCCTCATAGCCCAAGCCAACAACACTTAGGATTCCCATACGCTCCCTCCCTTCCAAGTCTTCACGATGCTCAACCCCGTTTAACTTTCAAGATCTGACAACAAGATTGGGTGCATTTAGTGTTCTTTGGTAATAGGCGCATTTTGAGCGATTTGGCCTTGTAGGCCTTAAAAGTAAGTCATTAGTGTCACAGCAATCTCCGAGCTCAAGCTACGTTGTTTGTGCCATCGCATGCACTCACCCGTGCAATATGACGCCGCATCCCAGTCCGTGTCTTTGCACGCTTCTCTTTGATCGTCGAGCGCATGAGAACGCTGCGGGCTGCCGGCACTCGAGCCCTGAGAAGCGCACAGGTCATCGTCATCGTGAGCCATGGTCACTGCACCGACAAGCACAAGTGCAAACCGACAAACAGGCATTGCCCTTGGCCAATCATCAGCATGCTAACATCTGAGCTCCACAGCCGCCAACTACACGTTTTCTCAAACACAGCCTTGTAGATACCCAGAAGGGCCATCAACTCTAGCGATCCTGACATAAGTGGATGCGGCGAAACACAGACCGTGGAACGTCTATTGGTCCGTCGACTAAAGATACCGGAGCTACGTCAGAATGAAACTCTGGGAACAGATTATAGAAAGGAGATTGAGGAAGCTGGTGAATATTGGCGAGTCAGTTTGGATTCAAACAGGGAAGGTCATCAATGGATGCGATCTTTGCACTGAGAGTATTGATGGAGAAGTTCAGAGAGAAGAAGCGGGCCCTGCATATGGTGCTTATTGATCTAGAGAAAGTGTATTATAGGGTGCCTCGAGAGCTCATCTGGTGGTGTACGAAAAGAAGAGGTATTCCTGAGGTATATGTCCAGCTGATCCAGGATATGTATGAAGGAGGGAAGATGCACGTGCGAAGCAGCTGTGCGGTGTCGGAGAGCTTTCAAGTCAAAGCGGGAGTGAAGCAAGTTCCGCCCTGAGCCCCTTCCTTTTCATCCTGGTGCAGGACACACAATAGATATTCAGAGGGAGCCCCCCTGGTGTATGCTGTTTGCAGACGACATTGTGCAGAGGGGCAGTGGAAGTTCATTTGAAGATCTGGGTGCAAAAGATTGAAGCGAATGAGTTGAGGATCAGTCGGATAAAGACTGAGTATATGGTGGCAAATTTCAGTGGAAATAATGCAGGAGGATTGCAAATTTGGAAGTGACCAGTCAATGAAGACGAACAAGTTTAAATATCTGGGTGCAACTATGTGTGCTGATGGAGCGCTAGAAGGAGAGATGAGAACAAGACAAAGGGCTGTATAACTGAAATGGCGAGAGATGACTGGTGTGGTGTGCGATAAGATGCTCCCAGTTTGGTTGAAGGGAAAAGTGTACAAGACGGTGGTGAGAGCGGGTGTTGTTGTATGGGCCGATTGCCGGGGCACAAGAAAGAGGGACCAAGCTATGGCAGTCACAGAGATGAGGATGTCACGGTGGATGTTGGATTTAAAAAGGAAGGACAGGGTGAGAAAAGAAGAAGTGAGAGGAAGACTCAAGGTGGTAGAAATCACAGAGAAGATGAGAGAGAAAAGACTGGTGTGGTTCGGTCATATGGAGAGACAACAGGAAAATCATGTGGGTTAGAAGGTGCAAGTGATGCAAGTGGAAGGAAAGAGATCAAGTTGAAGGCAGAAGAAGAGGTGGGGGGGGGCGGGCGATGTGGTGCGATCGGACACGGTGGCCCGAGGAGCGGAAAGAGAGATGGCGCAGGACAGGGCAGCGTGCAGAAGGTTGGCAAGGACAGTGGAACACCCCACATGAGTGGGACAAACGCGTGGAAGAAGAAGAAGCTACATCAGAATCTCAATATTTATTTAGACTGGAGGAGGAATCCAATGAGCTATAAAGCTCTTTTTCACAGATGTCCAGGATGTTCCCAATACTGGAAAAACTTAACTGTGGTGGCAGGACAGGAGAATAAGACATTTCTCCTGTCACACCACTCGGCCAATGGTAACGAGGAGCTAAACGACTTCGTCTTATCGCAACAAGTTGATTGAGCAGTGTAATGAGAGGATTTTAAATTAACATTCGTGTGCACATGCACGTGTGCGGTCCTTAATCAATCCACTGCTGGATGACGGCAGAACTTGACGGTTATTCGACCACGCCCCACCACGCTGGTCAGCATGAGTTGGTGAAGGCGGGGATCAGACATGACAGCATAGTAGAGTACAACAGACTTTGCTGCACAACCCTCTGCTGCCCACAATGTAGCCCCGCAACACACTTTATGCATTGCCTATCCAAACGCTATCCAGGCCGAAACCTGCTTATCTTCCGAGATCGGAGGAAATCAGTCGTCCGCACTCTGGATGGTTTGGTGATAATGTATGGAACAGAAGGCACAGTTATATTTTCCCATCCACTTACCCGAACTGATGGGGCAATAACGTCCACCCCCAGTTGTCCATTCACAGGCAGGTGCATCACATTTTCTTTGAACTCATCTTCATCCAACCCTCCAGGGTTAACTGCCATAAAAATACATTTAAAACATTATAGTGTATTGCAAATGTGTTAATTTAAACCATATAATTATTCATTCACCTAATGTTTAAGATGTTCTCTGGCCAGGTGGTTCAGTGGCAAGAGTTCAAATCCTGGTTGGGAGGAGGGGGGGTCAACAGTTATTGTCCTATGGATGGACTTGCCCCCACCACAGGAATGTGGAACTTGTGCCACTGGCTCAGGGCTGTGAACAGGAGAGCAGCACCGATGCAATGCTCATTTAAGCAATCACTTGTGACTTTTGTTAATTAAAGACAAAATTCGGCTTGCGAGAGCATGGAAATAATTCTACACCGAGCATCGTTACTTCTGACACCAGACCGATATTGATTAGCGGCATTCTCCCCAAGTATGCAAGTTACCATCTCTCACTGACCAATGATTGTCTTCTTGCAAACCAACACTATCCAAATTCTACTGACAGATATAAGCCACCTTTGTCTTAAGTGCACATTTGCATATGGCAGCTAGACTAGTAGCATACAAATATCAAAACTTCACAAGCTGGTGCAAAGCTGCTGAGACAGATGAAAGCCACATACCGGTGGTGACTGTCGTCTCCTTGCCACCATGCCCACACCGACTACCATGGGCCAAGATCACGTGCCCGTCCGCCGGCACACAGACAATTTCCCGCAGCGCATCGTTTCGCCGGCTGGCAGCGTGCGACACCTCTCGCCCAGCTCTTGCCGGCGGCGCCGCCGGCCCTGCCCGTGCCACCGCGGCGGTGGAGGTGCTGCGCGCCAGCACGCGGCTCGCCGTGGAGCTCTGCGAGCTCGAGCTGAATGCGTGGCTGCTGCGGCTGTCTCCTTCGATGGTCAGGATGGACGGCGAGGAGCAGCAGGGCAGGAGGGATTCGGCGGAGCGAGGAATCGCGCCCGCCGCCCGCAACGTAGCGGACGGCGGCTCGGACACTTGCGCCAGATCCATGCACGGTGGATGCGTGCTACGACGGCTGTCGAAGCAGGGCACAACAGGCAGAGAATAACAGCCGATACATACACACATAAGACAATCGTTACATTTGAGTAGAAGTAGGAGTTTATTTACTTGCAGATAAGAGCCTGTTGGAGGTGGATCAGCGGCACAATGATTACCGCACTGCACTATGAATCCAACGGCCTGAGTTAAATTTCCATTCACGTCAAGCACCAATGGCGAGTGCTATCTGAACTATTCATGAACCGCCCCTTTACCAACATGCACAGATTGGCAATCTCCATGACTGATCGAACATGGGGAGGGCTTCATTCAGAGGTGGACTGACGTAATGTACAGGGCTATGGTGGGACAAAGATGGATTAACATTGGAGGGAAATGATGAAGGATGGAAGACGATTTGAAGCTGGAAATAATGTACTGTAATCGTGGTTGTGTATGGAGACAGGGAAGTCAAGAGCAAGTGGTGGGTAGACAGGAGTGAAAAAAGGAGGAGCAAATTCAGACACCAGAATTCCATTCCTAATTTAATTAACATTTTCTGAGAAATAAGAGAGTTTTTCACACTTGGCAACTGGCGTGGTAGCGGAGAAAGAGGGGTACTGGAGATTCACGAGGAGGTTTGCGGTGCTGAAATTTATTTTAAGAGTTTCCAGCAACATTGGTGATCAAGCCAAGTACCGTGTCTTTCTGTGTGATCTAAATCACCTTGTCAAACCGTAGCACATCGTTATGTTGTTGATGATAATAGCCACGGTGCCCATGGTGATGATTACAATCACTGTAAGGATGACAGGTGATGATAACCATGATGATGACCAGTACTATATGTGATTGCATTCAAGTTTACCACACTCATATCACCTTAGTAATCAACAGCACTTTCGACGACAATAATCATGATGACAATGATCGTGGTGATGTAAAGATGTTTCTGGGATTGAAAATTCAGGTTTTGATGATGATGGTGGTGATGATCAATCTGATGATTGTCGTGATAATTGTGATGTTGGAAATATTCTGCTGCTGATAACGATGATAAATATCGTGTCGATGACACAATAATTGCAATACTCTTCATCGAGGCACGGCGTGCCATGCAGTGACATCGCGGACACCACTGAATGTGGATGCAGTATCGGCCCTAGCGGGGCTCGGGGACCACTGACTGACAGTGATAGAGGGCACCACGCTCTGCGTGCAGTGCCAGCCCCTACAGGATAGGGTGCGAGAGTGTCGGCCACGGAACGGGGTTGCAAGGGGCCATGGCACTCTGGTTGACCCCGGAGGACACGTGACCGGAAGGTGTCTATCCGGGGACCCCCAAAGGGGGGCTGGGTGACCACGTGTCCAGGTGGAGATCTTCCTCGAGGATTCCACAAGGGGGTCGTGGCCAGGGGTGGAGCGAGCCCCACCACAGGGATGGTATAAGCCGGGTCCCCCAGTGGGATCAGCGCTGTTGTGATCCTGAAGAAACCTTCATCTGCGTTCTACAGAAGTCTCCAACACGTGGACCTGGACCCAAGCTGTGGGCCGGTGCGTTATAGCCAGTTGCAGTGAGATTCGTGTAGTTAGCCTGGTGGTCCACAACCACAGCTTGTTAACTGGTTGAGGGGCAGTCACCCCTTTGTGTTGGTAATAAACACATTCCTGCGGAGGGAGCTGGTAGGAACGTTGGGTTGCTCGGTCAATGGCCAGGGTCAACGGCGGCGTGGTGTATTCCGCAAATATGCCCGACTGTGAGGGCGGGCACACGCCGGCGTGAGTAGGTTAAACGTTGAGTTTTATAAGGGCACCACGGGGTGACCAGCCCCTCCCCACCCAGCCCCACCCCTCCCATTTTTGATGCACGACGGACGGACACAATAATCCCCTTTGGGCTGGTGTAACCAGGAGGTTCCTACCAGTAATAATAATACTGTACACGTGTTGCCTCCACGAGTACGTCTGAGTCTCCGTTTGAGCCCACTACAATGGCAATGATGACGCTGAATATTACCGCTGACCATGGTAACGATGCCGAGTAAGATTACCACGAACAAGATCATAATGAATGAATAACCCTGGTGATGTTGGTAAAGATGATGATTGTGACTTGCAATAAAGAATGATGATTGTGACATGACCACCACCACCATCATCATCACATTTTCTACAGAGGTGGTGATGGTGATCAGCACCTCTGCTGTCGAGGTGCTGATCACGACCAGTGACTGATCATTGAATCGATAGCCCACAACGAACGTGTCCATACAACATGCAAACCAACCACAACCATGCCCGCCACCACAAAGACAAAGATCCCCCGTGTAGCCTTCACAGATTGTTGGGGCAAGTGCTGTTAGAGAGGGGGGTGGAGGTGGCCAGCACCACGACCGGCCGCCTTTGTCTCCCTTGTGGGAAAATGTACACATCGCACCAGGTACTCATTTGAGGCCGAGTCGACTTAGGCGGAGGCCCAGGACCGGCTGAGATCATCGTCACCGGTGTTGGTGGCTCCGAGCGGGAATTGAACTCGGGTCGCCGGGTTCGGAGGGCATTGCGGCGCTAACCGCTGCACCACCGCTCCCCTGCCCGCCACCACCATAACAACCACCACAACAACCACCACCACCACCACAAGAACCACCACCAACACAAGAACCACCACCATAACAACCAAAACAACAACCACCACCACAACAACCACCACCATAACAACCACAACAACCACCACAACAACCACCACCACAACAACCACCACAACAACCACCACCACAACAACCACCACAACAACAACAACCACCACCACAATCACCACCACCATAACAACAACCACCACCACAACAACCACCACCACACCGCCACTAAACATCACGACACCCGCGGTGACCACTCGGGAGCGACAGAACGCGCGGCGCCACCGACGAGCCGAGCCGGCGTAGGGGGCCCCACGGGCCCCCCCCCCACGGGGCTGCGTCCGGCATCGACCCCCCCACACAAACAACCCACAACCCCCCCCCCACACCCCCCCCCACATCCCCCCTCACACCCCCCACGAAACGCCCCGGCGGCCCCGAGGCGCGGGAGGGCGCACGAAGTTGTCTCGCTCACCACCCCCAGCAGCACCACCACCCCCATCATCATCATCAACAACAAAGTCCCCTCACCGGGCAGACCGTCGAGCGGTCTCGTCGGCTGCTCACGACGTCGAGGGGGGCGGTGGAGGCGGTGGAGGTGGCGGTCCTCGATGCCTGCCCCGTGTAGCCAGAGGCTGCCTCGGACACGAACACGACGAAGACGACGCGGGTCGCACTCCGCCTCCCTCGCCCCGGGGGCTCTCGGCGTGCCGACGACGACGACGGCGGCGGCGATGTCAGCTCAGAGGGATAAAAACCCTCGAGATTAACGACGAGCGGCTGGGTCCAACGATTTGATGATCGATAAACCGCGCGCGATGATGTTGTTGTTGTTGTTCGCGATTGTTTGTCGGCGGCTGTCCGAAAGACCGACGCGGGGTGTAAACGCCGCGTTCTTGTCGAGGTGCGTACGGCGTACAGCCGTTTAGCAAAACATCGACGGGAAAGATGAACTTGTATCCCCTTCAGCAGGCTGTGTTGCACCCGCCGTGTTTATAAACACGACTTAAATAGAACATCGCGTGCAATAGATTCCAAAGCTAAAATTTGCGTGGACCTGGAGGTAAAACCTCTGATCTGGTCACGCGGCCCCCTCCCCAAGCCCCCAAGCCCCTCCCCTCACTCCCCCAAGCCCCTCCCCTCACTCCCCCAAGCCCCTCCCCTCACTCCCCCAAGCCCCTCCCCTCACTCCCCCAAGCCCCGCCCCTCACTCCCCCAAGCCCCGCCCCTCACTCCCCGCCCCTACCCCGCGACCAACGGCTGGGATCGGAACCGAAAACACGGTGCACCGGGCGGTGCAGGTCGCAAAATATCGTTCCGGATACGTGACGTACACGGGTTTTTTCTTTGCAAGGAGGTCTTTCATCTTAATTACGGCGCGGAAAATTAAGAGGCATTATTGGTTTACATTTGCAAGGCGTGGCGGGTGAGAATAAATGTTAATAAACGCGCCCGCAGTGCGTGAGTTTATATCCTGTGGAGCCTAGCGACCGATTGTTGCCGCACGGGCACGGAAAGGGCACCCGCACTCGCGAATACGACATCCGCGAAATTTACGCCAATTTCGATTAAAAATTTTTTTTAAAGCAATTGTTTGCAAACAAGGCGAGGTTTTGTTTGCGCTAAAATAATACCGCGCTATTTAGTTTGTTGCCCCCAACGCATCTGTCGCCGTGCTTAATTGCAGCGCAGTTCGTGTTTATTTGTTGGTGGGGGCGGTCTCGCGGTGGCGAATCCGCGTGGCTGCGAATGAGTCGCCGGCGTCCGCCTTAGCGGAGGTCACGTGGTGACAACGTCCCCCCGCCCCCCCCCCCACTCTCACCACGGCCGCGTGTAGTTTTTATTCCGCGTCTTTGCGCGACTTGAACTCGACTGGAATTCACTTTTTTTTTTAGATTTTTCCTGCTGGGATCGAGTTCCACACCTCGCGGACACTGCAACCGCTGGCGACGAGCACGACGCCGAGCGACCACGCTGCGAGCGCAAGCAAATAGGCGCCGGGGTTCGTGTGTAGGAGCTGCCCCGTGACCTCTCCCCAAGGTTCTGTCTCCGCTGCACGGCCCACGGTCTCTGCCGCCTCGCGTAGTGTCGGGGGGGGGGGGAGATATTCCACTGCTGCTCAGTAGAACAAACAGGCGCCCGCCCTGGGAATGGGGAATTTCCACCACTGGCTCGGGACTGTGATGATGAGATGAGGCCCGTGTGGGTAGAGAGGCTCGCAGTCTGCACAACATCGGTGCCTCGGGGTGGGAAGACGTCGCGGTTATTCGGTCTCTGTGAGCCTGGAGACCCGGTGGCCTTGTGTCGGTGGCCTTGTCGCGTGGTTGGCACGGGCCCGATGGCAAGCGATTCATGTCGCATCTTCGGAGACCCATGCCTAGGCCCTGTTGGCCCCAGTGCAGTTGCACCGCCTGCACCCCCGATCGCGATAGTTATAACCAGTCATGGGTGCAGTCCGTTACCCCATTGATGATGGTTATTACAGTTAAACTCCGAAGCCGGTTCTGTACAGCTGAAAGTTGAAAGCGCAGACTTGTCAGGGTATAGGCAACGGGAAGGACATTTTTGTTTTGAACGGAACCTCGTTCTCAAAACGTCAACTCGGTGTTGATACAGATTTATGTTCAGACTGAACAAGTGGAGTTTCCCCATCAGCGCGAGGTGTTTGCAAGTCGTGAAATGTGGACGCTGCATTCTGTGCATGTTATGCAGGAACAAAGATTAACTTGGGGGTTTTGAGAGGAGCAACATTAAGATGTGAAACCAAAGCGCGTTTTGTGACGTATGGTGTATATAATGGCATACTTTGTATCTTGATGTAACCGGCTGGGAATTGGGGCATTATTATTAAATCCTTTATATTAAGTTCACTTGCGTGCTTGCTTGCTTACTTACGACCGTGCAAATCTTTCGGTCGTTTTTAACCCACTTCCCGTGATCCAATCGAGCTGATATTTTCCACACAGACTCGTTGTGCGTGACAATTAATATTCGTGAATTTTTTTTCTCCAAAATTTTACACTTTTTAGGACAAAAATATTATATTTAATTACCAATTGCTTAATGGTGCCATGCAATCATCTGACCCATAGGTGGCAGCCATCTCAAGCCAGAGGACGAGAGGACTCTAGCCGCCACGCATATAAAGGATTTATAGTGAAAAACTTTGCTTTTACGGGTTATACTTGTTAATCAAAATGTCAAATGATTCCACGTTGTGTGTCTGTAGAATAAGATCGTCAGGCAGACATGGCTGCCCAGGTTACAGAGGCCGACCAAATCAAGCAGGTGAGTCTAAATAGCAGCGAGCGCACGTGCCAACGTGGGGTTGCATGCAAGTGGCGTGTTGCAGCCAGGTTGATGTAACTGGTAAAGGTGCAGCCCTGCAGGTTTTGAGAGCCCCCTCTATAGGGTGTATTGGCCTACTCTTCCATACTGACCAAACGTATTGTAAGAGATTGGACCACACACGACTTGCCGGTCGGCCAACTATGGTGTACCCATTTCAACTATTAAAACTGAAACTATAGTTTTAAGTCCCACTGAACTATATAGCTATTTTTTCAGAAGCTACCTGGCCATAAATGAAAGCCCAATGAAGTTGCTTATCAAGTGGAAATTTAAAGCAAGCCAAATATTCTAAACGCATGTTTTTAAATGTGGAGGGAAAAACCAGAGGACCCGAAGAAAAATCCATGCGACCACGGGAAGAGCATGCAAACTCCAAGTATACAGGCTTCACAGTCAGATTCCAAACCACGACCTCCTGGATTCCAGGCGAGATAGTCAACATCTCGCTACCAATTGGCTCAAAAGGACATTTATACTGCTGGAAGGGCAGATGGGGGGGGGGGGGGTTATAGAAACGCTTCTCAAAGTTGCAACTGCCGTGATCTGGATTGCATGTCCAGTGTGCCAATCACTTAAGTATTCCTTTGATGTATTTTTTTTAATCGTATTGAACTATTTTAAGTCAAAGTTGTAATGTAACATATTGCAAGTTTGAATTGTAATCAGAATAACCTCAAAATATTGATTTATAAGTAGAGCTTAAGGCGATTGTTGTGATGTTCGTGGAGCTGACGGCTACTCTCCCCACAGTTCAAGGACTTCCTGGGCTCGTATAACAAGCTGTCAGAGCTGTGCTTCATGGACTGTGTGAAGGACTTCACAGTACGGAAGGTGCTGGACGAAGAGGTAGAGCTTCACTGCCACTTGCTGACAAAACCAGTTTATCAACTGAACCTTATGGCACGACCCCGGGGTCCCGAATAAACGGAAGTCAAAATCGTAAATAATTTATTTATTCTGACTCATCCCACCGCGCACATAAACGCCGCGACCCACCAGAAATCATCCATCTCGTTTCTTCACCAAGCACCCGTCGTTGCCAACATTTCCATAGTCATGAACAAAACTTTGATTAGCGCATCGTGTAGAGCTCGTCGAGAGGAAAATAAAATTACGTTGCAACATAGTTTATGCGAGAGCCCGGGGCTTATGTTCAACTGACTAAAGAATAAAGTTCGCGATAAAACATCTCCATTAATGTGAACATTCACGACCATATAAAATTGAACAATGTCCTGCAGCAGTAAAACTAGAAAATATTAACTTCAACTTGGCCCAACATAATTCAGCTGAAAAGCACTCATTGAAGGATTTTATGGTTTTAATCGGCTGTGGAGAATGCGACAAATGTTGCTATGTCACTGTACATCTAAAGTTAACATGTAGGTGAATGTTTTTTTAAAGCATGTCACAATTCACCATCCAGGTTTATGATAAATTGTCACAATTTGGGGTTGTGATAAAAACACATTTAATATCATTTTTTTACTCTGGTGTCGTTTTATTCACTCCATTAGACTACATTGCACAATGCGGCCTACATGTTTTTTGCTCAAATGAAAAATGTATCTTGAGATTCACGTTTCAACACGAATGAATGCGCCATTTCATGCCTTCTTGCTGATCACTTTCTCACATGTCCAGAACAACTGCACGGAGACCTGCATGCAGAAATATTTGAAGATGACGCAGAGAATCTCGCAGCGCTTCCAGGAGTACCACATCCAGCAGAACGAGGCCCTGGCCGCTCGCGCAGGCCTCATCGTCCAGCCCAAGATGTGAGCCGAGTGCCAAGGGGCCACTTCGTGATCCGCGACAAAGGGGCCAAAAGCTACTGTGCGCAGCACTGGTTCTTCGCACAGACACCTCTGCAATGTGGTTAACGAGTCTGGAGGATCACGTTGCCCAAATAAGTGTGTTTCTTATTTTTTAAGATATTTCTGGAAACAGGATTTATGCCTATCCAAGCATTGGGCTTAAATGCTGCCATAACCCAGAGCATGTGCTTTTCATCCATGTTGGCTTTAAAAAGCAAGATCCTGTTGTTTTTTAAGAAAATGTACATTAGACATCCCTACTGTGTAAAGGATGTGGATGCACTTAGGACTGTATTTGTAATACAGGAGTTAATATGGGGGAGCTTTGTCACCTTGCCTCTCTATTGATGAAAGGATTCAAAAAAGCATTTTTGCATGCATAACCAATATTCTGTATTGTTGTAAACATGTTGAGCTGTGGCTTAATAAAATAATGTAACACAAATTGTCTTGTAAATAAAACATTTTATTTACTTAAACCACCACCAACAAAGGAAACTGGAGTCAAAGTTTCATCTGAAAGTCTGCACATTTGTAACAATGACAATTATATAAAGGCTCTGGAAAGGTTAGGTTCATGCACATTAATGAATGCAATACAAAAGCAAAAAAAGCGTAGCACTGTCCAGAAATATAGTTTGGTATAAACTGGAGTTATCAGGGAGTAGCTAGATGGTGAAAATTTGAACCTAAACAACAATCACTCCACGTCCTCTTCTTCCACCTCCTGCAGCGTGGAGCGGGAAACGATCCTCTGAAATACAAATCGGCAAAAATCAGACTTGACATCCACGGTATACTGCAGAGAGGAAATTGTACCACAGAAATGCTGCAGATGCTCCTGGTGCAAGTCAAAGTGAGGCACCTGTCCAATGGTGGGCAGCTTCTGCAGCAGCATCTGGAAGACGGGTGGCGGCAGCGTCTGCTGCAGCACCTGCAGCAGCTGCTGGGGCTGGCCGCACACTGCCACCGCATTGGTCAGGTGCTCAACCCCCTGTTCAAACTCGCCTGCACACAGGGCACACAATGCTCCGAATGAGATAGTCTTCAGACCCAGAGCCATTGAACAGCTAAAACGGAGCACAAAAACTTGGCGATTTAAAAAAAAAAAAGCTTTTTCAACCTGAATTTTGGCGTTTGAATCCCACCTTTGACATGTTTGCATAATAAATGAAGCTGGAATATGTACGAGTTGATTCAGGCCAAAGTTTTAGAGAAAATGTTAGCATTATATGCCACAAGAAAACGTTCAGCACTCGATGCCAGACAAATGTAGGTCAGCCGGTGTTGAGTTTGTTGCCCGTCCAGTTAAAATGGGAAACCACTTCCTGGGCCCTATAAATGGCTCTGCTGCCAAGGAAACACCGGCCCTCTTTTAGCCCCTCAAGAGTACACTGCGTTTATAGCAGTGGCTGTGTGTGCAGTCTGGCCCTTCTCCCACGCATGCATACCCTGTGACAGCATCTCCTCGCCAAGCTGGATCTCCTGAAGGAAGAACTTCTGCACGGCCTCAGTATCCTTAATGTCCGGCAGCTGCACGGGGGATATGAGAAGCGTCAGAGCCTCATTACAGCACATCGTGTAGGAGCTCACTCATACCGTGGAGCACTTAGGTTCATTACTAACGCAAGGTTACTAATTCACCATTGCGAATTATATAACATGGTGAAGTGGGCTTCCATTCACATCAGAAGGCTTAAACACTGGTACATATTTGTGTATAAGGCAGTACTTAGCCTACTCCCTACATATCTTTGTTCACAGCTAACAAAAACATCAACCCTACAGCCTTCGTTCTCAGTCAGTGCTCTCTTTAACAGTTCCTAGGGCAAGGACTAATATGAGGAAACAATCATTTACCTATCATGCTCCTTTGGTCCTGGAATGAATTCCAAACGATTTTAAAACTGGAGGAGAGGGTATCATTGTTTGATTTCAAAGCTCCGATAGAAGAAAATGTCCTTGACCATTGTAATCGTTTTAAAGTTTTTGTATTGTACGTTTGCATATTGTGTGTGTACGTGTGTGGTGATTTCTTTGAAACGAAAATGAAAAAGTTCCACCCATGGTCTGGAACTGACTTCCCCCAGTTCAAGTCCAGGCTCAAGTTTCCTTTTTCAACTTTGGCTACGTCTGAATTACCTCTGGAAAATAGGAATGTGCCCCCATTATTGGACAGCTTATTAAGACGCAGTCACATTTAGGTGCTATGTAAATCCAAACTGTAACTGGCCATAGGCAATTACTGTTGTCTGGGACAGTATCACGAATGGCCTTGAGTTCATTAGTTGAATATTTTCATTTAATGTCCATTTTAAATCTGTTTGGTTGTCTGACGTGAAAATAGTGACATTTTAATGAAACATATATATAGGTTAATATTTCATGCAGAAATAAACATTGGAAAAAAGTTGATGTTTGCACTGCTTTAATAGAAACGTGTTAAACGTAGAAATCCAATAATTCACAATCCAATAACCCGTGAATCCCTGCCATGCATGGATAATTGTCGGTTCACAACTGTTTCCATAGTTCGCGGTACAGGGCGCAACGTGGGAGATAAGACATGTTTTAATTTGGTGATATTCATTTTATTCTTTTTGTTTTGCTTTTGCAGACTAGCTGTGCTCACGTGATGTTGAATCCAACACTATTTTAAAAAAAAATTTAACTGAACATCACGTAAAGAAAACGCAAACATCGTTTAACATAAACCTACATGGCGCAAATTTGCACAATTTGAGTCTTTAAAAAACACTAGTAACCTCGTAATCTGCTCATGTTTCGTTGATGTCGCCGATAGTCACGTGATGCGCTTCCCCTGCAGATAAAATTAACTGCACAGCTCTTTCCAATAACCCGCACACACCTCAAACAAATGTTTCACAGATATGGTCTGACTTCTACGATATGCCACAGATTACAGGATCAGCAGTATGGTCCTGCCATATTAACGCGGATTACTGCATTTCTGCTCTCATTCATAGTTATTTGTGTCACATTGATCTGATCAAATATATGGCATTAGGAACCCCTCCACCACATTTGCATTACGTGGCCTAACCCTAAAAACAATCACGAACTAACATTCTGAGAAAATCTACGTATTAAGTTGCGTTCAAGTACAGTGTGTAAGACATACAATTATCTGTGCGCTGGAAGTGGCTTGCTTCTGCTTTCTTCGCCCTGTAAACAACAAAGTCGCATCAACCTCCTTGATTGACAATGCAGCAGCAGCAATAAACAACTTCAAGTTACACAGCATCAACAATGCAGTCGCACGCCAAGACGCGCTGCACAAATGAAAGCTACGTGAAGGTAGAAGCGGCGGGGAATCTTGGGGACAGTTCGAGGTCGTTCTCATTTTTCTACGGCTCCCCGCCTTCGCCGACACGCACTGGTGAAGTATGGTGAAATATGGTGAAGTATGGTCAAACGACCCCCAACGCGCACGGCTTCGGGAACAGCCCACCCCACCACCCCTCCTCCTCCTCCAGCCGTGCATCCTCTAAGCTGTTACATTATACGCAACACGGTTTATTTACAAGTCTCACCGATGCACCACGTGAAAGACTGCAATGGCTATGAAAGGGGACAGACAACGAAACGTCGTTCCACGTGTGGGTGGTTGGTGGTGGTGATGATGATGGTGATGGTGGTGATGGTGGTGATGGTGGTGATGATGGTAATGGTGGTGATGATGGTAATGGTGATGATGGTAATGGTGGTGATGATGGTAATGGTGGTGATGATGGTGGTGGTGATGGTGGTGATGATGGTAATGGTGGTGATGATGGTAATGGTGGTGATGATGGTAATGGTGGTGATGATGGTAATGGTGGTGATGATGGTAATGGTGGTGATGATGGTAATGGTGGTGATGATGGTAATGGTGGTGATGATGGTGGTGGTGATGATGGTAATGGTGGTGATGATGGTAATGGTGGTGATGATGGTAATGGTGGTGATGATGGTAATGGTGGTGATGATGGTGATGATGGTGGTAATGGTGGTAATGGTGATGATGGTAATGGTGATGATGGTAATGGTGATGATGGTGGTGGTGATGATGGTGGTGGTGATGGTGGTGATGATGATGGTGATGATGATGATGATGATGGTGGTGATGGTGATGATGATGGTGGTGGTGATGGCGGTGTGACGGAGATTCTTGGGTTTCGACGGGAGAGCGTGGGGCTCCTAGAGGTCACGCTTCCCAGGCGGCCCCTTCACGCGATTCCGCGGCGGAGAGCGGCGCTCGACGCCCGCGCGATGTCTCCTCCTCCTCCTCGTTCGTGAGGTAAAACGAAGGCGCCCGGCTTGTTAGCAAGCGGAGACGAGGCCCCCCCGCGTGAACGAATCGCGTCCTCTCATCGCGAGCCGAGGCGATGAAACGCGAGGGATGTCTGCTAAAGCAGCACACCGTTTCGACCAGTCGGCATTTAAACGCAAACATTAATCACTCGCTTACTTACAAATCATTCAGCAATACAAAAAATAACTTGCTAGATAGGGGTGAGTGGTAGTGTGTGGTGGGGAAGGGCCGAAGATAGCCCCCCATCCCGGCCTAGCGGGTCCTGCCGGGGGAGAGGCACTGACCCCCGGCACAATATCTATCCGAGTCCTGGTGTCCTCGCGGAGGCCTAAACAGTGGCTCTCACAGAGCGGAAAGGAGGGGGGTAAACTCACTCTCTCGCAGCTTCTTTTTGAAGTCGGGGTCGCTGCGTCGCTTTCTGTCGAAGTAGACGCAGTATCCGATGAAGACGGCGCCGCAGATGCCGGCCGTGATGGCCCCGGTGCGAGACGCAATCATGGCCGCGGCTAGCCGGGAGAGACGAGTGGTGGGAAGAGGGAATCGATTCGTTTGCCGGTCTCAACGTGACCCGCGAATCGATCCAACTGCGTCGAACCCAATTCATTCAATTCATTGTGTTAGGAGGTATCGGGACGGTTCGATCGAGGGCCCTTGCCAATAAGTGGTCCAAAAAGCATTTTATTCCATAATTGGGGGGGGGAGGGGTGTTAGATCGCGAAAATGACGTTAAACCCGCCACAGCTATTTAGTAAGGGTTGTCACGTAAACAAAACGTGATGACTACCAGCATCATCAGGCGGCAGACAGCTTTGTCATTTTCTTCTCCAGCCTGATGAGTCGGCCATCCACGATGTATGTTGTACGTAGCCAACGGTACTAATCGTAAAGTGCAGGGGTAGGACAACAAACTAAAGACAAAATAGTTCTAAAGAGATGAACTTTCAATCTAGACGATTTACAACTGCGGAGCTCCGAGTGGCTTCCTAACATATCGAGGAGCGTTCCAGACGGCAGCATCTGGAAGCGCTCGATGCCTGGCCACAAGCCGCTGCGAGGATGATTCGGAGTTCGCGGTCATCAGTGGCCCAACAGGCCGAGATCCACAATAACATCGGTCTGGAAAGCCAATTGGCCGATGGACTAAGGGGCCGTTCATAAATGACGTCACGTACCTAGGGGGGTCAGACCTTTGTGACGATGTGCGACGAAGGGGGGGGGGGGAAGAAATGTGATGTCACATCAAAATGCGCAACTTTAAATAAATATAGACAACACGTTCTACTTAATTAAATAGACTTTTTAATAAATGTTTTCTCCTACAACATCAGAGTGCAGCGCCACATTAAATACGCACTACAATGACAATAGTTTTAAGCGATTTGAAGCATGTTTTATTTGGGGGGGGGGGCAGAGCTTTGTGACGTCATATTTGAGGGAGGGTTTGACTTTTTGTCACGCCGTGTGACGAGGGGGGGGGGGGGTAAAAAAATTGTCCAAAATCCCGTGACGTCATTTATGGACGGCCCCTAAAACGCTGGACAGAATGTTTTTTTTTTTATCGTGCGGACAGAATTGAGTCACGTTTCTCGAGTAGTGCCTTCCACTCCCAGACAATCTATCCTTTCGGCAGATGCACACCTTCGGAATTACATTGAGACAAAATAACACGTGGATTTAGATTATGGCGGATGGTCGAGACTAACGACAGAGTTACGTTGAACTTCTTTAGCAACCGTGCTAATTGGAGGTGCGGGGGAAAGGCAAAAGACAAAATGCAGTTTTAACGAAATGAGATTCCAATTTAGATTATATATAAGTACATCGCGCCAGTGGTTTCCTAATATTGGAAGAGCGTTCCAGACGGCCGCAGAAGCGCATCTGAAAGCGCGTGACCAAAGTCAAAGCAAGCGGAGCTAGAGCGATAAAATCAGCTCGTGTAGATGGGTGGTGCTACGTGGATTGTTGCATCACGAGTCGGAGACTTGAAAAAGACTTGGGAGTGAGTTTTCTCCAGAAGCGGATAAAGAATGGTTGATGCTCTTTAAAATACTTGCAGACGTATGATCTCAATGGGCTTTTTTCCTGTTTGAAAATGTTAATGTATATACAGTACAGAAAAATGTTGTGCTTCATTCAATTAATCTAAATGCAACTATTCGAGATTTAAAAAATCAGTTATTCCAAACCTATCCAACCGCTGTCACTCAATTTAACGGGGTATTCAGGGAAACAAGAAAATTCGCCGGAAAGGTACAGAATTAAGAGCCAGTGCTTGGGGAGCAGCAGTAGAGGGTTGGGAATTCGAATACATTTTAAAATTGACAACCTCAAAAACACTTCACCAACGTTTGCAAATGGAGTAGCTTTTCAAGTTGTAACCACTTATATCAGTTATTATAAAACTACGCGCTGTTTTTTTAAATTTCACTACGGAGGCACATCACAATAATCTGCCTTGAGCGTGGTCTGAACTCGTGGTACAGTAACTTCAATTTGCTCTTTTGACATCCAAGTTTTGAACATGGCAATGAGATTATCCGACTGTTATGCGACGCCGGCTCTTTCGAGTTTATTTAAAGACAAATCGTTTCATAAGCATGTGATGAGATTTTTTTTTTCAACAGCAGCCAAAGCTGTGGTTTGGTAATTTGGGATCTTTTTTTTGGCAGATAGCCTTCGTTTTGGGGCACTTTTGTTAAACGTTTCCAGATAACGCTTATTTAAATATTTAACTGAGTATCCAATCACTATACAGTAAACTATATGCAAAGTCTTGATGACCAGCACAACACTGTTTAACCTTCAATTTCAAAAAGTGATAATTGCAGTAGAATCTTGCTTGGATATCTCAACAATTTATATTGCAGCGGTTGACCACTAAATCATATTTAATAAAAATAAACATTTTTCAATTCCACGTGCAATTAAATGTAATAATTTCATCGTGTAAAATCGCTCCACATTTATGGAGCATTTCTTGGGGCATTATGGTGAACACACGTTACAATAAACATTAATAAATAATTTGACTGTAAGTTGTTTATTACAAAAAATACATATTCATGTTCATGTACCCTTGCTAAGCTCTGCTGGATGACTTATGCTGAAATCAGTTTCTGTAAAACTGACTGGAAAGGTGACCACTAACCATTGACTTGAGGTCAGTAATTTTCTGCTGCAACTTGATACGAAGACTGAACACACAACAAAGAACATTTGATAGCTTTATATTTGTTGTGATATCATTCTTAATGTACAACACTGCACAGAAAAAAGGCAAAGGTAAATGACCGAACGTAATTCAACACTTGGTAGTCCACATGGATTCAGCAAGCATTGAAATTCTGGAAGTGAAAAGCAGGCAATACCAAGACATTTATATGAACATTATCACTGAAAATGTTTAGCTCAGCTCACTGAAGAAAACATAATTGCAAGAATTCTATACTGGAGATAAAGTGGGCATGAATTTTGTATTGCAAGCTTTCACTGCCAGGTAGTTTACGGTTGGGCTATGTACAACAATGAAAAAATACTGAAGATTGAAAAATAAAAATGTACAAGATGGGTTTGATGTTCATTAATTGACAATGCCAAAAAGCCAGCTCAATATACAGAGAAAAAACAAATACAAATTCACACAACACAAACTGGGTACAACTACAGCGATTAACTACTGGGCAGCACTATTTTGACATAGCTTTATTAAACAAAATCTTTATTAAACAAGCGCACAAATGTCAAATATGAGCCAAGAAAATGTTTTTGTTAAATTGATCCTTAAGTCCGAAAACTCAGGTTAGGGCAGACTGTGAACCAAATTATAAGCAGGTCATTTTGGCAGTGAATTGAATCTGAAATAAGTTAAGCAAAGAATAAGCAACTCGGGAACAGGAAGGAGGCAGTGGCCTGGAGGACTAAGGGGAACGGGGCAGCTTGGATTAAACAGATTAGCGGCTTACGACGAGACGCCTGTTCAGGAGAAAAAAAAAACTATGGGACGAAAGAGGACTGCTCTGGGAACAGAAAAAAAACATTTTCATCACTTTGCAATAATTTTAAAATAGATAAAAAATACAAAACTCTTATTCGCCCATCTTATCTGAATAAATATACTCAAATCATCCAGCAACACACGTCTCTACATAAGAAACGTCTCAGGTTTAGAAACTCTTATAAACCTCTTAAATAGCGTCTTTGTCAAACAATTTTCAATTTTATTTTAATTTTATTTTTTTGTAAAAATAAAAAACAAAACTTTTGTTTTCATATAAAATGTAATTAAAGAGAAACAGTGTACTGTACTAACTGCTAAGCTAGTGCATTTTGCTAGCCATAATGCAAAAGACGAGCGTGAAGCGTCGATGCAGTACATTCCAACCTTTTCAGACAGATTCTTTCTGCTTTAAAAAGCTTTAAAACACCATATTGCAATATGAAAATGTCCCCAGTGGGATGTATTAGCACTTAGCAGTGAACTGTTTCTCTTGTGCCACAGAACAACAGTGGCTGCTGGTCAATACATCTCCCACCTAACATTCATTGTAAAGGAAGCTCACCCTATCTACTAAATATATCAACAAAAAACGGAATAGAGTTCGATTAAGTGCAATACTAGAAGCTCCTTACAAAACTGGCCCATGATAAGGTTGCCGGTGCATTTGCACCCTGGTGAAGACACCCTTATGAACAAGCTGCCAAAATTCCACAACAAAGTTTAGCTTTCATCCTAGACATTTACAATACGTTTCTTGTTAGAAATGCTGAAATCCTAAGGTTCACGTGAAACCGAGAGAGGTTAAAGTAAACACAGCGCACGAGTGATGCAGCAGGCTCAGAAAACTCCTTCCAAACCAGAAACCAACAGCTTCATCTAGATATAGGAACACATTTCTCTGACAAAGTTCGTACAAAGGAAATGGTAATAAAGCAAAATGGGCTCGCTCTATTACTGCCAAATGTATCAATTTAAATGCGAGCATCACCAATGTATGAAAATGCACAATTTGCAGAACTGTCACAGAATAAGAAATGTAGCCTCAAAAAGAGCACCATTGTGCCAACAAGATCAGCCGGAGATTTAGAACTACTTTCAATAGTAACAGCAGTAAAAAGAAACCAAAAAAGTGAAAAAATGAAATCCCTAAAATTTCTGAACGAGTCTTATACCAGAAGGGGCACTTTGTGCAGTGTTTGGCTCGTGTGAGCATGTGCTGGTTTCGAGGTCTGCATCCACTCTCGCTGTTTGGCAGAGGAAGCGGTGGTTTTGTTCCCCGACACTTTCTCACCCTCAGTCTCCACCTCTCTCCAATCTCGTCACCTTCTCTTCCCTCGTTAACAGGATTTCAGGATCACAGGACTGAATGCGTGTGGATGCGTGACAGCTGCCAGGATGCCGGGTGAGCAGGGCTGGTCACCTGCACTCCACCGGGACCGTGTTCTGGGCTGGAGACACAGAGCCCAGAGTCGACTCGGAGCCTGATCCAGAGGATGTCGCCGTCGTTGCTGTGGCTGTCGCATGCAAACACAAACAAGGCAGCTCCAATTGATAAAATCGAATGTCTTGGGCGGCTGTGACATTACACATAGTGGTAAAATGAAATCGTATGATAAACAAAGTTTTTAGAACTGTGGCCACCTTTTCCTATTGCTGCATGCCTCCTATTCGCTGTACTCAAATTTGACAGATCAAACAGTCCTTCTATTGGTGACTAAACTATCCTTTACTTGACTGTAGAATTACTTGGAATACTTTAGCATTAACTACTTACCAACTTCCAACCCCAAATAAACTAATAAAAGAAAAGTCAAAAGCTTCAAATGCCCACATTAACAAATGACTGACCTTCGAAGGAAGGCTGAATGGATGTGGCTGTGAATTGAGTTTTAATTTAAATGTAAATTAAGTAAATATCTTATGATTTTATTCCAGTCTGTATGTTACATGTAAAGTTTCATTCGAAAGACTAAAACTGTATATTTCAAAAAAGGGATTGTTAGAATTGACGATATACAGGTTAATATAATAATCTGGACATTAAACACCAAGAGTCGTAATCACTTGCTGCCACTTACAGATGCAGCATTGTACTAAGCCTGTGCAAATACAGTACTGCCGTAAGCTAAGGTCCTTCAGTGAGCAGCGGAGGGGGGGGGTGCAATGGTTCCACAAGCGTGCCACTGACTGCAACCCAGAAAGCGAAGTGCGCGGGGGATGGCGCAGAAGTCACTCCAACCCTTTTTACACCAACAACATCGAAGCCGAGCCAGCGCGTCATACGAATGGTTTTCCACTGGCTATTTGCTGTGTTGAGCCAAAACCAAATGGTGATACGTGGACTCACAAGACATCTGAATCTGGCTCGAAGCCAAGCACGGCCTGGTTCGTTGTATGTGACATCGGTCGCCGAGTGTGTACCGTGAGAAAACAGCATTACGTGCAACATCTACACGCAACTCGACTCATTCACTATGCGATGTCAGTGGCACGGCTCGGGATTCCTGCAGTGGAAAAACAGGCTTGTGAGCCGCGCCGGGCTACCTTACGGGTCACGGCGCTGCTTGGTTGCAGTGGGGGAAAAGAGATTAAGACTCACCCTCACGCTCCTTCCTCTTGTTTTTCTTGCGGCGGCGGTCGATGGTGGCCACTTCGGATTTAAGGGACATGTAGCAGCGGCGGATCTCCTGCAGCTTGTCCTGCAGCACCACGATCCGCTCCGGAGGCGCAAGGCTCGACAAGTCTCCACCAGCAGTACCCGGGGGAGCGCGGAGGAAGCACGCACCAGTTTCAAATTCCAGTACTTTATACGGATTACAAAGCACATGCTTTGCATGGCATTGTTACAATTTAGAATGCTGGTTTAAGGAAATTTTATGTGGGAACTCCCAATCTCACATAGTTAACCATGTACATTTATAAAATGTGGAATGTTTAAATAATAACACGTGATTTCATATAACTTTGGTAAGCCTGCTGCATACAATTCTTGCATCAGATAACTTGTAATACTATGGGTGTCTTATAATAACATTACTCTTTTGTGTGTGTCATTAATTTTTACAGTAAATAAAAAAAATTCAACCTGTAATGTACTAGACAAGAATACTTCTTTAATGGAGCACTGTCTTGATGTCGAAAAGAATCATGAGGAACTTTAGTACCTAAGTAGCTATAGTGGGCAGGGGTCTCCATCACAAGAGGCTAGAAAAGATGTTCCCCCTTTAAATCACACCGACAAATGTGAAGTACTGTGAAATAAATTGGGACACAATTTACGAGAAATAGACGAATCCCTTTATACCTTGCTCTGTCTCGTCTCTCTCAATCTGTCTCGACAAACATTATTTCTCTCTCTGCCACCCCTTACACCATGTGCTAGTGATGGGGGTGGTTGTTGTCGAAGTTCATGGTCCTTGTGCTATCCTCCCATAATGCCCTACTCCTACAGTTTGAATTTCCTTCGTCTTTTATCCAATATGATTCAAGGTACGCATGTAGCCTATATAGCAGTGTCCACAATTCAACTGAAGTCTTCCCAAGCAGTGCCCTAACAACAGACGGTGCTTACCGGGCAGTAGGGTCCACCTGCCAGCCCGAGGGGGGCTACAGGCCACGCGACTCTCTCCGTGGGCCCTGGTGGGCGGGCAGCTGTGCGCAGGAGACTTGGTGCCACGGGGAGACCGCGTGCCATGGTGGCTGGCCTGTGATGAGACCTTGCCAGTGCTCAGTGCTGGGAGGTCCTCACTGTCACTGCTGTGACCTGTTCCACACACATTCATAATCGCTTAAAATTCTGATAACCCTGTAGCAAAACTTTACAGACGGTACTTGATATGAACTTTCACCTGCTTCAAAATGTGGTATTGGCGCCTCCAGAGATGCCTGTTGGAAAATTGTATTATCTTGACATTGGTGGCTCGTGCCAAGAGAAAGATTTATTCACATAGATAACATGGATACTGACACTGAACGTCAGATTTTTATTTTCGTTGTTTTAAATTATGGTATCCCTGCAGCTAACAATGATGAACCTTGAAGGGCTAGATTAATAATCTGAAGTATAAGCATTGATGATATTCAACATTGTTGGTAATGGAAACTTCAGCAATAATTCTTTGAAATTATACAAAAAATAACAGTAAAAAAATGTGAATCTGGCACTTGTGTACACAGTATAGTACACATATGCAGGATTTTTATATTTTACAGTTCACAGCGAAGTCATGGAAACTACTTCACCTGCTTCATGCTTGTCCTTCTTGTGGCTAGCACTGGCACGTTTATGGTTCCTCTTGTGCTTTTTGGTGGTTCCCCCGCTGGGTGTGGCATGTAATCTCTTCAAGCCTGGCACAACCAAAAAATACAACGAAACAATAACGCTATGGGGATAGAAGGGTAAAGAACCAATTATCGAAACAATAACGTTCGAATAAACAATTAAATAGCCTATCCTTGAAGAATGTAAAGCCTATATTTTGGAGTTTGTAAGTTTCGCCCTTGTTCTGCGTTGGTTTTATTTGGGTTCTCCAATTTACTCCCATAGCTAAAAAAAAGCAATCTAATTGGTATTGGCCAAACATCCCAATGCTGCAAAATTATCCGCATATTACTAAATTGGGATTACACAGAGCAAGATATCTTTTAGCGTGAGAACTTGACAAGACCCTCCTGAAATAGTGCCTTGATATGGCGTGAAGCATTCCTTGGTATACAAGTGCAACAATAATGTATAAACTTGATTTAGAAGTCCATAGCTCTACGCTGGGTTTTTAACCAGTGATCCTGCAGATCACAATAATAATTACTAACAAATAAACCAATGCGGGTTCTAGCAGCTTGTGCAGAAGCGGTGACATGTACCGCAAGACAAAAGCAATTACAGTAGAACCCCTCTTAACGACAGGATAGAAAATACACGGTAAAGGCTTAATTCGTTAAGATAGCAGCATCGAAAGTTACCATTTTCACCCAAAAAAGTACTTTAGAATATTTAAACAATAGATATTAATACATAAAGATACTAACATTATGAACCCCATAATATTACAAGAAACATGGTTATTAAATATATTAATTCATATTCACTGTACCTACAACAGCCCGTCATTAACAGGGGAATGACCAGTAAGTGAACACATTGGGCTCTCGGGTGGCCCGTCGTTAACATTGGGTGGTCGTTAAGAGGGGTTCTACTGTACAGTGATGCGTACCTCGGTCCTTATGATCCGCAGAACTGGACCCGCCTCCGCCACCGCCTCCATTGCTGACGCTTTCATCGAAGGAGGTGGGCGAGGCATTGCCTTCAGAGGGCGTGCCCTGTGATGCTGCAAGGCTGCCCACATGTGCAGCCGTCCCGCTCCCGCTCGGCGAGCTCCGGCTCTCATCCGACGATGTCCTCGCGGGGGCGGCAGGAATAGCCGCAGGTGGCAGCGGCGGTGGTGGCAGAGGGGCCAAAGGTGTCGACGGAGGAGCCAAAGCGGGAGAGGGTGCTGTGGCCGACGAGAAGGAAGTAGACGGAGGCGAGGACGTTGGCGAGGCAAAGCGAGGACCCATCCTGGGACCCAATGGGGCAGTCATAGGGGAGTGAATTGAAGAAACGAGCGACGGGACCATGGGAGGAGTGAAAATTGGGGCCACGGATGAGGGTAGGCAAGGAGTCATAGGGCCTGGTAGACGAGGGCTCAGGGACGGACTCATAGCGACACTACGAGCAAGGCTTCGTGGGGAGGCGCGGGGAGGACCACGCGGGCTGCCAAGTAACGAGCCGAGTGGAGTCCCGGAACGGGGGCCGAATAGAGTGCCGCGTGGGGCACTGTGCGTGGTACCACGCGGTGTGCTGGTGAGTGTGCCAGGGTGCATGCTGCGGGCAGTGCCAAGAGATGTGCTTGGTGGAGAGGTAAGAGGCGTGCTGAAGGGGGTACTAAACTGGGTGCTGAGCGGAGTGAGAAACGGAGTGCCAGGGGATGAGGAAACCGGTGGGGAGGCCGAAACAGCAGGCATGGACTCTCTAAACGCCGAGGCGGAACTCTGCAGCGGTGTTGCCAGGGGGCTACTAGAAGGCCTCTCTAAACCGCTCCGTGTGTCAGACCGGCCCATTGCTACTTCCTGCCGAGGTGCTTCCGACATGGATATCTCCATCAACGTTTGCGAGACAAGATTATCCTGCTCCCTCTCCTCCTCTTCCTTTGTCCGTGCCGGCCTTATGGCGGTGTCAGGTAGCTCCACTGTAGTTAGAGATGATTTGTCTACAAGCCTTTCAGAGACCAATTCCCTTCTCGCACAAGGTGCTGAAACTACCTCAATGCCCTTTGAGGTAGGCTCTGGACTTGTAACATCCTTCGTTTCCTGCACCTGCATGGGCTCAGCGGGCTCCTCATGCTCCTTTTCCAGTTTCACTTTCTTGTCTTGACTGCTGGACGTGCTCGACCTGCGAGGGCTGCGCCGTTTTGTCACCATTTTCTGTGGCTTTTGAACACCGGGCTCCGAAACTTCCTCTGGCTCCTCCGGCTTCTTCGGCGCCAACTGAAACGAGGATCGCTCCTCAGAGGCAGGAGTCTCCCCACTGGGAACAGCCAACAGGCAGCCCTCCCCATCGGTCTCCGTGCTTACCCTCCGTTCTTCCCCCGAGTCAGACGCCTCCTCGCTCGACACGACGAGGACTGGCAGTGCTGGCTCCAGCACCTCCATGACGGAATCCGGCTTAGTGCGCTCCTTCCTGACCCTTGACTTTGGCCCAGTGACAGCTGCTTTCTCAGGTTCTTTAGCTGGAGAGAGCTGAAGTTCACCCGTGACACTTTCTTGCTTTTGTTGTTGCTGTAGCGGTAGTTGATGTGCCTTCGGCTGCTGTTTGTGCTCCTGCTCTTGCTTCAGCTGCTGCTGCTGTTTCTGCTCCTGTTTCAATTGTTGCTGCTGCTGTTTCTGCTCCTGCTTTAGTTGCTGCTGCTGATGTTTCTGCTCCTGTTTCAGTTGCTGCTGCTGCTGTTTCTGCTCCTGCTTCAGTTGTTGCTGCTGTTTCTGCTCCTGCTTCAATTGTTGCTGCTGCTGTTTCTGCTCCTGCTTTAGTAGCTGCTGTTGCTGTTTCTGTTCCTGCTTCAGTTGCTGCTGCTGTTTCTGCTCCTGCTGCTTCTGCTCATGCTTTATTTGCTGCTGTTGCTTCTGTGCCTGCTTCAGTTCCTGCTGCTTCTGATCCTGCTGCTTCTGTTCCTGCTGCTTCTGTTCCTGCTGCTTCTGTTCCTGCTGCTTCTGTTCCTGCTGCTTTTGGTCCTGCTGCTTTTGTTCCTGCTGCTTTTGTTCCTGCTGCTTCTGTTCCTGCTGCTTCTGTTCTTGCTGCTTCTGTTCTTGCTGCTTCTGTTCTTGCTTCAATAGTTGCTGTTTCTGTTCCTGCTGCTTCTGCTCTTGCTTCAGTTGCTGTTTCTGTTCCTGCTGCTTCTGTTCCTGCTGTTTCTGTTCTTGCTGCTTCTGTTCTTGCTGCTTCTGCTCTTGCTTCAATAGTTGCTGTTTCTGCTCCTGTTGCTTCTGCTCTTGCTTCAGTTGCTGCTGTTTCTGCTCCTGCTCCTGCTTCAGTTGCTGCTGTTTCTTCTCCTGCTCCTGCTTCTGCTCCTGCTCCAGTTGCTGCTGTTTCTGCTCCTGCTTCTGCTTCAGTTGCTGCTGCTGTTTCTGCTCCTGCTCCTGCATCTGCTTCAGTTGCTGCTGTTTCTGCTCCTGTTCCTGCTCCTGCTTCAGTTGCTGCTCCTGTTCCTGCTTCAGTTGCTGCTGCTGTTTCTGCTCCTGCTCCTGCTTCAGTTGCTGCTGTTGTTTCTGCTCCTGCTCCAGTTGTTTCTGCATCTCCTGCTTCTGCAGCTCCTGTTTGCGTTCCTGCTCTTGTTTCTGCTGCTCCTCCTGCTGCTGCTCAAGCTGCTTCTGTTGCAGTTGTTGCTGTTTCTGCTTCAGCTGTTTCTGCTGCTGGTCCTGCTGCTGCTGTTTCTGCAGTTTGTCATTCTGCTGCTGCTGCCTCGGGCTGCTCTGTTGTGCCACAGCTCCCAATTCCTTTGCATCTTGTGGCACTGCTGACTTCGCTGGCTTTGTCTCATCCTTGTCCACCACGTGCTCCTCCTGTGACGGCGACGTAACAAGCAACACCAGCACATCGCTCTCCTCGGCACCCTCGTCGGACTCCTTTTCTATCGTGGCGTCGGGACTTGTTGCAAAACCGTCGTCCATCTCCTGCCGCTCAGAGCTGTTTGAAGAACTCTCATCGTCCATTTCACTATCACTTGAGAAGTTGTTGGAAGCTGCAATGAGAAAAATATCCTCCGCTAGTTCAACATTCACCATAGCAAATACCACCAATTAAGTGAATCACACCACAGCTTAAATCGTGAATCAAGTTGGGCACAAAGTATCTTGTGAGGCTCACCTTACCAGAAAGATAAAACCCCAGTAACTAGTGGTTTTTCACCTTTACAAAGTTAAATGCATGAGTGACTAACCATCAGACTTCTTGTCAAAGTCCCCAACACCAGAACTTCTACGTGTGTGTCTGCGTTGCATGCCTGAAAAAATGTTTAAAATGGCATCACAACACAAAAAAAAAATCACAGAATACTGTGTCTGTAAACGCATAATATTCATCATATCTGAAAAATAAATATTTGTTGGTATTAAAATTCAGTATACTATATTTATAAGAATTCAGCTATTTGATGTGAATCTCAATACCGTCACTAAGGCCCACACCTCCCCAAGGCTAACGCCCGGCTCCTGCCTCTTCTCCTCCTTCCTCTATTTTATATCCCATGTGAACAACTCAGTCCATGTCCAGCCGCAGAGCTCTCATTCAAATCCATACATTTGAATGTGTACTACCCTGATAGTAATGTAGCCGCCGCCCCCCTCCTGGACCAGATGACAAAGCTCGAAAAAATTGAACATTTACCCCATTACTAAATGCATATGGCCTGGAAAACATTATCGCGCACACAAACGTAAAATCTGTGTTGACATCCACATAATCGAAGGCCTTGCGCGACTTCCACATTACATCAGCAGAGGAATGTCCAGCAAGAGTGTGGAAGTGAGGTGGTGTGCTCACGCAGGCGGCCAAGGCGTTTTCCACGTACCCTCGTGCCCATTGGTAAGCGGAGACACACCGCTGCGCGTGGTGCGGTGGCCGCCGCGCCCGGTTCCGGTGTGCCCACCACGGTGGCCTCCGCGTAGAGGAGGGGTGATGCAGCCGGGTGGGGACTTCCCGGAAACCGGCCCACGCCTCCCACGGCCCACACCAGGCTCCTGTCTTTTCTCCTCTTTCCTCAAGGCCTCCGCCTTGTCCCGGTCTGCTTTGTTCTGGTTTACAGAATTTTAACAGAGACTTCATTGCACATTTCTGATTATTTTAAAATTACTATGTAATTTTTCTAATGTTTTTCTTAATTATTCTTGGTTAACAGCACCACTCTGTAAAATTAACCAACTTCAAAAAATTATTTGGTGATGCTGCATTGGAGCACATTAATAAAACAAACTCAAATTAGCCAATAAGAGCACCTTCAAATATCAAGCAATAAAAGTACAGTTATGTATTAATAAAAATCAAAAAAATACCTTAGTTTTTCTCCTGTGCTTGATTTTAGGTATGTTTTTGTCCACCGGTCTTATGATTCGATCCTCCTTTACCCATTCGTCATACCTACAGGAGTCAGGGAAAGACATTTCTTAAACGAGTTCTACAGTCTCAAAATAGTCATTGCGATTGATTTTTTTTGGGGGTAATCCATTGAATCGTGTTTGTGTCGATAAATAATGTCTGTGGGTGTATGATGCTGGAGGTTGGATCACTCACTTTCACCTAGGCTCTAACCTATCTTAACCAAACTGTCACAATTTCAGTTAGTGTTAAAACACAGACAAGACCATTTCATCTTGTCATAAGACACAGTTGCAAAAATGTCCTGTGGTCAACTAACCAAGGTTCATGTATTTGATTACGCCAAAACATTGGATTGAGAGAATGAGAAGTTGTGAGAATAAATGGCTAACATATATAATCAGCCATTACTGGACAACCAGTCATCTTGAAGAATGAGTGCTAACTTTGCAACCTTTTGCACAAAGGAATCGATGAAGAGGTGTGGTGGCATCAGTAGCATTAGCCGTTATGATTTGTTTGACAGGTAGACTTTCGTGACCAATATTATCCATAATAGAGGTTTTTCGTTTAGATCACGTAAATATGTGTCGGGTGATGGCAGATTTAACGACGCATTTATATCTACGCGATCTAACCAAAAAATCTGTATTACCGTTATGATTTCTTCACCTTTAAAATACACAGGTCAAAGGGAATAAATAAGCATGTGTGCAGTGAAAATAACACGTCTCTGTGGAGGCTGGGGACCAGACCTGACGTTCCAGCCGTAGTAGTGCACCAGGTAGATGACGTCAGTGTCCTCTTCGCCCTCCGTGTCCACGTCCTTGATGATCGCCTCGTAGATCTTGAGGCTCTTGCCTCTGCCGTATTTGACGCGCACCTTGGTGCCCAGTGGGTATCCGAGCAGCTCCTCCACGCCCTCCTCTCCCTCGTTCATCGTGCTGCTGAACCAAAATGCGATGGCGGAAGCGGCAGCGGTTTGGCGAGAGGCACCGGCAATAAGAATTTCCTTTCTCCTATTCCTTCAACACTGAAACCTGTGAAGCATGCCTTAACCACCCACAGTTGTCCAAATTCAGAGTGGTTTCAACAGAAGTTAATTTAGAGTTATTGTAACACAAAAACACGTCACATTGTTTTACTAAGCTTTAATTTGTTCAATTAGAAGGCGATAATTTGGAGTTTTAAATTAGGTTCTCAAAAGTGATGTGGTTTACATGAGTGGGAACACCAGGAAAAATAATAAATAATGATGACAAGATAAACTTTCATATTTAATTTACCTATGTGTAGTGATGTATATTGGGTCACTACGGCGTTTAGTGCTAGCTACTGATAGAAGAGTGGAACTGCGGGTGTTAGAGCCTCTCTCTGACACCAGAGTATGTTATGACATGGAAGGGGGCCCTAGGGGGCATGGTTCTGGTGTTGAGGACGTGACAGTCTGGTTGAACCCAAGAGGGCACGTGACCAGGACAGGGTAAGAATGTGGGCCAAAGGTGGCGAGAGGGACACGTGGTGTATGGGCCAGAACCTTCTGGAAGGAGTCAGGGGCATAAAAGGGAGGTCCCGAGAGCCAATCAGGGCTGTCTTCTGGAATGGAACCCGCCGTGCTATGTCTCTTCGGTCTCCGATCTTCACGCTCGGCATCGTGGGTCAGGCAGTGTGTTAACTGACCTGACCCAGTTATACAGTTACCCCGTGGTGGTTACCACGATATAGTTAACACGTGGTACGTATTTAGTTACCCCGTGTGTGTCTCAAATGAACCCACTATATATGTAATACAGTAGAACCCCTCTTAACGACCATCCCCTTTAACGACTAATCGCTTAACGACGGGCCACCATAGAGCCCAATGTGTTCGTATACCGACCATTCCTTCTGTTAACAATGACCTGTTGTAGGTACAGTAAATATTAATTATTGCATTGATTAAGCATGCGTCTTTTAAAATGATGTCTTTATAATATTGTTAGTATCTTTATGTATTCATATCCATTGTTTAAATATTATAAAGCACAGTCTCTGGGTGAAAAAGGGTAACTTTTGATGCTGTCGGAACTAATTAAGCCCTTAACATGTATTTTCTATACTCGTTAATGACAAAATCGCTTAACAACCTGTTTCGTGGAACCAATTACCATTGTTAACAGGGGTTCTACTGTAATGTGAAATGCTGTGAAAATTCTAAAAACAGTGGGTTCATTCCAAAATGTTTAAAAGAAACACTTGTTTAACCATTTTAATTTAATTTTCCACATCTAAGTTGAAAATTATCAATGGGTTATAAGTGGATCAAATGGCAACAAAACCCACAAATACAGTAACCACTCACGTTAATGCCCATATGTCTCTGTCACATGAGTAATGTATGTAAATTCTTCAAATTCTATTAGGATGGTGCAACTTTTTTTTCCCTAAAGTCCCTTGTTCCAAGCATTTTGGGCTCTACTCACACTATTTCAATTGAAATTAATGGACTTGAAATAATAATCCAGCACTTACTCAGAAATGTCCCCGTCTGCTTTGTCCTTGAGCTCCTGCTTGGGAGACGTCACATCGCTTGACCCCGCACCAAGGTCCGCCGACTCCTCCTGGTATTTCCAGCAATCGCCCTGGCTATCGGCGATGCTTGAATGGCACTCCTCCTCCTTCACCTGGGACTCATCTCCGGCCGGGTCACCCGCCGTGGCTGCGCAAGGTTCCACCAGCCTCACCGGCTTGTCGCTCTCCCCCTTGGCGCCCTCCGCGTTCTCAATCGGAGCAGCGGCCGGTGCGGCGGGGGGCACAGTGGAGACAGCAGCGGTAGAAGGGGTTGGACAGCTGTCCTTGTCCTGCTCTAGGCTGTTGTCTTCCCGGACACCCTCATCCTTCTCCGGTTTGCCCTCTTTCTTCGACTCCCGGGGCGTGATGCTTTTACGCGGAGGGATGTCTCGCATGACCCTCCGACGACCCTGGTAAACAAAGTTTGGCAGGAACAACGTTCAATTGAAGGCCATCGAAATACTTCAAAAGCTTCAAGTCAAAATTTAGACTGAAGGGTTTTGCTTACAAATATAAATTCAAGAGCCCATTCCACCAATGTTCTGGTGTTTCAAATTCAGATTAAATAATGTCCGATATACAGTATAATGCTTTGCCCAGAGGCATTCGCCATAGATTTCGATGAAGAACAGAAGATCCCTTCAATATTTGAAACCTATTTCTTAATGTATGGACAAAAAACAATCACCCACGCGGCAACAGCAAGCAAAGTAGAACCCTGCATATCCGAGTACCGCGTACGTGTGAATCCACACTATCCATGTGTCTGGGCTGAAACCCGCAGCGTGGCTGTTGGCCGTGTGACCAGCGAGTCGAGCTGCCTCCCAGCGCGGCAGTCACGCGGATCTCAGCAGTGCACACACGTCTGCAAAATGGACGCGCTTGTAACAATGACCCGCAAGTCTGTTCTTCCAGTGTACAGCATCCGCCCGGTTAAAATGTCATCTACCAGACAACACCAAGCTGGATGCACTTACCATTTATGCCATTTCGTAACCTCGCTTTGCAAAAAAAAGTTTTTTTTTTTTTTTACAAATATAACAACAGCCTTTGATCTCGTGAAAGCTGTGCCCTCTTCACCCCAGACACTGTATTTCGGACACACATAGGTTCTACTGTAGGCATGTAACATTTTTAATCGATTAAGCAAGATGATTTAAAAATAAAAACACCAAGGACAGACAATATATATACACATCTGAAAATGACAATACAAACACATCATTATTGTTAAAAGGCACATTTTAAACGTCCTAGCATATGCTCACTCTCTGAGGCTTGGCCACCTCATCTTCTTTTTCACTCTCAGAACTGGATGACGCATCTTCTTTTGTGCTTTTGGCCGCGGTGCTGTTTTCCCCAGGCTCCACAGACTTGACCACCTTGACCACCTTGACCGCCTTGACCGCCTTGACCGACTTGACAGGTGACGGCGGCCTTTCTTTCTCCTCGGCGGGCTGCTTGTCTGACTTCTTGGAACAAAGATAAATGGGCAGGAAAATGCAGAGACAGATAAGCCTCCAGCTTCACTATCAAAAGAATACTGCGCTTCTCTTCACAAATACAGTGCTACCTCGGTATACGTCGTTAATAAAAATAAAATTTAACAGCTGAGAGGAGTTGAATGAATTGGCAAAAAATTCACGTTAAAATGACAAAAAACACGTAAAAATTCACCGAGAGTTATAGCAAGGGTTGTCCACTGAACGAGATCTACAGGCAGACTGAAGAGCGGCGCTTTGTTTCAGTCGTGAACGGGGTATGCACGGGTACGCGGTGACTCATCCCGACCCATACAAGTTCTAGCAAGCGCTTCGTATCCCAAGCAAGACGTCGTATCCCAAGACATTTTTTCTCTCGTCAAAACACGATGTATACCAAATTCGACGTATTTCCAAAGCGGTCGTATACCGAGGTATGACTGTATGTGCATTTGTGGCAGACGATGAGGTCTGTCAAAACAAGACTCGTCATCTTACCTTCACTATGGGGGTTGCATCTTTTTTCAGCGATTCTTTGCTGGTGTCCAGTCTTTCCTCTGCTTGCGCCTCCTGTTTTTGTTGTTGCTGCTGTTGCTTCTGTTGCTGCTTCTGCTGCTGCTTCTGTGGCTGCTTAGGCTGTTGTGGCTTCTGTTGCTGTTGTTTCGGTTCTTCTGCCTTAGGCTCGGAGGTCAGCGATAAGTTGAATCTGATTCCAGCCGACTTGCAGTATTCCTCAAATCCATGCAGGTATCTGCGCAATGCGGATATTGATAACCATGAAACCAGATGTGTGGGGACCCTGTATTTTATAACTTATAATACTTACATTTTAAATAACTGGACATTGTACAAAAAACAAGCAATAATCAATACAAAAAAACCTTAATAACTTAGAATTAAACATTCACATGTATTTTAAGTAGAAATGTGTAAGCAATCTTTCGAAGATAATTCCATGTAAACTATGTCAGCCAAAGCTAGCTGTAATGTCAACTATATTTCAAGTTAAAATCCAATAACTTTCCTAATAACCATAATATTACAGTATTTTTTCATAGATATCGATAACAAATATTTATAACGCTTGTTTACACAGGAAAGCCTGAGTCTCGTGACCTTTTTTCAAGAGGGTCTCGCAAAGTTTTTGCAGTAGGGTAGAAATTGTAATTTGTGGGTAACTTTGAAATTTGGAAAATTCATCCATGACCCCGGCACACAATGGCCTACTCTTGCGAATTAGGTCGGGGATCTTTAACGTCCACTCTGAAGCAGATGGCACGTATGTTGATGGTTAGCGACAAGATGATGGTCGCTGGATTCAAACCATGAACCTCTGTAAAAAGCGGGGAAAGCGCAACCGCTGGGCCAAGTAATCGCCTGTAACTGAATCAAAACTTGAAAGGCTAATTGATATAGTAAGTCATATCAGAGTTCTGATAAGACACTTCAAAAGTAATTAGATTGATTTGAAGTAAAATTATTCATCACTTCAAGTATCTGCAAAGTCACACCTTCCATATGCAGTCTTCACGTTGTAGGACGCTGCAGAGTTGAGAATCGGGAGTCCGAGCTCTTTGTAAATGAGTTTCCATACTGCGCCACTATCAATCTGCAAGCCAAGGTGTGCACAGACCATTGGAGAGATATGCATTTTCTTAATTAGTCATGTCAACAGGAATGTTGTTCCTTTAAAAATATATTCAAAAAAATCACGGCAAACAGCAATATACAATGACACAACAGTAGTGGAAAAGTATAACATGAATGCAAAAAAAGTTAAACGGGCGATAATATATTCCATCAATAGTTGTAACCTGAAAGATTGAATGCTGCAAGGAATACAATTGTGCATGGAGGAAGGGATACATGTTTGTTTGCATGTGCACTATTCTTACACAAATGTAGCCGTCCCGCTCCTGGACCAGCCGATAAAGCTTGAAGAGATTCAGGACCCGGTAACCCAGAAATGGGGTTTTGTTTATTGGTGTTCCTGCAGCAAATACAACAAAACAGCCTCTGTGAACCGATTGAAGGAAGACCGTGTAAAAATGGCTCACTATGTACAGATCCAACAAAAAAATCAACATCATCCCTTGCAATGTTTTGTAATAGCTGAAGCTAAACTTTCAAAACATTACTTTTAATGTTAATTTTAAAAAGTTTATTCGAAACAAAAAAATGATGTTGTGGAAAAACAGGGAAACAAATTATCCACGCCGAGTCTGATGGTTAATTTGTCAAGACCTTACAACAAAAACAGGGCATTACCTCGGTCATCCATGAATTTGTAGAGCTGCTGCAGAAAGTTCTCCTTTTCCTCAGGGTTTGGCTCCTCTTCAGGCTACAAAGTAAAACATATAAAATGGCTTGCACATTTTACATTCCTGCTCCATACCACCACAACGCTTTTGGCGTGCCGAAACTTATTCCAAAATTTGACCCTATATGCGTCGACGGAAAATCTTTCCGTAATAAGGAACTTGCTTTTATGAATGGCACCATGGTGTGTATTTTTCACGCACAGTGTTTCTATTATGTTAATAAACTGTGAAATGCGACACCTTATCTTGGCATTTGCACATAGTTACGGATCACAGCAGTCATGCGCTCACCATCCGTCTCACTCCGCAGGGAGGTGAATCAAGCATTAACAGACATTCGCTCTAGGAATTGTTCTTGGGAGGCGGCAAGCCATTGATAATTAAAAACATGTATATATTCAACTGCCGTACAGTTTAATCAGTACTTTGCATTCCCTTTAAAACTTTCCGTGTAGTGTTATGTGAAAAATAAAATTAACGTTTAAAAATTCAATACAAAAACACAATGTTAGACTAAAAATATTACATTTATACAAAACAAATCAACAGTTTCCAACCCCCCCCACCCGATCAACGTCTTTGCTAAATGGAATCAATGTGCCTTTTCAAAAGTAGTTCCTACAATAAAGAATTTTCTAAATACCTAATTTACCAACTGTACATTCAACTGCTATTTAAATTATGTCATTAGCCTTAAAAGTACTTTTATAATGACATAAAACTAAAAAAACATGCTTTCTTGACCTCTGGGTTAGTGCTAACAATCATCATTGTGGATACAGATATATAGAATGCTTGAGTGTCTTATTGTTAAAACAGATCCTTACTTTTGGGCCTGACAGAATAAGGTATAAGCTTTTCAGCAATTCTTGGTAACCAGTCTGACAATGTCAAACTCGCTATAAATTAAAACCATGAATTATAATTAGGCAGAAGCCTGGGAATAAAATCAATAATTTAAATGTCCCTGAAATGCAATGTGTCACAAGAGCTGGCCAGGTAACTCAGGGGTCAGAGCACTAAGTCAGCACTGATAAGATCCTGGTATCAAATCTGAGTTGTCATCTGTGATTAAAACAGGTTCTTAAGTGCATTGAGATGATGGTCTAAACAGTCACCAACGACGGCTCAAACAAATCACATTAAATTTAGTTTTGCGCTTAATTTGATTAAAAGGCCAGGCCCGACAATGAAACAAATCTGTTCACTGTCGTACAAGGCATGCAACAAATATTTATCTGCAGGAGGGTGTGTAAAAGTGTGCCCATAGATTAACTAAGGTCACTTGAAGGCATTTCGGAAACAGTCTATAATATATCCTTCTGGAGACAGTTCTTTGACTCAAAAGGGGTGTGGGAATGTGAATTCTGAATGGATACTTCATATAATTTGCATGACACCGATATCAAAAATAGAATTTGGACAAAAAGACAAAACAAATTAAGATGACATTAAGGTTGAGATTGCCAAAACAAATACCTAGGAAAAGAGTGCTATTAGATGTGATTGCATTTAGATTCTTTATAACGTTAATGTATTGCTGTTAAATCACCCCCAAGAAACAATGCGAAACACCAGCGGCGGTCCTACCTCGGTTTTGTCGCCCTGGGCACGGCTCCCATTGCTGCCACGACCTCCGCCATCATCGTCTTCTTCTTCGTCAGCGGGGCCGTCGTCATCGTCCGGGTCCTCCTCGGTGGAGCTGTCCTCACTCAGCTCCGAACGCCAGCATGGAGGCACCATCAGCGCCTCCCTGAACTCCAGCGCGCTTTCAAGCGCCGACTTTAGTGACGGTTCCAATTTGGGCGCCGAGTCCAAGTTCAGCTCTTTCAGGTCGCTCCTCAGAACCACGTGACTGCAGAATCACATCATGCGAGACTTGCACTTTAATTTATGAATGCATTACGTTTTTTCCACACTAGCACCCTAAAGTAGCAATATGTAAATGACAGTATTGTTCTTAGAACCATTTGTGAAGTTTCTATATAACAATCTTTTTAAGGTGGCCGAGTGGCTCAGAGATTAGAGCATTGAACTGGCAACGCCGAGTTCCCAGATACGAATCTGGGCAGCTGTCCGTGATGAAACCAGGTTCTTAAACGTAGTGAGTTGATTGTCTCAGCACAGTTCCAATGACTGCACAAAAACACTAGGGTTGTTTAAATTGTTTATTACATGAGTGGTAATTGCATTAAAATGGTAACAATTGGTAAATGGTTTGTCACATGCATATAAAATGTTTATCAACGACCATAATATATTTACCCTTTGAACTGAGAAACTAAGGGAGCTGCCGGGGTATAATGGTTAGCATCCTGGACTTGCAATCCAGAGGATGCCTGTTCAATTCCATCTCCTAACACTTCAGTGGAAGCAATGGGGCAAGTCTCTTAAATATTCTCTATTGGGTAAAGAGTAGGTTACGCATCTCTTCCAAAACGTGTGGTCAGTGTGGAAGAGTATACAAATTACCATCTCGAGTTGTCTAATTGGGTGGAGGCCCTTTTGCCAGGAGTGGCACGAACAAGCAATTGCAGGGCTGCGAAAACTGAGGGCAAATGTACCAGACCGCAACTTAGGCCTGCTGCTGGTGATTTAAGAAGACGGACGCTGAGAAATCAGTCGTACACGCTGTGCTGTTTGAACATTCGCATGTGCCAATCGTTGCATTCCTTGCTAAACTTACAATGTACAATGTAATCGATACGGATTCCTTTAAAATGGATTTGGTATCCTATTGTGAAAATAATTACTGTTTAACAACCCTAAAATATCTCCATCAACTATAATTTGAGATCTCAGGAGTTCTGCATCTCCTTCTGCAGACCACTGCTTAGCAAAACCTCTGAACGGATTCTTCATTCCATGACATGATGGCAATTGCACGTCAGGATACAATTTGAGGAAAAGACAAAAAAAAGTGTTTTGTTAAATTTAATTCAGTCATTATAATTCAGTAATTTTGAGGATAACAGCATTCAATTCCAGAGGCACAGTAATAGGCACTTACAACTTCCCATCCTTGAAAGAGCGCACAAGGCAGAAGTCCTTTTTCACCGTGATCTCATCGCTGCAAGCTGGCGACACAACCTGAAAATGAGATGTAAGCAGAAGGTTGCAACACAGGCACACAGTCCTTTGATTTTGCAAGGCACAGTACGTAAAAAAAATCGAAGCAAAAAACTATCCGCATTAAACGCTTCACAAAGAGATTTTTAAGCACACCTAGAGGCACTTTTTTCATTCAAGTTCTTTAGCTTTACATTCTACTTACTCTGTGGACTACTGTTAAAATAGGTCTTCATTATTTTTTTATTTTGTGCAGCGCCACAAAGCTCAGACAGCAATTCACTTAACAAATGTTGGACACTTCTCTTCAACTTTTCATCTTTCTCACACATTTAAGCTGATTAGGTGTTCTTTGAAGTTCCAGTGAATGAGCACTTTTCAAACGTTTATTGACACACATCATCCATATTGCAAGTGGGAGTATGTCACGAGTTTATAGACTGATGATGTCAAACATGATGTAAAAATGGTAAGTTGGCAGACTTATTAAGTAAGCCATGGTGTTCTCTGGGTGTGCCAGGATGAATGTTTGGGAGTGCACCCACCAGTACTGGACAGAAGCCACGACACTTGCGCTCTCCTCCAACCGAATCCACCGCCATCACCTTGCCCAAGAGGTCATCATTAATCCTTTTCTGGTCTTCATCTTCTTCTTCTGACGAAGATGACTCCTCTTCCTCTTCATTGGGACTGCGCGCAAAACATAAGTCTTTCCAATTACAATTTTATGAAGCCATTGGGCAGTTTTCCATATATGGACCAATAGAGTGGATGGTACGAGGGCGTTTTCATTACGTGACGAGACTATCAATAGAAGTAAACCTGATTTTCAGAAAAAAAGTGGTAAACTCCGATTAGCACGGTTGGCTACATGTCAAGAGGTTCATTTTGGATGACACACAAGTATGAATTCTTCACATCACAGGAAATGTGGGGATGAAAGTGAAACCAAATAATTACATATTAGAATTAAAATTATTTACAAAAAATATATCCCCTGGATGCCAAAAATGTTATTGACAGATTATAAAATCAAACAACATTCAGGTCTGTTCTTTTTTGCCAAATTAATGTGAAGGTAAGGCCTTTTTTGTCTGAATGGAGCCTTTTTAGTCATTTATAAAACACGTCCACACAGCTGTCACAATATCTCAACATAATTCTTTAATAAACATCCTAAGACAATTCTCTAATAGGCACTTTAAGGAAAAATAAGATTAAAAAAGGCAAACTGGCTTAGAAACGTTGTCAGCTAGATATGGATTTCCCATGTGCAGTTTATCCAAACTCAAGCAAAGGGAGATCACCATTAGTGCTCAACAACGATGACCGCATCAGTGAATAAGTCAAGGAATAAATAAATAGGTCAACTTATCCAAGAGGATCACTTTGGTTAAGACAATAAACCATATTCAGCCTATGAATATTGCTACCAATTCATGCCCAACCACTGCTGAAGAAAAAACACATTCAACTGCCAATTCTGAAACCCAAAATTAACAACAAAATCAATAAAACATGCGTAATTGTGTATTGTCATCGCCCATCATCATACCTGTATAAACTGCCCTGATCATAAAAGGAATCCATTTCACAGGAATAAACAAAATTAGTTAACTTACACAATAGGGCTGGAGCGCCGGCCACGATTCGACTTCTTTCCCATGACTGGAGTGCCAAAGTGTTCTGGGTTTGACAGAGGCAGGTGGTCCAGGGTCTTCAGAGATCAGGGATGATGGGGTGGTAATGGAGGGAATAAAGCAAACACATACTCTTATTAATGTCACTGCTAAACTGTTAACACCTCCTTTGACCAGAATGTGTCTGCCAAAAACATTACAGAATGGATTGGTGTAATTAAAAGCAATTATCCACACAAGTTAGTGCACGTCCAAAATTAAAGAATAAATCCTACAATTTTAGAACATATATTCATCATCTTTTTCACATCACGTGTACATTTTCTGCTACGCATTAAACTCATCCAGTGACTTAAACTTCTTTCTGGTTTGCCTAATTTTGAAATTGAATAGTAAGGCAATTACAGGAGTAGAATACACGACCCAAAGCACTTGAAGTTGGTATTTGCCGAAGAAGCTATAGCACAACGGTCATCGCACCATTCCTCCGTTTTAGAAAATTATGCTTCGCCCGATAACTTTAATTCACACATCAGGGTTGTTAAATATTCATGACGATATCGGGAACAATTTCTTTAAAAGAATGCTCAGTAGGACAGGAAATGCACATTAGCTCTGAGCGGGCCACCGGACCAGGTAACGAAGCTTCGCTGCTGAACTGTTTGCAAAGCGAGAAGCGATGCTACGCTGACGTGACTATATGCAGCCGCCCACCTACCTCGCTCTCGGCAAAGTGTCTCTCGCCCTTGAGGCAGAGGGACGACCTCCGCAGGGTCTTCTCATCGCCATCGTCAAACACTGTCAAAGGACATGCACATAACACACCTTATAAGGGCACATGTTTCTGACCTAGCTTTCCTGCCAGTACACTTCCCACCACAAATACAGAAACACACTGTGGCAGTAAAACTAACTTCTCAAAGCAGTTGCTCAATTTCAAAATGTCAATGCAACAGAGCAGTAACCAACTGCAGACATCAATCATCTGGGAGGTCAGTACTTCAGTCCAACGTCCTATAAAAATGTACCAACAATTGTGTTGTTGAATTCAACATGTATTATTTGGCTACTACTTAAAACCCAAAACTATTTGTTAACTATTAATTGACAAATTGATGAATATCCATTATTACACTTATGATACATGCATCATATCATGTGTATGCACATTAACTATTTTAAATTTTGATTTTGTAATTGGTTCAGAGGAAACCTGCTGGTCCATGGAAACCCCACATCCACAAATGCATCATGACATGGTGAAAAAATTTACTTCTGAATAAAATCATAACTTCACATAATGACAATTAAAATGCATACAATAAATACTAGAAAATTACATCCAATCAGATCAGCATCATCAATCATTGTTCACAAACCAACAATTTTACCATGTTGGAGTACCCATATATTTAATTTTCTCTAGAAGTGTGCAACAGCAAAAATCTAAATAATTGAATCGAGTGAAAAATAACCTAATTGCTTAAAATGTATGAGCAAGGCTGAAAGAAAAAACATCCCAATATAAAAACAAGTTTAATCCGTAAAAGCAGACTACATCTGCGGATACCAAAGGAAACTATCACGTGGTGCAAGTGTTAGCAGCAATCTGCAGAAAACTAGGTTTGTGCTTGGGTGTGTAACCCAACAGTAAGGTTAACCAAAAGAGCCAAACAAAGCCTTTTGGTACGCAGATTTGATTAATGCAGAACATTAATTTCATACCGCTGTGACCATGCCCTACACATCTTCGGAAGACTTCACTGAAAAGCACCGATTTTATATTTGTTGATATAAATACAACTAAGTATTTCAGGTACATATTTTAGACAAGGGCTAAAGTGTCTATGGGACCCTGGTGTAGGCCAATCCGTTCAAAGGACAATGCATACTTTATCAAAGTGTGCTTGTTTGCATTTTTTAGCAAAAGCATGTGTGGTTAATGCAGCCTTGATGCTTTGGAATAGGCGTTTAAAAACCATAACACAGTTATTGTTGCCTGAACGTGTAATGCCTATTCTTTTTTCAAGGGCTAAAGTGGTTTAGCAACTTCCTTCTTGGGTTACAATGCTAGTTATCTGTAAAGCCCATACATTTTATAGTGTGCCAAACATTGAAAACTGCATTCCAAAAATAAAAAATACCGCATTTTATAAAAAAAATCACAACCATACCAGCAAGACGATTAAGCTAACTATCCAATTTAAATAAGCACCTAGCAGTTAGACATCTGCATCCCCTTCAGCAGAACAGCATATTAATTGCATTTTTAAACGAAAATTACTGCACATAAGATTAGACGATTATGTTTAAAAGGTGTCTTCATTGTGTTGCAAGCCCTAAAAGAACTCTGATCTCATTTTGCAAGCCAACATCCTCCAATAGCTTGATATGTACATGTTAATTGGTAGATCACTGCTGGGCTTCCAAACAGCCAGGAAATCATCAAGGGAGATTTTCACATGGTCTCAATGAATCCTTTTGTCAACAAAGTAAGCTTTGACAAGGCAGAATTTCAGCCAGTCTTGAAGGTTGCATTATTTTCAAGAGTCCAGAAAAGAGTCCATCTATACTTGCAAGGATACTTCATTGTTTTTTTATTAACTATAAACCTCTGAAGCCAGTCACTATTAAACTTACCACACAGATTACCAATAGCAATAACTACATCTGCATAATTTTGTAAGACTGACAATGAAATACTATAAAAAAGTATTTATTTAAAATATAAATGTGCTGCATACCAGCATGATTAGCTTGTGCACACCAGAATGTGAGCACACATAGGTTTATTCTTGCACACCTCAAAACACTATTCTTTGTACAGTTGAATCCCATAACAAAATGGAGACTTCTTCTATGTAATTGCTTAGTAGCTTGTTAATTTGACACTTGTCAACCTGTGCAGCTTAACATGATAATTTTATTGCTTAGCATTTGCACACATCAAAAGGATGTGCGCTAAAAACTGCAACTATCACTTATCAACCAACACAGCTCGCAGGAGAAGCCGCTTACCGTCAACATTTGCAAATTACATTTATTCGGTCCTCTGCTTTGGGTGGCGTTATCAATAGGCCAGGTCATTTAATCTCCATTAGGCTTGCATCACCACTTACTGCATTACCATCATCACTTGGCCTCAGTGTACCGAGCACTGAACTTATATGCTGACACTGAGCATGGAAACTGTGAAAGACTGCAGCAAATGCAGGCAAAACTGAAAAAATTAACCCGTAAAAACAAAGTTTTTCACTATAAATCCTTTATATGCGTGGCGGCTAGAGTCCTCTCATCCTCTGGCTTGAGATGGCTGCCACCTATGGGTCAGATGATTGCCTGCCACCATTAAGCAATTGGTAATTAAATATAAAAAAAAATTCCTAAAAAGTGTAACATTTTGGAAAAAAAATTTCAAGAAAATACATTGTCACGCTTGACAATTAAATGTCAAGCAAATTATAAAAATGCCACTAAATTGTATAACTATAGGCATTCTGAAACCAGATTTAATATTTTACAACTGTGTTTCAGAAATATGGCACATTTCTCAATGATATTAAATTATATAAAACATGTTTACAACTACTAACAGAAGAGGAACTCAACTGCGAGTTTTTTTTCTAAGTATAATTGCCACAACCTTTGTGCAGTAGAAGTCAAACATTTGCACGTACATGCTTAAATACAACATTTTATAGAAATAACTTTGTAAAAAAATCATCAACTGATTATTTGCATTCTGTTAAATGTATAATTGCTATTTTAAGGGTGTAAATTTTTGATAGACTACTTATTGCTATGCCTGGGAAATACTAAATCCATGCATAATATAAACTACAAAACCTTACCACATAGAATATAAATATGAATTCCCAGACCTGCATAATTGTAAAGCAAGATATGCAATGAAGCATTTACAAACGTGTTTTTATATATTTTTTGTAACATTATCTCTACAAGTGTGATTTGAACGTGTGTTAAAACATGAGCACATGGGTGCAAGCTCACATGTCTAACGTGTGGTTGCATTTACATTTGTGCTGGTTTATACATATGAATCTTCTATCAAAATGGAGGCACCTTTCATAGATATTTTGCAAAGTGGTTTTAAATGTATTCGAAAATGAAATTACTGTACTAAAATGCAGTATTTTACACACACACACAATGTTGTGGTAATGACATCCACCTTTAGGAAGGATGTAAGAGTGACACTCACCCACTGTATACCAGCTGGCATCTGTTATTTTGTTTATCACGGCCTCCTGGAAAGTAGTTCCCTCATTCACCTTGACCTCCACAAGAGCACCAACCTAAAGGACAATTAAACATTCCAAACAGAGGCACCTTAACAGAGATCCTTCCTTCTCAAGTACCGCCTAATAGGCATAGCCACAGATAACACAAATTCAAGATGAGAAGCGCAAGAGGTTACAGATTCACCCGCTTCAGCACTTCATTAAAATAGTGCCAACAAACATGGTCTTGAAGGTACAAGTGACATTGAAATGCCATTTCTACAAAACACATCACTGCCTATGTCCAAGTTTACCCTAAAAAATGTAACACAATCTATAGCTATACACAGGTGTCATGCTGGGTCAGGCAAAAAAAGTATGAAGGTAATTTTATACTGACAAAAAGAATAAAACAGGCAAAAGTAAATTTACATCAACAAACTCCATATTGAGATACAAACAAAATTATGAAAGAGAAATTATTTCCAAATGGTAGTACATTTTCTAAAAAGGCAACTTTTTCCACAGACATTGTTGTAAATATCACAAAGCCCTTGAAGCTCCCAAAGAGGAAATAATGTTTTTGGCAATAAAAAAACAAAGATGCCACCACTGAAGTCACTGATGATTTCCTCTCGGCAAAAGACTTTGCTCAACATTTACAGGGCACAGTAACGCAGCACCAAAATTCCAGCCTTTCTCCAAGTTCATACAATTTAATTAAAAGAGCTGTGACCGGGAACTCATGTGTGCAGTTGTGCGAGCACTTACCCGAATTGAACCCTTCACCTGATCATCTTGCACCAACTGCGTCGAATGGTCATGCTTGAATGTGACCTGTAAGCAGATTGGTGGGGCATTTGACCAACTAGACCGACGTTTTATTTAAAGTCACACATCTACAACGCTTACCTGCCATGTTTCCTTCTGTACTTCTGCATTGATTATCCTGTCTTGCCAGAAAAGCAATACATCTCCTATCCATATTCTAATGCAGAGCGCACTCCCACCTCAAATACCCCTTTTCAAACTCTGACCTATGAGTGCATAAGTAGTCCACTACCACATCACCTTTCCCTCATCCAAATATAGATTTAGATCCTCATGCAGGCACCCCATTTCTAATTACGTAAATTTTGTTTCAGGAAACCTTGCTTTTAAGATTTCAGTGTCCAGACTGTATGGCTCCAGCAGAGGTCCTCATCAACGGACCTGTATTATGTGCATACTCCAAAGTATTGCACATTCATATTACCTGTGTGGAATCCTGGATTTTATACACTCCTACCACTATTCATGGTGTTTGTAAATGTATGGTCAAGCACAACGTTACACAATGTTGGTGACAATGCACAACCTTTACCAACAACTGTCCTAACCCAAACCCCTCTAATGTCTCATCACCTATTCACAACCAGGATTAAGACCTCTCATACAAGTTTTAAATCATCCGAATTATCTTATGGAGAATGCCATTACAGCCCAGCAGTTTGCAGACAGCATCATGAACTAACTTAAAATCTCGAAAGGAAATCCAAAGGTCCTCCCCCATACTCCTAACTCTACTCTATCAGTTGTCCCATCCATGATTTAAGGGACTCAATTTTCATGAAGTGTATTTTCTAGCGTTATTCTATTTGGCAATATTCTGGTAAATACCCGACCTGGAATGCTCATCAGTTATCCCCCTCGAGTAATTAGTGACTGCACTCCTTTCTATCTAAATTATATTGTGATATCATTGCCTTCTTCCAGTCCTGTGACAGCTATTCCCTCGTCCAGGCAGCTATATAACCTTGTTCAACTCCTCCAACGTGCTACATTCCCTTTCTATCATCATTTCAGAAGTAATGTCACAATCTCTGCTGTATTTTGATTTTATCCGCCTCACTGCTGTTTTAAAATTTTCTCGTCTTACCTGTTTCTCAATTTTTTACGTCATCTTTCAATTCTGCACAGAAGCTTCCCTTCCTATGCCCAATGTCCCAAAATGATTCTGTTGATACGATAGATTATTTCCTGTTCAACAGCTGGATGAACAAAGCATGATATACACCCTCAATTGCTCTATCCCAATATGCCAACTGGTTCCAGTCCTATACTCGACATCTTCTTAATGCAATCGACTGATCATCGAGAATAACATATTGTTGTCCCTCTTGCTGTCAGCATCTTCTATCTCCCCCAGCTTGCTTCTGCCAAAAAGTAGTCCAATCCTATAACAGTTTATCTCTGATTTGATTTCTGTGTCCCTACAATATAGCCTGCATCCTCCCACGCTCTTCCACTTAATCCACACAAAGTAATTTCTGATTCGCTTTCATAGCCCTTTCCATGGCTTCATTAGTTTGAGAACTTATCAATACTTTCTTAAAGATCAAGGACTTTTACTGCTACCTCAACTACAACTACCTTAAAACCTTATCCTATGATCGATGGAATGGTCAAATCAACGATAACCACAATACTGCTTTAGACTAATGCTAACCAATTTCCTGAAAACAGGAGTGGGTTGAAAAAAAAGAAACTACACCACACATCATCAGGAGATGTTTTTTACACATTTCCCTCTTACCCCTAAGTGAACATAAAGAAAAGAGAACACTTTGTTGCCATGAATGTTTCTGATTCGAGTCAAATGAAAATCACAGCATACTTGATCAAATAGCTGTCACCTGAGTTTGCTACTGCACAACTTATAAGCAGTCCCACCAGAGCTCAACATTCTATATTTTCGGAAGAAGTTTGGCACAGGCGCAGATGCATTAGATAGTGCACGGAAGATGACATGTATTTTTTCCTCCAGTGTAAAAGCAGCCAAGACAATCCTGACGGTTGTCTGACTCGCACGAAATTAGTGATTATCATAATATACGATAGACACCAAAGTGTCTCTGCTACTCATGCCTGAGTTGCATATTTATCAATATTCGAACTATTAAAGAATATTATTTTAAGTATTTGTCATAATGCATATATGACACATTATTTTTCAGCATTTGGAACAATTAAAGGCACATGCCTATTCGTATAAATTTGAAGCCACAATGCTGCAAAGGTGATTTATATGAAATACAAGAAAACTATTCCCCTTTTTTATCCCATATTTACATTGTATGCAACCAAATGTGTATGCAACTCTGGTCGACTGCCTCATAAAATAAAGTGTGCATGATAATCCTGCATCGCCGATGCTACGTTCAGCAATTGTGATGTTGAATTAAAGCCCTAGGCTGTCATTCCTAGACAACGGAAACCATCTCAATTTACCTTCAGCTTCAGGAGCCGTTTCACCAGCTTGATCTTGGCTTCGCAGAAGGCACCACGGTACTTGGCACTCACATCGGTGCCCACTGTTAGGTAGGCGGGCTCATCTGCCAACTTCATGAAGACACAAGACATTCACATGTGAAAAGACCTCAAGCACCCAACCTCCATTACACAACACACCGACTTGTCTCTGTTACTCATGCGTGAGTTGCATATTTAAGCAATATTCAAAGAACTATGAAAGAATATGATTTTTCTTATTTGTCATCATGTGCAACACAATGCACTTTCCAACTCCACAATACAGCACTCCACATTAAAAAACAGTCATTTAATGGGCATTTTGCGATGCATTTTGAGAACCACTACTTTAGAAAGCTGCACCTAATAGGAAAACAAAAGAAGCTGATTAAAGGTACTTATCATTTTCTAAGAAGAAAAAGCACAATAAAAAAGATCGGTACGTCCCTCTTACTGACATTCTGGAACAGCTATTTTACGAAGTATATTGTTCTAAATTACCAAGTGACTGTGTACACAAAATAAATCATCTAAATGAGTGAAAATACGGATGGCCAAATATGTACGCAGCCAAAGTTAGACCGTGTCTGCACAGACATTTCAAAATTTGTTCTTTATAAGAGGTTTAAACAAATGTTACAAGCTGCAAGTTATTTTTTTTCACTTTTTTAGAAGTATAAAATAAGCATTCTTTTAAAACTGACAGCCACATTGCAGCAACCATCTGCAATGTGCAGATGTGGAGCAAAGTCATCTGCTTGAAAATATTTTGCGACTTAAGCAACAAATCACAATTAGGAGTTGACAATAAAAAGCTTACAAATGTGAAAAAGTATACTTTAAAATGCAACATGATGTATTATAGGCACTGCTCATGCCACTGACAAATTGATACAATTATCACTTTAAAAATATCTAATCACTAAGAAGAGTTAATCTAACAAGGATATGCTATGACTAGTCTAACCTCGGTCAGATACAAATTTTACTTCATTAAAATCTAAGCAAAGTGATTAATAGAGACAAGAAAACAGAGATTTCATGGGCAGAACTCTTGAGGCACATTCTTCTATACACTGATAGCAAGTTTATAAGCACCGTCTCGCTCTTGAAATGTTAGATCAGTGAAACAGTGATGCTGGGGCCTAAATTTCAACACCAGATGGACAGGATATTTTAATTTCATCTCAAAGGACTGTGGAAGCATGCAGCCTGTTACATGGGTTGCATTTAATGTAACAAACACATGAGTGGCACGTTGTAGTTCTTAATTATTGGGGTAGCTGACTAAGTCATGTTGTTGACGTGTATCTGCTAGACCATTCCAGCAATCATTATTTTTCCAACTTGGTAGGGTGAATTACTGAAAGCAGTGATCCAGCACTCTTACCATTGTGCCAGTTCCACACCGTTCAATTTACAAAACTGTTCATTACTTCTACAGTAATCACGGTGCGCTGTCTAAAGTGAAAACTAAACATGATGCGACCATGAATTCTTGCAACAACTCAAGTTCATAAGCAGGATTTCTTTCAGTCTTCTGTGCCAACAACTTACGCCTGGGGGTGATTAAAAGAAGTGAAGGGGTTGTCCCCGAATTAGGGACACACACTGACATCGCATTCAAGCACACGGTCACAACAGCTATGGAAGATCATCCTTGCCTTCATTGTGGCGTCTTCACGGCAGGTACACCGCGTCTGGAGCCACCCACGTCACAGCTGAGCCTGCAATGAGGAAGTAGAAACACAGAACGTGCCGTCAACAGAATGTAAAGTATCGTAATAATAAATTAACGCAATCTAAATGGCACCTGCAACAATAACCGATGATACGTCGATCATTCTGATAACCAAAAAATGCATTATTTTTCCTGTGAGCACATCATTTTAACGTGATATGGGTGGAAGCACAACTTCTAAACCCAAGACCTTCCTGCTGAGTGAAGGTCATCAAAATGTTTGCAAGTAAACAAGTTGAGTAAATATGGCATAAAAACCAGCAGGGTAACCCCGGCACGCGTGGACTCTACTTTCACGCTGGCCCTGAGCACTCCCTACTAACTGCACACATAGAAACATCAAAGTACATGTAGAGTAAAATACACTCGAAACTCGTAACCACAACCTACAACTATATCCTTGCTGCTACCCAAAAAACGGCGCCAGAGATGGAACAGTGTAACGTGAAGGTATCTGAACGGACTTGAAAAAGGCAATGCGGATGCAATTAATTTAATATAATGGGAATAACCAATGTAAACCCAATGATCTAAACGCACAGTACACGAACAGCACTTCGCTGTTGACGTGCTAAGTTAAGGCATGGGATGTGGGTCCCCTACTTTAATTATGGGGAACACAATACAGTAACACTACTTGAAACATCAATACAGGCACGCACGCACTACCACACAGACACAAAACGTGTACGAGACACACTCCACGCGCACAAAGCACTCGTGAGAGGGAAATCAGAGGACGAGCGGGCCACACACTGGTTGGCCATGTGCAGAAAACGGCGAGGGCTGAGCAATGCGAGGCGGGCGCCATTTCATCCTCAGCCCAGCATTCCTCGCCAACAAGCACGAGCTGTACAGCCCGGGCGAGCGGGCTCGCCAGAGGGAGGGCGAACACAACAAAAAAACCCGAGGCACGACTCAGGCGAAGGGCTACAGCAAGAGAAAAAAAAGCGAGAGGCGAGCTGACGAGGCTTGAAGCTCGCTTCACTACGTAAGCGAGCGTCCGTCACCGGATTGAGAGGAGAGCAGGCGGTCGGTCTCTGACCGACTGGTTTCGCCGTCGAAATTGCTGCGTGAGGTTAAAAGAGGATAGGGGGGACGGCAGCTACGGGGAGAGATGGAGGAGGGAGGGAGGGGGACGAGGCGAGACGGGGTTCCGTGTCTTTTGTACGCTCGTTTATATTCGCCAAGGGACGGCGAAAAGATGCCGTCCGTCTTCCGCGATAAGAGACGCGCACACTCCGCTTCGTCGGTGACGATGTCGGTGACGACGTCGGCAACCCGTCGTCTTCACCCCCAGTCGGCTTATTTATTAATAAAAAAAGAGATATGGACCGCGCAGACGCGCAGTCATGCACACGTTAGTTATACAGAGAGAGAACAAAACCAATAAAGGGTCCAGCAGCTCCACCGAGGTCAAACCACAAAGAACCTGACGTCGGATCCAGGCAAGCCAGAGCCGCTAATCAGAGAAGCAGGAGGGGAAGTTCCCAGGCGACCTGCTCACGTTTGAGGGTTTCATTGACAGCCGTAGAGAATTAGATGCCTGCACAGGGCAAATCTGATGTCTGGTGGCACCGGCGGCAAGCCAAACTACTACGGTGGTCGAGTGAGCGCAAGGGTCGAAGTGTAAAGGCTGCTTGTCGGTGTCCATTGCTCAAAGAGTGAGTATTCAAACTAAAGCATAACCACACCAGTCATCGCCACCAAAGCTTAAACGATCTACACCACAGCCCAGCTCGAACCACCACTAATTCCCAAAACAAACACAACCACCACTACAACAACCTTCCTAAACATCTACCATGTAACCGGCATCTCGACCTTCACTCACCTCCTTGCACAAGCGTCCAGCCTAAAACCACCACAAACACAATAATATAAAACAACCCCTAACACGGCACCACCGTTCATCCTAAAGCACCACAGCACCATGACAGCCGCCCTCCCAAACCACGACCCAAAGCACCACTAAAACAAGCATCAGCTGCCCCACACCACAACCACGCCAGCCCGAAACAACCACCACGACCATCACCACAACCACCACGACCAGCACAAACCCTTAACAGTGATGATCACCACCGCAAATCAGCAGCTTCAATCCACCATCACCTCCCGCACAAACATCGCCAATCGGCCGCCCTCGTCGCCCTCGCAAGCGACAGACACCGACTGACGGAGGGAGGGGAGGGCAAGAGCGAGCGTCATGCACGGCAGAGGCAACTTTTCCTTCCCCGTGAACGACTCCTACCACCACCTCCTCCACCTCCTCCACCACCACCTCCACCACCTCCTCCTCCTCCCCTCGTTGCCGCCGCCGCCGCTGCTGCTGCTGTTGTTGTTTGCGCCATTAACCGCGCGGCAACCACCGCGACTCGCAACCACCCAAACAACCCGCCGACATTCACCCAGTTAACACGAAACCACCACGAAGAGGAGCTCAGGTGGTCTACACGTACAACGAGCCCGCCACAAACAAACGTGGCGACTTCTCTCTCTCGCACTCCCTTCGCCACCGACACCGTCTAAGGGAATGGCTGAAAGGCAAAGACCCCCACCACCAGCACCAGCACCACGACCACCTCCACCACGACGACGGTCGCGTCGTTGAACTCCGCGGCCCCGCAACGCCCGTACGTGATGAGGAGGGGGGTGCCGTGTCGTGAGTGCAGCTGTTTGGCTCACCTCGGCCAGTGTCCCAAGCGTCGTCGTCGTCGTCTTCGTAGCCGCCGTCGTCGTCGTTAATGACGAGGGTAGCAGCCGCCGCCGTCAGCGGCGCGCCACGCGTGAAGAGACGCAAAGCGGGAATTTGTTATCCGCATCAAAAAAATACCACCCCCCGCCTGTACACGAGGGGAAAATAGGGACGTGGATGTGTCCAATGAAATAAAATGGTTATTAATAAAGCCGAATAGAAATTATTTTTTGTAAAAAGCTGAGCGCCGCACCAAGTGCTCGTAAACGATGTCCCCCCTCGTCTGAGGGGAGAGGCTGTGACGTCACCTCGGGCGGCCGCGCACGCCAAACACTGGCTGCGGGTCACGTGGGCGCGGTGAGGGGGGGGGGGTCCGGGGGGGCGGGGCCGCGAAAGCCGATGCATGAAGGGAGCGGGGGGCGGGGGTGGGGGTCTAACCCGGAAGTCAAAGTGCCCCCCCCCACCTACACGAGCGCGCGGCTGACTGCTGGTGAACCCCCCCGCCAGCCCCTCCCCCCGCCGGACCCTTCCCCCGCAGCCCCTCCCCTCGCCAGCCCCTCCCCCCTCTTCCTCTCCCATCCCCCCCGCGCGCCACCATTTTCAGAGATCGAGCCCGCGCGCACGAAACAGCCAAAAGTATATATATTTTTTAAATTATAAAATTATCGTTTCTTTGTAAACGTTACTTTCCGTAACGTTGCGCTAACCGTATTTACATTTGACAACAAAAATCGAATTCCAATTTGCATTTTTTTGTTTGCCGGGATCACGTGCTCGAGCCGCCGGCCAATTGCGCGCCGCCGCTAGAACCGTCGGAACGGCGTAAATAAGTTCCCCCCCCCCCACGCGCATGCGCACTCGAGCCCCGAAACCCCCCCCCGCCCGCCCCACCAGGACGAGGTGACGTCACCACCTCCGCCATGTTGGGTAGGGGAGGAGGAGGAAGAGGAGGCGGAGGAGGCTGCGATCGGCAGATGGCGTTTTCCGCTCGCACGCCACCCCCAAGCTCTCGGCAACGGCGTCGCTCGGGCCGACCCCAGATGCGCTCGGCGCTCGAACGGTCGCGCGGACGAAGGAGAGCGCCGTCTCTGCCCCCCCCCCTTCCTCCCGTCGTCTCGTCGGGAACGCCGCCCTCACGGTGAGCGGCGCCTATGGTGACCTCGCCGTCGCCCGCTCAAAGTCGAGCAAATGGCGCCCGGGCGGGGCGGAAGTGCCGCGCGCGCCGACCGGAAACAGCTGGGAGGCGCCCGCGACGCGGCCATGCGCACGTGGACGGCCTGCGGGAGCGTGCCGCGGCTCTGGGCTGTTGGCGGGGAGGGCGGTGGGTGGGTGGGTGGGCAGACGACCGCGGTCTCGTTTGAGATTCTCGCTCGGCGTATTAACAGGCTTTCTTGGGTTGAGGAGTGCTTTGCAGAGCGCCGCGTGAAAGCGATGTGCCGAGAGCGGTTACGCCGTGACATCAAACGCGTGGGCTGCTGCATTGACTTGACGCTTTCCGATACGGTGGCGGTCCAGCGGTTTTTAAAAACATCTACTGCTGTGTATTCTGCCGTATGAAGCTTTGTTGTGGCTTATACGTGAGGGGTTCATCTCTTGATTAAATATTCCGTATATGCGTGTTTGCAGGTACAGCGGTGGCGTTTTGGTTAGCCCATTGGGCTATTAAACTGGCGCCTTGAATAAAGCATAGGCATATAAGCAGAAATATATCTCTGTAAACCATGTCTGTTCGTAAATCGGCGAATTGGTTTCCTATACCCAGTATGCAAACGCAACCTCTGGACCGCTTTAGATGTTTTTTTTTGTAAGAGTGAAGCATGGTGCAACAATCACCACGGTGGGGGGGGGGGGGGGGCTTCATCCAGCTGTGGAAAAGATCTTGGCTGATGACAGTTGCATTAGGTTGACACCAGAACGGAATAACCATAGCTGTCAACCCACACGGTTTACCCGTATTCTTGTACAGGGAAATTGTTTTCAGGTACATGCGGCGAACAGCCGTTTCGATATGGCCAACAAGTGTCTGTGTTTCTCCCTTTGTAGGGCACGGGGTGACCAATAAAGGTTGGAATTGGTCTGTAATAAGGTGGTAGGTTGACAGATATGGAATAACTCTTGCAAATAAAGTCGACAATCTTTGCATATTTTCACAAGACAACTCAATTATAGAAATCACTCGTATCAGTCACTTTGATCACGGACTTCTGTAATCCGGTGCAGAAGTCCATGTTGCACCGAGGTCGCGAGGTGGGAGCATCGCTTGAACGTCATAAGTGTGCCGAGAGTAGCACACGCTTGCTTCGGTTTCTCCAGCAGACGGTGAACTTGCACCCACCGGATGGAAGTGGAATTTTTCATTCCACTTTCACGGCCACGCTGTGAGCACACGGGGCCTGCACTTTCTAAGAGCAGTGCCGTCAAGGTGGTGGGCGAACCCGAATACACTTCAAAGGGTCCCCCCCCCCATTGCTGAGCACGCCGACCAATTTAGAACCCATTGGAATTTTCTTTTTTGTACGTTTACCACGTGATCCATGTAACTGCACCTCGTTTTCGAGACGTAACGTAAAGCGGCCACAGTGAAAACAAGGTGTACATATGGACCAGGTGAAAAGCGTCCAGGCAAAGCGGCGCCCTCATATCCTGCACTGCCAATCGTTTTATAGCAGTCGTTAAAACACGCGAGGGCAAACACGTGGCCATGTAAACGTTAAATGAATAAACGTGGCTTTAAGAACAGGACCGTGACAGAGTAAAATATATATATACTGGAGTCTGCAGCACTGCACGTGCAAGGGCGCCTCCTCCTTCTGTACACATGCACACATGCGGCTGTAAGATACATTGTTCTGTTTCCAATTCAGTTTTTCATTCGAATAAATGTCAGTTACTTAAATATGAAGTTGGATGGAATTGAAAATTGTATACGGCCTTCCAAAAAACCTTCTCTTAACCAAGAGGATAAAAAGTCCTTTAAAAGTTTTAATTTCAAATAAGCTAAAGCTGACATTCCATGAAATCACTAATTTTATAATCGGGAATTATAACGATGGTTAAATCACCCTCGCCTGGTGCCAGTGGTGGCCGTTGGAGAACAAAAAATTTCTTCACTTCTATTAATCTTTTGATTTAAATCAGCGGAGATATTCCTACTACTGCACATATTGGAAACAAGTAAATGTTTAAATTACACATTAAAGTATTAGTCTTAAATAATCTATTCTCCTTAGTTCAAAACAATAAAAAATGGACACTCAAAAGGCCCAATTGCATATTTATGACTGCTTAAAGTAGACAAAACCCTTTTAAGACGTTTACTACAAAATATATAAATTGGTAATGTTATGCGGGTATTATTCAGTGCCATATCCGGGTCAATTGTATGCTTGACTATATGACAGAATGAAGTAGGTGGACTTTAAGGCAATATTAAAATGTCCTTTTCCGAGGAAAGCCTCGCTGCCAATACTTTAAGCAGGGCCCAGAATTTGTTTGGCCAATTCTATTTGTGAGTATTTCGTCTTTGGCATGTGGGAGGGATCAAGAATCCCGCAATAAAACCCACTTACAATGGGGTAACTCTACAGATATATTCAAGAATGTATTGCAGTGCTATCTTTTGGCCACCTTTTTGCCAAAGCCTACATGCACCACCTGGTATTACCCTGCGAGCCTGCCATGTGAGCACTAACCACCTGCTGCTTAGCGTCCGAGACCTAACGTATTTGGGGTGCATTGAACCAGACCGTTCAAATTACTCATGCTGTTTATTTTGTGCATGCGGTATTACCACTCAATAATGGGATCCATGCGATTGCTGAAACACGATAAACGGATGCAGTAAGCAGTCGCTGCTTCTATTAAATCCAAATTGCAGCGCTGCATATTACATCGGACCGTCACACCTTGGGTGTACGAGGATAAAGGCGTGGTGGTTGCATGGAGGCTACCCGCTTGTAATTGGAGAGGCTCGGCGTCAAGACGTCCGAGGATCAGAATAGCCGTGATTGTGACACGCTTGCCACTCGGGCTAGTGACGTTCACACCCTCGTGCCGAGGAGCTCTTGCATCTGTTCACTGCCATTTGCACTTTTAAAGCCACCCGTCTGGCTTTAAATGTCACAGCAATGGTGTGTATAACCAATCCGTTGTGAAAACAGCTGATTGTGCAAGAAAGGTGACTAATATTAAAGCTATACAGGCATATCACGAATAAGTATTTATTGCGTGCTTTAAGAATCATCGTTCTGCCTGTCATCTCTCAAATCACGCCCGATCTCGGAAGCTAATCAGATTTGAGCCTGGATAGGACTTGAATGGGTGGCAACCGACATAACGTGTTACGGACTTCTGGGCTACATTGGGTGCAGAAGAGGGCAGTAGCGCCCTCGCCAACCTGCACTGACCAGTGTGGTGAAGTATGGTCATAAAACCTGCATCGAGGGGGAGGCACTCATCCAGAAGGAGTTTGACAAGAGTTCTGCATATAATTCCAATGCATGTACTAATACATTCTATATTGATGGGGCTTCAAAATAATCCCATTTAAATTGATGTATCTTTTGTACTTGGTGCTCAATTTTGTTGATCTAATTGCCCGTTGTGTGTGTAGTATTAGTACTGTATAATGTACTGATAACGAAATGCTCAGTCGTGTTAGTATTTTAACAGGATGTTTAAGGATTAGGGCATTTGCAAATGCCTGTTTAATTTGGCACCGACTGCATACGATGACCTGCTTTTATAGTGGGGGTCCATGGAACATTTGTAAAGGATATCTCTTCCAAAGGGACGCTGCCCTTGTACGAGAAATACATGAAACATGTTGGGCCTCATTGCAACGGGCAGTAGTCTGCTTCACAACCTCAACATAAAGATCAATTGTTGCGCCACTTGACCTTTCCGTGCGGCTCTTCTGGTTAAACAAGTGGAATAATAATTATAACTGCCTTGAAGTTGCACTGTCAGTGGGTGGTGAACATTGAACGTGGTACAAATTAAACATTTATTCTAATGGTTTGCCAGTGGGATATTTGACACCAACCGCATAAGTGAAAGTACAGCCCGGTTTAATACTCGTTTCAAAGCGTGACAATACAACGGGTCCTCTGCATTGTGCATGTTTTGTCAACCTGACTACACGCAGACTTGTCAAATCGCCCATAAACAAAATGACCAAAAACACCAGTAGTGCAGTGCAATACACGGATATTTGCACCAGCTGGTTTACATGGGGAAAGTTGGAGCTTTTTGTAATTTGCGGGAAACTAAGGGGGCAACAAGATTTAAAGTCGAGTAAGATTGTACCACAGGATGGAGTCTGGGACATGTCACGTGGTTATAGCACGCTGTTGGCTTCTGCTCCACATTGTTAACCTGGGTATATCTACAGCCAAAAAGATAAAATGCTGTTGGTAGTACATTGTTGAATTGTTCTTATTGCTGTTTGATAGTTGATGTTTGCCTTTACTGCAACAGCGAAGTGACTGGTACTGATACAAATAAATGAAAAACTATCGTTTTAATGTTTGTAATTTTCAAATATTGAAGTACAAGTCTACAAATCAGTAAATGTGCACACTTACACAACCCAGCACAATTTACTGTTTCTTTATTGTAACAAAAGCGGTGTTTTTTTTCCAAATAAACTTCTAAAGTCATTGTTTTCCATCACAAGTCCCGTAAAATGCTGGTACAATATCCTACCACACGAGAGATACGCAATGTGCGGTGTGCACACAAGCTGCGTATTTGGCAACACGTCAGCTAAAGCAAACCTGATCTGTGCATCCCATATACACAATCCTAATTCACACAGGATTACGAAACCATGCATACAGTGCCATAAATTATTTCAGTAATTTAAGTCTGCTTTTCGCCAAAAACGTGTACTTTTGAGCCTTAGGACAATTTACTCCCAGCCTATTAAATGACGGGTCAGTCAGCAAATGCCGCTGCAAAATCTGCATACCAACCTCTGGTGTATATACAGTGGACACGATAGAGTTCTCCACACTGACTGCAATGCGATTTGGGACACGTTAATACGGCATGAGAAGCCTAATTCTTGAAAGTACACGTGCGTCTGTGCCACGCATGGTGATGTAATTACTGCGTTACATGTCGTCTTCATCAGATTCGTCCTCTTCTTCCAGCGACTCCTGCACAGAGAGAGAGGGGGGGGGGGGGACAACCGTTAAAATTATGTTTACGTTTTCTCCATATCAAGGGGTGGGGGGATGAAACGCCCGCCACAACACAGCCTGTTGGTGACTTCAAATTGTTACAGGGGGTCATGCGTTAGCAGTCCACATTGCACGTCACAACTGATGCAATCCCACTTCGACCTTAACACAGATAATGTGTGAAGCTCAATTGATGTGCAACTTTCTCCACTGCTCTATGCCCCTTGTGAATTCACGGCATTTTTTGTGGCGATAATGGTAAGATCAATTAGTTGCTATTCATACCCCCCTTAGTTCTTTGCATCCCAACTTTAGTTGCCCGACACGATTCTGAGGAAGCCAAGTCCAAGACATTAACAAGCACATTTCTCGATTTAAAGCTTTCGTTACTGCAGGGATTCATCTTCTTGGTTCTTTCGGTAAAGTCACGTAGAAGGGAAATAATAAAATAATAAAAATTAAACATAATAAAATACAATTTTCACGACGTTTCAGCCACAACGCAAGCAGCCGTCCTGTCTTTCCGACAGACCTGTTCTTCACCTGAGGACGGCTGCTTGCGTTGTGGCCGAAACGTCGTGAGAATTGTATTTTATTATGTTTTATTATTTTATTATTTCCCTTCTACGTGTCTTTACCGAAAGAACCAAGAAGAAGCACATTTCTGCTTGAAACTAACAAATGCCCAGCGGCAAACTAGTTAACACCATAACTCAACCGAAAAGAAGACGCCACAAAAACAAATTGCCCTCATGTTGGATATGCTCACTGTATCTAGAATGTGTTTCCTCAGTTTGTCAACCAAGTGTGATGCTTCTTCACTGACAAAGAGTTTAAATGTGCGGTAAAACCCTTCGTGATTCACAAAACGTGAACACAATAGTAATACATTTTGATATCGCGTCATTCTTGCAAAAACTGCATCTCACAACGCCGTACAAAATAGCAAAATAGCCATGACAAGAGTCCCTATCCATGATGTTGAAGTCTCTCATTTTTAAAGCCTCCACCCTGTGTCAGCCAGCCCAGGTCATGCAGCAGAGTGACATCGAGAAGATAAGCAATGTTTGCATTTCGGGTTGTGTCTGTCCACCATACAGGGAAGAAGCAACACATCCTCAATACAAACTAGCAAACCTGACAAGACACACCACTGTTCAAGTCTGAACATTCTTCACGAAATAAATGATTACAAATTTACAAAAATGTTCAGCATTTACGCTGCTGCCAAATCCTTCTGACAGCTAGGAAATACGTCTTTAATGAATACAAAATATAGCACCGGCAGAGCGCAACTGGCCCAACGATAATGTACCGTTACGTACGGTACAATTGTTGACAAGCACGATTTCAGAAGTGTTCTCCAAGTGCAACTAATGAGACATGCAAACATACCTTTGTAAACACTCGACACTGCAAGGGAAACGTTATAAATAACAAAACACCGTACCTTTGCATACTTTTCAGCCTCTTCCTTAATGTCCTTTGGTACAAGTTCGTGCTTGCCATTTGTCACTGCAAATCAAGGCCACAATGTCGTTTTCATATGAACAACAAACGTATCTTTGTTTCAACTCCATCAAAACTACTCATAGCATTACAATGCACAGTCACATTACTTTTTCATTGTGTGTGATAATATAATTTCTCTGGGATACTTCTTGATGATAAAGTATGATTTAACATTTTCATGTGAGAATGCACCTTTGGTACGCCAAATCGGTTGAGTATAATTATGCCCTCATTAGTGCTAAACATTACTATTGTAGGAAATAAAGGAATAAATGCAGATTTAAACTACAAATGAACTTTCCCAAAGGTAATTTAATTAATAACTTTTTTAGTTTATATTTTGTGCACACCAACATTTAACGCACATCAAACTCTAGAACATTCAGGGCAATGCAATATGTGAATACATCGGGGAAATGTGGTTACCCAGACAATGTACGTAAAGGAGGTGGGACACTTTATCAACCACCACCCTAATTAGTCAAACAAAATTACGTGGTTTCGCCCAATGCAGCACCAAATGGCGATAACAACACCCAGAGATTTTAACGTGAAATGCAAGACGCCAAAGCTCGTTTAAATCTTTCGGTAAAACATGATGCACGCACTGGGGAAAATAACCACGTGTGAAAAACTCGGCCGACTCTTTGCAAGCGTCGTCGCCTCCCTCCGTTAGGATGCCACAGATGCATACATGTACGTTGAACTTGTTTCGCACCGTACGAGCGTTAAGAGCAAACAGTATAGCCGCGTTTACCTTCGCCCACCCAGCTCAGCTCCAACTCGAAAGCCTTGTCCTTCACCTCATCGTGAACGATGTAGATTCTGCGACAGAGCGAGGGGGAGTGCCATCAGTGTTCGTCTGTTGCACGGACGTTAAGATCGTTTGCCATGGGCTGCGGAAACCTCCGAGCAGTTGCCACAACCTGCGGAGGCACCCGTGCCTTTTGCAGCCTAATGCCGCCCAATAATCCTCTTTAATCAAATCGGCAAATGGCTCTTAATGCAAGTATTGCCAGCGCAGCAATTTGTAAATTAGAAAGGTTTAAGCTGCTAGTTTGAGATAAAGCTGTATGTTTGAGGTGAACACCTAGTATACAAGTTGAACACGTAGGCTTTCGCGACCAATATCCATAATATGGGTTTTTTGGGGTTAGATCGCATAAATATAAATGTTTAGTTAAACCCGTTAAATGTCGAAACAGGAGGATTTCTCCACAAATCTGTCTGTCCGCCTGATGATGTTCATTGTAATTACTGGTAAAACCTCGTACTCGCATTGTAAATGTTGTGGATTTGCTCTCCAACACACCGGTGTGCTGTACTAGTAACAGATTGGGATGTTCTGATTACGTGACAAACCATTACTAATTGGCTGTATCAGGTGGTGCCGGGTTTAACGACACATTTATAGACACAACCGAACCCAAAAAAACCTATATTATGGACCTTACATACAAGATATCAAAATAACAAAGCATTTCCCAGTGCTGCTTTCTCCCACAAAAGATATAGCATCCAATACCATTAATATTTTACACCAAAGTGCCAAGGGCAACAGCAACTAGCAATCCTCAAATATGAGTGAAAATTCTGCCATTTTAGATGACAATGGGTAAATGCACACCCTCTACTGCATATTACATTTTCTGACAATCACAATGTGAAATGGCTACGGCAAAAAAAAATCACACATTAACATCCACGCGGAATTTGTAAGCGATATATTGGTATAATTACGACAAGTCAATCTGGCTGTTAGCAGCAGGGAGCCAAGCATGTCTTTGATGTGGGTCCCAGAGCTTCCACTTTGTTTTGCTGGTGTTAATTGGATTTTTTTGCAGAATGTCCAAAGATGAAGAGTACAAGAAAACCCTCCATTGCGCACAGCCTCTTTGTCAATCCACCACTGGCTTAGCCCCCCACCCAACACGGCGCGGGTTGAATGCGAGGAGATGAAGATGTGGGAGCATAGAAAGTACAGGACAATGGATGTTGGCTGCACGGCGCTAAGCTGCCCACCGTGCAGCTCCACAGCATCCCGACAGCAACCTGATGTGCATGGTAGTTGCCTATCTAAGCACTACCCAGGCGCGACCCTGCTTAACTTCCAAGAACTGATGAGATCAGGTGTATCTTTAGGATAATTGGTCAAAGGAAACCACCGTTATTTTACTGATTTTATCGTGGTAAATTGTCAGATTTGTAATTCACATTATGGCAATGGCACAGTATCCAAAGTTTGAAATTATGAGTCTTTAATTTTGAACTTGTACTGCAGTATAGTTTGGCAGCATCCCACAGATATAATGTGCAGCTGTGGGAATTGAACTGTCATTCTCATATAAGCTGGCTCTCTTGCGAGCGTGTCATCATCATCATCATCCAGCCCATGCGGTTACTCATTGGATCCACATGCCTATGACTTTGCCTTTCAAAAAGCACCCCCCCTTCTCCGCTGTCTTGCCAGTTTCCCTGCCATGATGCTGTCCACATGTCTACTCCAGGACGACATGTGCATTTGCTGCGCGTTTTCTGACGAGAATGCTGCCCAGTGTTTGTCAAAGTCCCCCTCTTGGAACAGACGACAATGTGGCAGTAAGAATGCCCAGAAACGAGAGTATTTTTATTCTCTCAATGCGTGTGATTATTGTGGTTGTTTCAAAGTATAAGGCGCCTCTGTTGTAAAATTGTAAGGACTTTGGTTTGATGAATTATAGCAAAGAGGAGCAACACACGCACACACACAATGTGGACTTCACAAAACCGTTGAAGGCATGCAGCACTGAAATGTATTTTCATGTTTATGCATCACATTTTTTGGCGGGTATTAAGAGTTACGCAGTCTGCTTCTGCACGCCGCATACATTTCTTAATGTGATGAGACCGATTAGAATTCGAAGCGTATATTGAACATTTTGCCGTGTTAACAATTTGGCTAGATTAAGACGAAAAAACGGAAAAGTTATTTATCCAAAGATGTTTTAGGGTTTTCATCTGTACTGCAATGACACTGTAATTCATGAATAAAATGTCGCACAGCGGTGAAAACTACTGGGTGACAACCAGGGCTCTATACGTGCGGGCTGGAGCGAGCGTGGATTTAAATGCGAGCCACGGTGAAAATTAAAATATATATATACACATTGAATGAGAAACTATTTCACATGCCCAAACTGGATCAGGAGGTTAAACATTAGCATGCCTCAGGGAAAGCACGGCCGCAGCGTATTTTCTAAGCCGAGACATCACATTAAAGTCTGCAAAAACGGGTAACAGATTTGACAAAGGTTCTTAGCAACAACCGATATTTGAGAATGCTTAAAAATATATTCACTTGGTCGAACTACACTCAGTCTCCCGTTAGCAATGGGCACTCTTTGGAAAAGCAACTTTCACATCAGAACTAAAGTGTATGCGTTTTCCTGAAACAAGTACTCACATTTTAGCCACTTCTTTCACGAGCTCCTTGCACGTCATCTCCTTCATCTGCGGAAGACAGGAATAGTGAGACTTGACTGCAGTGGTCGTGATGTTAATTACCTCACTTGGTATACAGGAGGTTGTGGGTTTCGATCCGAACCCTGCCGCCTGTATATTAGGAGTTTGCATGTTCTCTCTTCCCGTGGTTGCGTGGATTTTTCTCCGGGTTCTTCGGTTTTCCCCTCAAAATTGACAATCAACATCACGCTTTTAGAGTATTTGGCTGCTATTCATTTCCACACGATAAGCCACTTCATTGAGCTATCATTTGTGATGGCCAGGTCGTGTCTGAAAAAGAGCAAAACAGCTCAGTGGGTCTTGCCTGGTAAAATAAAAAAAATTGTTTAGTTTTTTTTTAGTTTAGACAGCTGCGTAACGGACAGCGGCTCGATGATCGGAGCGCGCACACCGCTCGCTTGCTCTCAAGCGCGGCTCAACCGCTCCGACCACTCCACTGCTTGGCAACACCGTGCACAGCCCCGAGGTGAAATGCTCCACTCGGCTCACGCCAAGCCCATCTCTGGCACAGCTGGCGCAAGTGACACGTTCTATTCAAGGATTTGCTCTGCCACTGCTAGTGGTGGTTTTCTGGTGCTTGCTGTAGTGGAGCTCTGGCTCCTAAGCACCACATCAGCCATGAGACTCAAGACGTCTTTATACAGCAGCAGGATTGTCACACATTTAACTCTCTCTGCGAGACCCGACAAGCTGTTACAGCATAACCTGTGCCTAAACCTCAAATGGCAGCCCGCAAAAACTGTTCCAACTCAAATAATCCCTTCGCAACCAAAATCACTCCACACAGAAATAGCACTTATTTTGGTGCAACAATTCAATTAGAAAAGTTCCTATTGTTGTGAGGATCAGTAACCCTAGTGAGAGCGGTGGCTATGGCACACAGTACTTCCTGTTGGCAGTTTCCCCATACGGGCTAACCCGACACGCGTGCTTTACCACATATTTCACTGTACACAGCACACTCTTTTCTCACATTCCAGCCACCTCACTGCCATGACGCTTGGACGTCGGCGAGTAAGCGAGAGCGAATCGCTGGCACGAGACGCACGTGACTCACCCAGCTGGGACGGTATGGGCAAACACATCCATTGTGCCAAGTATGTCAAGTCTAGAACGGCCATACCTGGCAGGAGTGGGCGCTAGCTGGTGATGTCACGCCTCTTTCGGCTGCGGTTTACACACTGGACAGAACCTTTAGTCCAACTCATCTTAATCGCTAGTGCCCATCACATGCAGTCTCGTTCTCTGCCATCCGTGGTTTCGTCTCGGCATTCGTTGAATTATGGCGCATTATAGATTTCATACTTGATTGATCGACTTTATCACTGTTTCAATGCATGTTAAAAGTATACATTTATAAATAGTGCACGTCATGGCAAGCAGAGAGGGTCTTCATGTATTCCTATTCAGCCAATACATTACCCCCGCTGGCCACACTGGCCGGGGAGTGTTGTTGGTTCCCGCTCTTTGCCCTACTGGCATTTCTGTAATCACTCTACCAATGCACAGATGGAACCAATGGCTTGCGAATGAGTTTGGAACAACCTTCACCTGCCTTGGCAAGAGAAATAAAACTCAGTGCCAATGGACTGCTATGCACCACATGGCTCCTACACCTCAACCGCAACACTTTAATGGGCAACCCATAGAAAACACATCTGTCATCATTTTTTTATACTTTGTACTTTAGCCAACATGCACAATTCTACATTACTGTGACATCTGTACAATTATAATAATGCTTGTTTATGCAGGAAAACCTCTGGAGGGTCCTGTACGTTTTCTCAAAAGGAGGTGATGTTACACACTCTCTCAGATGAGTAATTTGCAGGTAATTTGCCAGCATTGGAATATTTGGCTAATACCAGTTACATTGCATGTTCTTTTGATTAGCTATGAGAGCAAACAGGGGGATGGGAGCAGAATGTACAAACTCCACACAGAAAGGCACCCAAGTCAAGAATCTAACCCAGGAACTAATTGCTACGAGGTACAAGTGTTGCGCTGCACCACCCTTATATCAAGAGCAAAAGCCTCGCATTTGCAAGTGCCACAACGCTGGCTGTGAATTTAAATGCGGTGGGTGCTGCACCATTGAGCACTGGATGCTCAGAGGAGCCGTGAGGTCAAAGGCTCCACGCGGCAGCTCTCAGACAGCTGAACAACGTCCTCTGCTGGGTGCGGACACCACTGCACGGTCTTCGTGCCGTTCGCCTTTTGGCGACCTCTGGTCTAACACTGTTTGAGACAAAGCTCTAAAGAAAGCTGTCTCTGGTGTGGACCAATCAGTTTCAAAGACAATGCATATACTGTCAGAGCATGCTTGTTTTGTTTGCATGTTCACCACAAGTACATGTGGTTAATGCAGACACGATTCCTTGCAAAGGTTTCAGTTTGGTGTTTTAACTTCTTAACACCTGTTTTATTGCCAGAACCGGGAAAACCCTATTATCATTACCACTGCACTCGCCAGCACAGCCTCGCTCAAACTTCCATGCGTCGTCACACATGCCTAAATCGCCCGCTGACAGAACTCGAAGCCTCTGTGGCGGTAACAGAGGTCTCATTCGCAATAGTCTGCAGAACAAGTAGCTGGCAATTACGTGGGGATTTCATTGCCAGGTTTTCCAGGAAAATACAATAAGCGTGAGAGGCCAATTATGTTAAACGCTTGTTTTCTATTCGAGAGTATGGATTTATTGGAAAGCCTTCGTTAATAAGCACTTACGGATGCAGCTGTGCGCCCTCAATACAAAAAAATATTGGCACGTATTACTCCCATAACTTGTGGCTTTTTATGAAAACATAAGGGTAATTAATATGCTACTTTGTCTAAAACACAGAATCTGCCCAGGGGGAATAGGATCTGCACTAGAGCAGTGGTTTCCAAGCTTTCTGGATCTGTAGGTCATAAACCTTTTAAAAAATGCGCAGATCCCCTTGAACTAACAACATAATTTACTCGATTAAAAGGACTCTCAATCACAGTATCTGCAACAGTTCCGTGGACCATTTCCCACGAACTTAAGAGAGGGCCACCGGTAGTTAGCGGCCTACAGGCTTGAGTTCTCACCCGGTTAAACAAAATACACTTGAAACGTGGCAACCACTGCATGTCACACACGTCAGCTATACCATTGAGACCGCTATCATCGGCAGGAGCAAGAAGTAGCAGAGGCTCTCACCTGGAGTTTCTCAATCTCCGTTTTCGCCGCTTGCTTTGCTTTGCCAATGGCACAGCCCCAGTATCCCTGCCAAGAAACGATGTTTGACACGTATACAGTACTCCTGCACATCCGGCCCAAGCCATATGTTTGGATCTTCTAAAACACACGTAACGGCACGCACTGGCAAAATGTTGCATGATTATTTTAACTTATAGTGAGCATAAATGAGTAGACTGATTTTTTATTACTCAAACGCACTTTTCAGAAGTAGGAATCGATAAGACAATTTTTATTGATACAGCATCTAAATGCGACCACATCTCAACACACAGTACAGACACGGTGGACATTTATGTGATAAGAGAGGCAGTCACAAATGGGCACAGGAAAATAAGGTCTTGAGTCTGGGCTTGAAGAGAGGCTGAGTCAACGACACTAATGGTTGGGGAAAGGAAGTTCCAGACACGGGTAGCAGAGGAGAATGGGGAATCACCAGGGAGAAATTTTTAATTTTATAAAGCTAAGTATCAATAAGATCACCATTCCACTCTTGAGGGCATACGAGAAAGCTTTACAAGACCTGGACCCATCCCCTATGGATTGAATTTGCCGTGAAGAGGGTGCGAGAATGAGGCGAGGTGCATGAACGAGGCGAAGTAACGTGGGAGATGGAGGGACCACTCACATAGGACACTCCCGAGGGGTCGATCATGTACATCTGCGGGCCGTCCAGCTCGTACGCAGCCAGCACCACACTGCACGACGGAAACGGGCGAGGAACAAAGACGTCGCACGTTATTTACGCAACCATCTCACTTGCCCGACGAGACCGTGACGCTTCCCTCGCCGGTCAAAGAATACTTCGGCTTGATTTTAAACAACGGGGCAGCGTCGATATAAATAGATGCGATGGTGTATGTGACGTTAACGATAAATAGGAAGACGGTGGCGCACTTTGTAACACACCGCTTGCACTCATGGTTATTAGGACTCAGTATTTTTTTGTTGATTTGACAAGCAATATATCGGCTGACAAAAGGGTAAGCACAAGCTGACGCTCTACTTGACAGAACAGGATGCCATGGTCTTGCGGAACGAACCATTTTTCAGCATAAATATTGTTCCACTCCCATGTGCAGGTATCTGTATATATATACCATTCCACTTCCAAACACCCACCGGGAATATGTAGATGTCATTTGACCATAATGATCATGACATCATTATTCCAGTTGAAAATGATTCAGATTAATTTTTTTATATCTTTAGTTTCATCCAATACTTGCTTAAAATGCACTTTTTCAATGTAAAAAAAATAAAGCTGCACTTTAATCGCTCACGTGACGCAGCAAATATTGGATGACTTATAGCTGTTACCTGCAGCCGAACGGTCGAACAGAGCTGTAGAGCGTGTAGGCGTGGGCGTACATCGCTATCCGGTCAGCCAGGTGCTGCACAGACATGGGTCATTGTGTGGTGGGGGGGGGAAGGGGTGGAGACACACAGATGCCGTACAGGAAACATTCATCACTGCCTGGAAAAAAAATGTCATGACAGTGCAATAAGGATCACAGTAACAGTGCGAGCGTCTTGGCCTCGCGATGGAAGCGAAGCGATGCGAGAGCGAATTTGTACCTTGACGGGGATTTTGGCCCCGTAGTTGGCACGGAAGCTTGCGGCCTCGTCACGCGCTGTCGAGGCCAGCTGCCTCGCGTCCGCCAGCAGCCCTGCGACGGCCTGCGCAAAGCGAGGGAGGCAACGGCCGTCACACAAAACCCACGTCGAATCTCAACACAGTAGGGGGAAAACACGGCGTTACTCTCATGCCCCTAATATAAAGCAACCCAGTAAACATGAGTGGAAAGAGATCTACAGATCATGAACAAAAAATAGCTGTTTCCAATTGTTTAAACAATAAGATAAAATAAAATGACATCCCCCCCCCCCCTCTCCCAAAAGCACAAACTCCTACTCTACCGCTCCCCATCAGAGGACCCCCTCAAGGCGGGGGGCATGGAGCAAGTTCTTCTCCTCCATTCCGAGACTCGTGCAAAGCGCAAGGAAGCTCCCCCTTCCCTTCGCGGTTTTTATGTCCCCCCCCCCCTCCTCCCCAGAAATCCCCGGCGCGTTGTACCGGATTTGTGTGCGTGCCTCAATAAAAACACCATATAAATGAAAAAAATGTTCAATTACATCTCCTCACCTTGCTACTCTCAACTGTTATATCAAAACACGCCAGGTATGCAGGCACGTACTTGTAACCCAGGATTATGGTGGCCAGGGTTGATGGCTCACGAAGACACAAAACTATTGGGCCGCAAAGTGGCCAGGAGATGGCAGCATGGTCAGTGACCCGTACGTGCAGAACTCTATAAACTATTGTGTGTGCACTTTCTCAAGACACTCCAGTGTTCTCCCACAGGTAAAACACCCCAAAAAACTTAGTTGTCTTACCATCCCAATACAGGACTCTCGTGATGGTGTATTGAGACGAGTAGGCATGTATGAACATATTAATCGATTAAAACCAATTATTATGCTCACGATAAACGTATTGAATTTTGTCATAGTGCACCTACAGAAAGCGGTATGCTAAACTTGCATTAGGGCTGATGCAGAGCTGTCCGCACTAAAGCCCACAGGCCACATGCGAGCTGCCAACTCATTCAAACAAGCCGGTGGCATCGCTCAAACCTTAATTAAAAAATAGCTAGCCGCAGCTTTGATATTAATATAACGACGTTGATAATTTCACACAGTTGTGTGAAATAATTAAATGAACAGTCTTGGTCAGTTCCAACATGATGCCGGGGGTAGAGGTCAGTGGGGAATGAGGATTTCTCTTTTGTGGGTTGTGCTGTAAACATTTGCTTTGTCTATATATCTCTCTCTTCCATGCCTCATCTCTTCCTATTACTGCTTTTTACATTTCTCTTCGGAATACGCCTAATATATATTTCTCTTATATCTCTGCATACATCTTGCTCCTACAGCTTTATTTATTATGTCTGTGACCCATGGCTCTCAGCAGGTTAGTTATTATAGCTCTCAATGAAAAAAGTTGACACCGCTGAGCTGAGTGAACAAACAAAAAGTGGACAAAAACAACATTAAAGTTGGGATGGTAAAATTAGAAAATTATCGATTCTTGAATTGTGATCCCAAAAAAATGACAAATTTCTGTGGGGATGAAACATCACTTGCCTATTTGAAACTATGCAAGGCTTTACTGGATAAACAAAACATAACATTGTTATTAACCGGTATACCATGAGTATCAGCATCATGCACATGCGATAAATGAGCACGGATGGCTACGTACGGAGCGAAAGAAGTTCAACATACAGACGAACAATTTTCTTAAAACATTCAACATTAAAAGTAGTGAAACAGGCGGGCACCGGAAGGCTCCTGCCTCCCGGCAGGAGCGTGCACACTGCTCACCATGCCGACGTGTTTGTCGACGGTGAATATCCGCTTGTTGGAGCCCTCCTCGTACAGCTTGGACAACACCAGCTTCTCCACGCCGAACACCACTCCGTCTTTGCAGCGCACGGCCACCGCCGTGCTGCACATCCGCCACAGTCACACGGGCGATACGACCAGGCATCGCACTTGCACAACGCAACCCACGGACGCAACTGGTGGGCCGGACAGTCCGACGCAACGTTGAAGCTGCACGAGAAAATTACTTGATAATAATGGTGTGCCACTGCATAGGGACGGTTTCACAGTTTTGCTCTACAGCTGTGTGTTTTCAGGTTGTACCGCGTGTTGTACAGAATGTCCGTTTTTTCGCAAATCCGTACTGGGAGATACTTCAGTGAACCATTAGTTCCTGAAGAAGCTCTCAGCACGTGCAACGGATAGCGGTGGACATCATGCCTAACAACACACGCTGCAAGCACATGGGAGTGCTATTTTCTGGGGTGCCACTCTAGCACTCTCGTGGTAGCACTTTATTGGCGTATTGTATTAAAAATATATGGGAGTCACATCACAAGAGTGCCATTAAGACATGCCTATGATTCTCAAGTCTATTTAATTAACACGCTACCTACATAAGCAACTAAAATATAAGCCATTTGTTTTGTTCGGTTGATGTTGCTGCCTCACAAATATTTAATTTCCAAAATTGCAACTATGTCACTTCATTACCTGGCCATTATAAACCTTTAATCTCACCTGACATCCCAAAACACAATCTATTTATGTATCTCCAAGCAGTTTTTACGGTTTCGTCTTCCTTCTATGTGGTACATGAACCAGCTACCCGCAAGCATTCTAAACAAAATAAATCAGCTGTCAGTAACTTCGTAAAATGTACTTACATTTATACCCCTAAATGGCAATCGGTGGCGATTCCCAAAGGTAATGTAAAAACACATGCGTTAAAAAAGTATATATCAACATACACTTTGTATGAACAAAGCCCACAGCGTACCTGCTATTCTCCACAGCCTTCATAGCATATTCCACCTGGAACACCCGGCCATCGGGTGAAAACTGCGACGCCGAGAGGTCATACTGCAAGAGACAGAATTCAACGTGAACTCACCATCAATCACATCAGGACTGTTCAAATCTCGATCCTATAGGCCAGTCCCAACGTCGCTTACAATACAATTGGAATATATACATCATCTATATGTGACTACACTTTTAAGAACCCGCACAAAAACAGTAGTTGCGTTTATTTTGTAGTCGTAGGCAGTGGAAAAAGGAGTGTCTTGAGCTGCAGACTTGAACAGGGGGCTTTGACTGCTCCACCACTGGGACAAACACGGTCTAGGGCTGCTCCACCACTGGGACAATCACGGTCTGTGACTGCTCCACCACTGGGACAATCACGGTCTGTGACTGCTCCACCACTGGGACAATCACGGTCTAGGACTGCTCCACCACTGGGACAATCGCGGTCTAGGACTGCTCCACCACTGGGACAATCGCGGTCTGTGACTGCTCCACCACTGGGGAAATCACGGTCTAGGACTGCTCCACCACTGGGGAAATCACGGTCTAGGACTGCTCCACCACTGGGACAAACACGGTCTAGGGCTGCTCCACCACTGGGATAATCACGGTCTAGGACTGCTCCATCACTGGGACAATCATGGTCTAGAACTGCTCCACCACTGGGACAATCACGGTCTAGAGCTGCTCCACCACTGGGATAATCACGGTCTAGGACTGCTCCACCACTGGGACAATCACGGTCTAGAAGAGAACTGCTCCACCACTGGGACAATCACAGTCTAGAACTGCTCCATCACTGGGACAATCACGGTCTAGAACTGCTCCACCACTGGGGCAATCACGGTCTAGGACTGCTCCACCACTGGGACAATCACAGTCTAGAACTGCTCCACCACTGGGACAATCACGGTCTAGAGCTGCTCCACCACTGGGACAATCACGGTCTAGGACTGCTCCACCACTGGGACAATCACGGTCTAGAACTGCTCCACCACTGGGACAACCACGGTCTATGACTGCTCCACCACTGGGACAATCACGGTCTAGAACTGCTCCACCACTGGGACAATCACGGTCTAAGACTGCTCCACCACTGGGACAATCACGGTCTAGAACTGCTCCACCACTGGGACAATCACGGTCTAGAACTGCTCCACCACTGGGACAATCACGGTCTAGAACTGCTCCACCACTGGGACAATCACGGTCTAGAACTGCTCCATCACTGGGACAACCACGGTCTATGACTGCTCCACCACTGGGACAATCACGGTCTAGAACTGCTCCACCACTGGGACAATCACGGTCTAGAACTGCTCCACCACTGGGACAATCACGGTCTAAGACTGCTCCACCACTGGGACAATCACGGTCTAGAACTGCTCCACCACTGGGACAATCACGGTCTAAAACTGCTCCACCACTGGGACAATCACGGTCTATGAGTGCTCCACCACGGGGACAATCACGGTCTAGAACTGCTCCACCACTGGGACAATCACGGTCTAAGACTGCTCCACCACTGGGACAATCACGGTCTAGAACTGCTCCACCACTGGGACAATCACGGTCTAGAACTGCTCCACCACTGGGACAACCACGGTCTATGACTGCTCCACCACTGGGACAATCACGGTCTAGGACTGCTCCACCACTGGGACAATCACGGTCTAAGACTGCTCCACCACTGGGACAATCACGGTCTAGAACTGCTCCACCACTGGGACAATCACGGTCTAGAACTGCTCCACCACTGGGACAATCACGGTCTAGAACTGCTCCACCACTGGGGCAATCACGGTCTAGAACTGCTCCACCACTGGGACAACCACGGTCTATGACTGCTCCACCACTGGGACAATCACGGTCTAGGACTGCTCCACCACTGGGACAATCACGGTCTATGAGTGCTCCACCACAGGGACAATCACGGTCTAGAGCTGCTCCACCACTGGGACAACCGCGACCTTTAACCCCTCTTTAACCTGCGCTGTATCAATGGGGGGGGGAGGCAGTGAGGCTATGACGAGGCTAAATCGTGCGCGTCAGGCCGCGGCCACTGCGAGTCGGGTCCCCGCGCCGCCCCGAGGCGCACGCTGCTGTCGCCGCTGCGCGGACAGGGCAGGCGAGGGGAAGAGGCGTGAGGAGAGGGCCGCTTACGCCGGTGCCGATGGAGCTCATGGCGCTGCGGGGGTACAAGGAGCTTGTTGAGGCGGCGCTGGCGGCGTCTCGCGTGCTTCTTCACCGCCCCGACGTAGGCTGGCCAAGGTGCGTGCTGCTGATTGGGTGAACGGCGCCTCGCGACGAACCAATCGGAAGGCACCTTGCTGGGCACGGCGCGCTGCCATTGGTCGCTTGGCTCTGGGGCAAGCGTCGGGTTTCTCGGTTGGTACGGATCGAATCGAAGAATCGTTCTCTTCATTATATTTATATTTCGATTCCATGTGAGTTCGATAGAAATCGATTCTATCTGAATCACATTGGGTGGTATCGATCGTCGATTCAGTGGATTCGCAGAGGGCTCGCTAAGCCTGCAGCCGCGTGGTGGCACGCCACGAAATTGGCTCGTCATTAGCGCCGCGGCCTTACGAATAACACGTTTACTCGGTGTTTGTGACGGGAGACGTTTCGGGAAACGGTCCTTCATTCCACGCGTCATTTATCTTTCATTTACATATAGTCTATGAGCCATGATGAATTTGGGTATTTGCCTGAAACGTCGCCCGTAACAGTATATATTACATTTAGTAATTTTAACGCGGTTATTGATGACTGTGTTGGGTTTTTGTTATATGTGTGCGCTTGTGCACCACTGCCAACGCAATTCACTTAATTTTGAGTTGGTGGTGTGGACAAGGCTGAGAGCCTTTGTGGGTGCAATGCATGCAAACATGTGCATGCTACACGTAATGTCACCGCTGTATCACCAAATACGTAATTACATGCTGCAGCAAGTGGTGGCGCTCGGCATAACCAAAAGCGTTGTGCCCCAATTCCCCCAAACAACACTCGAGGCAACGACTTCACGAAACAAATTTGGAGAAACTAAATGTCTGCTATAATTCAAATCATAAACACACACGACTGATTAACATAAACATCTCATAAATTCGTCTTGGGTATCTTGTATGCTTCTGCGTCATCTAATTTAGCATGCATCTTTCTCATTTCACCCAGTCTCATCTGTATCTTCTCTCATCGCTAGATCTCGGTCTACATTTCTGTTGTCGCACTACAACACTATCCCTCGTCCATATTTATTCTGTCCTTTTACGAGGAGTTTGTAATTTGAAAGGGATTGCTCCAAAAATTACTTCTAGGCCAACAGCACCCCCTACCTGCAGCCACGGGTGGCACCAAAACACATTGTCCTGCGGAGGGAGCTGGTAGGAACGTTGGGTTGCTCGGTCAATGGCCAGGGTCAACGGCGGCGTGGTGTATTCCGCAAATTTGCCCGACTGTGAGGGCGGTCACAAGCCGGCGCGAGTAGGTTAAACGTTGAGTTTTATAAGGGCACCACGGGGTGACCAGCCCCTCCCCACCCAGCCCCACCCCTCCCACCCCCCACCCAACCCCACCCCTCCCACCCCCCACCCAGCCCCACCCTCCCCACCCTCCCCACCCAGCCGCTCCCTGCACGCCGGACGGACGGACACAATAATCCCCTGTGGGCTGGTGTAACCAGAGGTTCCTACCAGTATTATTTCTACTTCTGGTCTCCAATGGACCACCAGCACCACCTACCTGCAGTCCACTATAGACAGGTTCCACATAGCAGAATTGTTGAAATGAATCACTATCGGCGACACTCTTAATCCGTCAAGAGACTAATGGGACCGATAATATAATCAGGGCACGTCATCAAATCTCAGGGTGAAGCTACCACGTTTATGGATTTCTCAAAAGGAGGGACAGGTCCCCCCAAGTACTACAATTGTATGGCTGGCCTCAAAACATTGACATTTCCTCATTTTTGGTTTTAAACTAGTCAGGTTCCTTATAAAGTCTCTCTTGGTCCTTGTGCTTCATCAACATGTTTGATTGCATGGGGAAGTAGTGTTGGAAATGTGGGTCAATTTGTTTTTTGCATCGACCGTGCAAGTTTAATTCATTATGCACTTGTAAACGGCACGGTATAATCCATCCCCAGTATTGAGCCATGCCCTATCCACAGCTGGATAAAGGCTTCCCCCACACTTGTCATCCCCCAGTCCTAAAATGCCACAATTCATCTTACTGCAGCACATGAACAAATCTCCTTGTTCCAGCTCCACAATCATCCTCTGGGGGTACTTTCTCTCCCCAGGCTATACAGCAATGGGATGTGGATATATGTAATACGTCCATAAACTGCACATGTGGAATCGCTGAAAGTATTAAGCGTGATCTGTTAAGTCTTCAATATATAAAACATACATGAACATCACAGCCTGGCATGTATTTCCTTTATTGAACGGACTTATCAAAGCATTTACCACAGCTAATTCTAGCAAGCCTTACTCACAACCGTACATATAGTATCAATGCATATGTTAACGAAAGATTGGTCAGACACATTAAACGCACAACCTTTCAATTACGAGCCTTCATGAAAACGAAAGTAGCAATGCAGTAAATGGAGTAAACGGAGTAACACATTAGTTGAATTTACAGTACACCCCCTTTGTTGTCAATCCACTGCTGGATGAAGGCTTTCCCATGCCACAATGCTTATGGGTTTATTCGACCATACTTCACCACTTTGGTCAGTGTGAGTTTGTGAAGGTGCTCAGGAACATCAGACATCACTTGTCGCTGTCACCTGTAGCCATCAATTACACTTTGGTCACCAGGTTAATAGCGCTGTCTGCGAACCACTGCACCACTTGTTAAATTAAACAATGTGCAGTTAATTAAAAACTCGTTTCAGGCCAAGCACTTTGAAGGTCGAGTGAGAAATGTTAAAATAAAACATCTGTGCAACATAAATAATTTGCTGTAGTGCCTGCCCCATTGAGGAGCTACTTGTCAGTGGAGAAGGCCCTCTTGAGCATGGGCACGGGGGTTTTGGGCTCGAGCAGCGAGTCTGGGGGAGGGTTGCCGAGGCTGCACCAGTCGGGGATTTTCCCCGTCTGCCCGTACAGCTCACGCGACACTGACCGGCTGCCCAGCACCTCCTGCAGGGCCCCGAATATGGCTCCTGTCGATAGAAGAATTGCACGAGTCAGTGACTTGATCCGTGTGCAAAAGCAGTCGCCGCTTTTCATGACAATATCAACCGTTTGAATGTAGTTCATTACGATTAATGAGACATTTGTATCAAATTCTAGGAAATAAGCGTTGATTCTGTTTTGGTAAAGTAATTTTGGTTTTGCCCAAATCTGGTGAAAATGTTTTTTTTACCTTCAGCAGATATCAGGTCTGTAACATTTTTTTAATCTTGTTATTTATTTTATTATTTCCCTTCTACGTGACTTTACCGAAAAAACCAAGAATATGTCTGTAGCATTCTACTGCAATTACTGTTCGCATTAAATGCCACAATGTGAATATCAACATTTGTAATCAGAGCTATTACATTTGTTATACAAAAACAATGTAAGTTGCCAAAGATGGATTTGTTGTATTCGATTAAGTATCTTGATCTGGTTGAATGGAAGAAATGACACCCAAACCTGCCCTTGAGTGGAGAACTCAAGAGAAAAATTAAGCATCTCATCCACCACAAGATGCTTCAGTAACTATTCAAGGGGGTGACCATGCATGCAATGTAGTATGTATGTAGGGGGAGAGAGGGCAGCACCTCCAAGCCAGGCCACGTAGTTGGGCTTGGCGGGAGGCGTGTGCACGCAGACGCTGGTCACGGACAGCACCGCCTGGTACTTGGGCTGCTGTAGCAGCTGCTTTATTTCGGCCAGCAGGCGGTGGGTGAAGCCCGGCAGTTGCGCCGTGCCCCCCATCACCACCAGGTTCTTTGCCAGGGTCGTGCGCAGGTCCATGGGGCACTGTTGGGCATTGATGGAAGCACCGTCAAATCTCATTAAACGGGTGCAAGCTAGACTGATGATGGGAAAACGATTACACCAAACGCTCCTGCATGCAGCACTGCATTGATAATCGTTGATGGTGATGAAGGTATCAAACTATTTCACCGATATTCACAATCTGACAAAATGGTTAAAACATCACCTCAGCGATTTGCACTATGATTTGCAATGAGATCGTGGGAATGTCAACATTTTGATATCGGTGAACTTTAACCGACATGTAAAATGTTGCCTTTCTACACAATCACATCCCCTACCACTGTTAGATTCCCAGCCAGATATGCGTGTTGAAAGTAGCAGTTACTGCACCTCAGTGGTTAGCAAAAGCGAAAGGGAAAGAAGGCACAGACGAGACATGTTTCGCTGTGGTAAAGCCAACTCTTCCCACATATTTTACCATAGAAATATTGCCTTGTGATAAAAACGTCGTAGTTTTCTGCTATTTTTGATTATTTTCTTTGAACCTATCTATGTGACTTTACCGAAAGACCCAAGAATATAGACAGGACTCAATTTGATGAGCAGGCCTCACCTTAACCAAGCAGTCCAGCATTAGGGTGGCCACGGATTTCTCCTCATTGTCCTGCACGAAAAGAATCTCGCACAGAGAGTCCCTGCAAAGCAAAGGAAACACCTCAATAAAATTCACTGACTTTTATGAATTTGTTGTGATAAATGTGAGCAGTAAAAATGAAAATTCCAATGTGCAAGATAATGCAAAAAACATTTTTAAAACGCTTACAAAATATTTAACAAAAATGTATTCTGTGTGCACTTTACATCAATTATGGTTTTTAGTTTTGAGATTTTAGGCATTCTCCTTGCAAGAGTGTGACTGTTTTTTGGTGTCATTTGTTACAAAAAAGACTTGAAGTCTTAATTAGTTCTCACCCGATAAAATAAAAGTAACTAATCAGGCTTTTCTCAATACTTGAATAGCATGTCATCATTAATTATTACTCAAGGTTTCAAGCTACTGTGCAACCTGGTGTACTACAAGAGTGCGTCTGAAAATTGCCAGGGATATGAGCTGCATGAAGAACGTACCTGATCTCTCCCTTGACAATCAGAATGTTCTCACCGTCCAAAGGGTACGAGACATCTGGCGGGGCAGTCGGCCGCTGTCATGGCACACACCACCACACACGATCGTAATATGGACAAGAAAATCGAATGCATTGCCATGCTTTCACTTTTTAACACTCTTAAAATAAAGTTTTCAATGAAGGTTGAAATCGCTAATGCATTGGGGCTCTATCTATTAGTCTGCCTGTCTTATGTGTGTGTATGTCTGTAGCAGAGGGCGTTTCTACTGTGGTATTTGGCAAGTGCCAGGTGGAGGGATTACCCCTCAGACTGCACCTTGCCGGGCATAAGTGCCATAGTGACGTCATCGCCACTTAGTGGCAAATGGCGGCTGTTATCGTTGTTGCTGTTGTAGCAGAGGGTCACAATAACTCTAAATAGCAATACAACTCCTAAAGATGATCCAATTTAAATAACATTTTAGTAAAAAGTTGTGTTACTATCAGAGACACACCCTATAGGAAATGAGCTAATTGTATTATAGAGTTGTCCAAAACTTGCCAATAAAAACCAACCGTAATGGATATGGCTGTTTGGCCACACTTCCCAATGACTTCATTCTGCGTGACATCATCTCGTTGTGCGGCTCCGAAGGAAACAACATAACTAATACTGTACTTCCAAGGACAAACATTGGAAAGCATTACAGAATCCATATTTGTAAAATTCTACTTGTGTAGAATTTTTTTCATTTAAAATCCCATCCCTTTTTCAGTCATATTATATATTCAGTGAATACAATAAATGCTACGTGAGCTTTGAACGGACCTTGGCGGATGCCTCCGTTGGGAAGCGTGCGGCCTGCAGCTTCTGGCCACGCAGCAAGTCCGACACAAAGCACGTGCGAACTGCGACCGGCACATCACAAACCCAGAATGAATGACACAGCCAATCAAATCCTGAACCACAACATTTTAAAATCTCCAAAACATTGTGCACTTTTTTTTCTAATTTTCTTGCTGTTGATTTCACACCTGATGATGATTGCTTGTGTTGCAGTCGAAACGTCGTGAGAATTTTATTGTTTTATATTTTTATTATTTTATTACTTTCCTTCTACGTGACTTTACCAAGAGAACCAAGAATATGAATCCCTGCAGTCACGAAAGCTTTAAATCAAAATTTAGAGCCCATATCCTCATGTGCCTATGGAGGATATTCCAATTCCTATGGCAAGCACTGTCTAATCATCAAGCAGCACCGCTCAAAAGTTTGGTGGTCACTGTTTTGACTCAAGAGAAATTAATTCTGGCAAGGACATGAACTCACAATCTTACAGATGCCTGCTGCTTTACTAACTATACTGTGAAATCACAGCTCTGGGTAATAGATCTCACACAAAAAACGAAATACAATCATCTAAAAAATGTAACTCTTAAATCTCATGCGTAAATATATCCAGTTTTAATATCATACTATAATCAACAATATCCTTGCATTCACCAAAGCAGACAATCGCGCTAATCACCACTTACACACCACATCTCAGCCAAGGACATTCCTGCAATCAGCATGCAAAACATGCCATGCAACTAAACAAGAGCAGATGTTCAGATTATAACGTAGCTAAATTGCCTAATTAACATAATATGAACAATAAATCGTGACTTAAAAAAAATGTTATCATGCCACAAGCCATTTTGACGGCTTTCATGCAGAGGCATTGGCAGGTCATGCGCACGATGTGCCGTCGCCCAGGAGTTGGGGGTGGGTGCACGTGCGGTTGTAATATTAATTCATGCACTTGTGTTGGCGCTTTGTAATGCACTACCTTTGATGTCCTCCAAAACATCCTCGGGTAGCAGAGAGGGGCTCTGACTGGGCTCGCTGGTGGCTTCCGCTGGGCTTCCTTCCTGCAGCATGGACCTCAGCTCTCTGCAATGACCAACCGGCACAATTAATGAATTTCTATTTGTTATCTACCAATTCCATCATTCGAAGACACAATCCAAAATAAGTGGTACTTTGAACACCCCCCCAAATGATGGTCATGGGTCACCTTAGCCCACGTTAGGGATACACTAAGGGGGAAGGAGGATTTGTTTGTAAAGGTTTTGAAGCCTTACCTTAGATCCCCTCCTGTAGAGATCGCAGATTAACAAGGTATGGGAGATTCCGAATTTTTTTTGGGTTAGGTCGTGCATAAAATACCATAAACCCTCCACCCGACATAAGCAAATTAATAAAAATGTCAAATGAATAAAACGTGCCATAAGTATTACTCTCCAATGCATCGGTGTGTTGTAACACAGCTCAACACTTATTTTCTACCACATACCTAGGCGTGTGTGACTCTGGTTTCTAACATGCGTTTAAAGCAACATATTTTTTCATTAAATTCAATTGTGACTTCAGAAGAACAGTACCACCATACTGCCCTCTAGTGATGTCGCTGCAGCATAACTTAAAGACTTGCAAATAAATGTGCCACAACAAACCCACACGATGGATAAGTCAAGATGCTTGGTGCATGGTGAGAGCCGGTCAAATTAGGCCATTGGGACGGTTTTAATCGCCATGTAAGTTTGCACAAACAAGGAATTCACTATGGCGGGACGGTGCATACATTGAACAAGTAGGAATCTTAACTTATATAAAAGGTATACACTCTAACTATACTAACGTTACAAAGTATAAGTAATACCAAAGGGCTAAAATCTTTAAAATTATGAATAAGTAGACCTTATAAAATGCGAATGTAAAATGTTAATTAGCCGTATTAAGCAATCTTAAAATACAAAAATACAAATAAGATTAAGGTTTCAATGCTGAATCAATTGTTTTACTTAACAGAAAATTTAAACTACCATACCATCAATTGAAGATATTTTGATAAAAATAACAAAATGTTATTTGGATTTAACATTTCTTCAAGCGGGTGGAGTTGTGGCACAGTGGTTAGCGCTCTACACTATGAATCCAGCCACTAGGGTTTGATGACCGGCCACGGCTGACGTCAGTGGTGGCACCTCAGGTCCTGGGGCTCTCTCCCTTCTCCAACCCACATTGACCAGCATGGTGAAGTATGGTCAATCAACCCCCATGACTAACTTGGAAAAGGGTGGAATTTTTCCAGCAGTGGATTGACAAACAGCTGTAAATTGTAAGAACATTCCTGATGAGTGTGTCTATCCAAGGGAAACCCTCGCAAAACCTCTGTGCCCATGCGACACAGACGTCCAAGTCAAAGCTGACCTGTGTAATGCTTTTCCTCCCAGCGGCATTGCCTCCCAGGCGCTGACGACCGGGATGCCTTCACAGACCTGATATCACTCAGGAAAACTGAAGTCATAGTAATTTCTAAAATTCTAGAACAATTACGCATCAAGCATTTTCACATGGTAAACAGCCACATGGCTCAAACATTCTTAAAGTTAGTACTGAAAATTTCTCACAACTGAGCATATGAACGAGGAGGAGATGTGTCATTTGACACACAGTATACATCTTTTTTTAAGGATAACCTTTCTGATATGGCTATACGTGGTCTGTTTTCACACTTTTCAGATTCATCCTCTCGTAAACAGGCAGAGGCAAGACTCCTTGAGGCTCCGAATGAAAAATGTTTTGCCCGGAGTGCAAGACTTTAGGGTCGGCTAACGACCTATGTTTAGTCATTTCCATATACATACAGGTTCAATCTGAATTCACAGTCTGTGCATGCGTGTCGGTATGGGTTTATGATCTATGCATATCTAAAGATTTGGCTTTTTTTAAGCACGCAGTTGGTATTCCAAATATCCCCATTTTCAGGAATAAAGCATGCACTTTTGTGCAGCCATTCTTAAAAAAACCCTTTATGTCAGAGAGACTGTTCATATTCACAGTCCTGATCATAACAAAATGTTAAATAAGTCACATTTGGCCAACTCTCTGAGACTCTTGACTTGCCAGACAAATCGAATATTAATTATATGGGATGCATAATTAATTTCACAACACCCACTACCCAACCTAAACTACCGTGATTATTTCAGCTAGTCTCTGTAATTCTAAGTATTTCCTGAAGGTAAGTCAACCAAACATTGAAATCCTCATATTCTTTGGGTCTTTAGGTAAAGTCACGTAGATAGGTTAAAAAAAACTACGACGTTTTGATCGCAACACAAGCGGTCGTCATCAGGTGGAGAACAAAAAAATAATATTAATTCCTGCAGTGATGAAGCTTTAAGATTGAGTTCCTCCTTTCACTGACAGTGTGGCTTTTAATCGTGTTTTGAATTAACCTGTTATTGAAATTAATTCAAGGATACAGGTAGGACCAAGGTTTCATTGTATCCGCAGTCCATAACAAGTGCTGTGTTGATGCCCAGGGTCAGAACAGCCATGAGGTGACTTGGCGCAAACAGAACCGAGGGGACCTGTAAAATATCAAACAAATATCGAGTGAAACACTCAACGAACACCATGCAGCCAGCAGAGTCAAACATCACTCGTAACGAGTAACGTTTCTACCGGATACAAGTCACCACGTCTACAAAGCAAAATAAACCCTGCCAAGTAAGGCCTTCAAATAATAATTTTAATCTCAATAACATCAACGAGCTCTGTATGAATAATAGGCGGCTTACTTTATAGTTATGTTATTTTAATGTGCAGGCTGCGCTGGTTAGTACTGAGATTTGGCATCTGGCAGTCGGCTTGTTTTACTTTGTTTGAGAAGCTGCCATAGTTCACACGAAATATGTGTTTGCATACTAACAATGCTCATTAGATACCCAGCAATGCATCAAACCCAAGGGCCATCTTCAAACTGAAGCAACAACTCAAATGTCATCGCTGGCAAACAGGCATCCAGGAAGATGCACTTGGATTTTAGGATAAGGATTTTCATTTAGAGGCTGCTTAACTAATCGAAACCATTTCAATGCTCTGCTGCAGTCTAGCCAAGGGGACCTCCAGTGGCAGCTGTCCCTGTGTGGTACAAGATATGTGCAGCACCTGCCAGCAAGGGTGCAATGTTACTGTGTGGTTTATCTCAATTAAGTAATCAGAGAGTAGAATGCAGACCATGATTAAACACTGCACTGTGCAGGCAAGAAAGGCTGTGCAAAGAACTGTAGGTGCCAAGTGGAGACCATGCCTCAAAGTGCTTGAAGAAGACCCGAGCGACGGCTTCACGGAAGTGCGTCGGACACAGCATGGACTCCACGACCACGACGCGTCGGTCCCGTGGGTTTACGAGCAGGTGCCTGCACAACAAGAAGACATGCTAGATCGGTGCGTGAATGAGTGCCACCGTGTCGCTCACCTGTTTTGTAACCATTAACCTTCAGTTTCTAAACACATTCCTGCGGAGGGAGCTGGTAGGAACGTTGGGTTGCTCGGTCAATGGCCAGGGTCAACGGCGGCGTGGTGTATTCTGCAAATATGCCCGACTCTGAGGGCGGGCACAAGCCGGTGTGAGTAGGTTAAATGTTGAGTTTTATAAGGGAACCACGGGGTGACCAGCCCCTCTCCACCCAGTCCCACCCCTCCCACCCACCCCCCACCCAGCCCCACCCTCCCCACCCAGCCCCTCCCCACCCAGCCCCTCCCCTCCCCACCCAGCCCCTCCCCACCCTCCCCACCCCTCCCCACCCAGCCCCTCCCTCCCGACCCAGCCCCTTCCTCCCCACCCAGCCCCACCCCTCCCATTTTTGGATGCACGACGGATGGACGGACGGACACAATAATCCCCTGTGGGCTGGTGGAACCAGGAGGTTCCTACCAGTATAATGCTCTACTGGAGTAAGTCCGTGAGACCGGTCTGGGAAGCACCTGAAGTAAAGCACGTGTATGAAGTCCTTCAGGTTCTGGTAGAGCTCATCCGTGTTGACATGATATTGCACCACTTTCACCGGCTGTGAGTACACACCACACAGAGGGGTGATGGTTTTTATAAACACACAAAAAGCATCTTCCAGAAAATGTACATCTTCATTGATTCATGCAGGTAATGCATGGAAAATGTTACTTAATGCAACCGACTCCAATGGCTTGTTGCATGTTCCTTAATTTCTACTGCTTATAATGACATCAGCTTTACTAAATATATGTTATGCATATGACCCGCACATGTTTACAAGACGATATCTGTATTTAAGGAAGGACAATCGTAAGAGCCATCGCGTTGGAGGGGATAGGCATACCGTGGACGTCCCCGGACCCTTCACCTCACTGGGCAGGATGCATCGTGGCCCGGGCTCCCCTGCAAATCCACATCTGGAAATACATGAACCACACATCGCCTTCGTTTATACACTGCCAGCTACGTACCAAACACATTCCTGCGGAGGGAGCTGGTAGGAACGTTGGGTTGCTCGGTCAATGGCCAGGGTCAACGGCGGCGTGGTGTATTCCGCAAATATGCCCGACTGTGAGGGCGGGCACAAGCCGGCGTGAGTAGGTTAAACGTTGAGTTTTATAAGGGCACCACAGGGTGACCAGCCCCTCCCCATCCAGCCCCACCCCTCCCACCCAGCTCCACTCTCCCCACCCAGCCCCTCCCCACCCCCACCCAGCCCCTCCCCTACCACCCCCACCCAGCCCCTCCCCACCCAGCCCCTCCCCACCCAGCCCCTCCCCATCCAGCCCCTCCCTGCACGACGGACACAATAATCCCCTGTGGGCTGGTGTAACCAGGAGGTTCCTACCAGTATAAATATTTTATGCAAGAGCAGACAAGTATCACATTGTACAATTCAAACCTAAAGTTTGTGTGCTGGTTTAACCTTGATTAGAGATCACCATCACGGTTTAAACATGATCATTGCACAAGTGTGCACTGGTTCGCTCCGACTAGGAATCAGCACTGCAGCACATCCGCATTATACAATAACAAGTACGTTTCACCTTTATTGGATATCATCATTATATTATAGCCAAGTTCAATCCTACGTGGTAGCTGTATACAGTACCAGTTTCACCCTTAGTAGTGATCATCAGTGCAGTGTAGCTTTTGTCACATGTGACAAGAATGTTAACTCTAGATTTGAAGCTTTCGTGACTGCAAGGATTCATACTCTTAGGTTTTTTCGGTAAAGTCACGTAGGTAAAAAACAATAATAAAATGAAATAATAGTAAATGAAAATAACTCAATTAAATCATTGTGATTTAATTGAGTTATTTTCATTTAAATCCATTGTGATTTAATTGAGTTATTTTCATTTATTTTCATTTATTATTGTTTTTACCTACGTGACTTTACCGAAAAAACCTAAGAGTAAGAATGTTAACACTGGTATCACGCTTCTTAAAGATCATCATTGGAGCACTGCCCATGTTACAATACAAGACCGGTGTGTTCAACAATACCGGCATCGCCATTATAATAATTCTAATGCAGTGTCCGTAACGTTACATTACAATTATTTTTCATCTCATGAATGAAGCTTGAGATTAATATGGTAGATCTCTGTAATGCAGTCAATGTGCATGGTGTGACTCATTATCCGCATTATGTTGGTTTGCAAAAACACATTACGTTTTAGAGAATTAAATGGGGGTCACAAGACATCTGGACCACGCCGTACTGTGCGTCCTGTACCCCCACAATTCGAGGTTGAACGAATGTAAGAGACCATCACGAAGGCCCAGGGGATGAGCGTGAACGCGTCAATTCCACTGCTGGATGAGGGCCCCACCACACCGTACGGATCGTGGGGGTGATGTGACCATACTTCACCACGCTGGTCAATGCGGGTTGGCGGCGGCCGGCACTGCCCTCTGCTGCCCACCACGCAGCCTATAACAACCCTTTATGCATGGTGGGTCACCCAGCCAAGCGTCGTCCAGACTCCACCCCGCTTGGCCTCCTACACCTGGTGGACTGGGGGCGCATTGTTACAGGCTCAGAGGCCCAAAGCCACCATAGACCTGGGCTGGCCGGACCCCGTGGCCTGGCCCCGTGGCCCGGCCCCGTGGCCTCCCGTGGCCTCTCGTGGCCTCCCGTGGCCCGACTCACTTGGTGAAGGCGGCGCCGAAGTCGAACACCACCGCTGTCTTCTCGCCGCCGATGCCCAAGCCCTCGAAGAGAGGCATCGCGGCCTTCCCCGTGCGCCACTCCCTCCACAATCTCCAGACCACTCGGGCAATGGCGCTACAATCCCCAGTGCACACAGGATATAAGCAATTACAAACTCTAGTGCAGATAGGCTACGGAACTATATTTCCAAGTGCACACAGGCGAATGGCATTGTAATTCCTAGTCCACACAGACTGGTACTACAATCCCTAGTTCACATAGAATCGAGTACTGAAATAGCTAGTGCACATAGGATAGATAACTATAATCCCCAGTTCATACACGCGATGGCACTAGAATCCCTAGTGCATTCGGACAATGTAACTACATTTCCCAATGCCTACAAGCTGTGGTATTACAATCCTTAGTGCATACAAGCTGCATGCACTACACAATCCTCTCGTCTGATTTACAATGTAAATTTCGTATCGGAACCTCAACTTATGATGCATAGTCTTTTATTATCAGCCAGCTCTGTAGTTTAGTTGTGTATGGGTACCCTAAACAGGGTACGTCAAACACGCCGAAAATCACGGTTATGGGATCATCGCAAACCTGTCACCCCCCTTATCAGTGTCCTACCCTATTATTACAGACACATTCAGGGCTTATTGATCACGCTCATCCTACAAAGACCCATCACAAGGGAGAAACACAAATAGTCTAAACAATTCTAGATAGTCAAAACAATGTGTCTTGCCCATATTGAAACGGCTGCACGCCGTATGGACCTGAAAACTCAATTTCCCTGGACTAGAATACGGGGTAAGCCATATAACTTTGGGGCCGTCCATAAATTACGTCACGCGATTTTGGACGATTTTTGACCCCCCCCCCCCCTCTCGATACACGGCGTCACAAAAAGTCAGACCCCCCCCCCTCAAATATGACGTCACAAAGCTCTGCCCCCCCCCAACAAAAAATAAAAAACATGCTTCAAATCGCTTTAAACTATTGTCATTGTAGTGCGTATTTAATGTGGCGCTGCACTTTGATGTTGTATGAGAAAACATTTATTAAAACGTCTATTTAATTAAGTAGAAAGTGTTGTCTATATTTATTTAAAGTTGAACATTTTGATGTGACGTCACATTTCCCCCCCCCCCTCGTCACATCGTCACAAATGTCTGACCCCCCCCCTAGGTGCGTGACGTCATTTATGGACGGCCCCTTGACAGTTTCGTGGAATGTCATTGTCAACGTTTTAAATGTTCGATTTTCGAAAGCGTATGTTGTCAATGAAACCATATATTTTAGAAAATTGAACGTTTTACGGATTAAACAAAGCAAACGAATCTGCCACACGCAGGCACTGAAGTCAACACCCAGCTCACACGGGCACGACAAACCCACTCGATACGTGGAGACTGCCTTCTTGGTTCTTTCGGTAAAGTCACGTAGAAGGGAAATAATAAAAATAAAACATAATAAAATAATTCTCACGACGTTTCGGCCACAACGCAAGCAGCCGTCCTCAGGTGAAGAACAGGTCTGTCGGAAAGACAGCGTCTGAATGGACGTGGAGACTGCTTTAGCATTTACAGCTTCGTTATCATATCGCACCGAACGTGAGAGTTTAACACGTAGCAGGCTTTGGCGACCAATGTCATCCATAATAGAGGGTTTTTTTGGGGGGGTTAGATCGCTTAAATGTATAAATGTGTCGTTAAACCCGCCACCACCCGACACAGCCAACTAGTGAGGGTTGTCACGTAAACAGAACGTGGCCAATTCGACACTAGTACAGCACTAGTGTGTAGTGTAGTGTATAGTGTAGTGTATAGTGTAGTGTACTAGTACAGCACTAACCGGTTGTGTGTTGGAGAGCCAAGCCACAAAATTTAAAATCTGAGTACTGTGACGTTTAGTTTATGTTTATTACATCTGGCCGCTCACCGGTATTTATTCATGCGTAATTACAGCTCGCTTCATCAGGCTGTCGCCTGTCGCCTGATGAAGCTAGTTGTAATTACTGCCGAAACGTCGTATTTGTAGATTTACGCGATCTAACCACAAAAAAACCTCTAACGTCACAAAACAAATCGGTCTTACGTACAAAGTGCATGTGCAGAAAAATGTCTCGTTCATATATCCCTTCGTCTACATCAAAACTACAAGTCTGTTTTACACATTCCGTCAGTCACGCGACCTTTTTTTCCTGGGGTGCATAATTTCAGCAGCTTTGATTCGATACAAGCTCACCCGTGGACCGGTTTTCGACACCCATTGTCTCATCCCCCCCTCTGTAAGAAATGTGGTTATTTATATTCTCCACAGGCAGCCTGTTTGTGCATGGCTAGTGCACACAGATGCCTCTCTGTACACACCATCGTCCGCACTGACGCGCCTGTTATTGATCGATATTGTCTTCGGTTTCACAGAGGCAGACTATAATACAGTACAGAGGAACGGATTATTTTTACGTGCTTTTTTTACATGTAAGACCTTCATTTTCCACATCATGTATAATGTAATATTTTTCTTTGTATATCTTTTTTAATGGTATTAATATTTTCGACCCTCCAGTTATCTGTTTTTGTTTTTTCCTCCTCAATCTCTGGGGTTCCAGTTCTTACCAAGAGACATTCTCACATGTATAGGTATACATGTATTTTGTATTTCTTCATATCTCACTCATCATCAGCCATGATCAATTCACTGCTGGATCAAACCCTTCCAAAGATCTTGTCATCTCTCACGGTCTTATAATGGCAAAAATCCACTCAGCACCTCCACAGGAGCCAATTTAATCGCTCCATCTCCACTCTGGACGTACGCTCGGGCATTTTCCCTACTTTGGCTGCCACTCCGTTTCTCGTCTCGCCCATCCGGCCATCATCTTTACTCACGATGTGTCCTGCCCAAGTCCACTTTACTTTTCTTCATCGTCAATATGATGTTCTCAAAATATTGATTGGATAAATAAAGACAAATATAAATGGAGACAATATTTGCTATCTTAGGTTTTCTGATTGCAGAAATTATAACATCCATTTGAGAGAGAAAAAAGCTAATTATTAATCCGGTGTGTGTAACTTTTAAAAGAGACTTGCAGTTTCAGTGAGCCTCCACCAGGTTACCTGAAGGCCCTATTGATTGTTTTTTTTATGTAGCATTCAAACGCAGATTCACAAAGTGCACCCATGAAATTAAAACAACTATACACTATTTGTATTTAACCAGGTAAGGCTCACTGAGCTATATAACTCTTTTTCAGAAGCCACCTGACCACAGGGGATAACTCAACGAAGTGGCTTATCATGTGGAAATGTATAGCAGCTAAATGCTGTACTCTAAAAGCTTGTTTGTAAATGTGGGGGGGGGGGGGGGGGGGACCGGAGGGGCTGGAGAAAAATCCACGTGACCACGGGAAGAGAGCCACGCAAACTCCAAATATACAACAGGCGTCAGGGTCGTGATTTAACATGCTGCGACCTCCTGTATACCTGGCGAGGTGATTAACATCTCGCCAGGTATACAACCACGCCCAATTCACACCTCAAGGAGTAGCTTATATAATTGGAAGATGGATTTTGAAAAAGATATACAGGGCGTTTGAAAAAATGTGAACACTTCCCAGAATTTGCAACAATACCACAATAAAATGTGCCTCTGGACTCTGGAGACCACCTGGATAAGATTCCAGGCACGTGTTGACAATGATGGCGAACAAGTGCAGAGACTCTTCGACTTTTTGAAGCTATTAACATACATTTGTTATCATGTCACAGTGTATTATCCGTCATTTTCCCCATTAAAAACGATGGTCCCATATAAATGGTAACATTTTTTTGAAGCACCCCTGTAATATAAACCCAATGGACCGCACATTTTCAAAGTGTACCCCAAAAATAAATCCCCGTACAGCCGCGTCCATTCGCACGCGGCCTCGTCTTGTGTTGACAAGCAGCGACGCCCCCCACCCGCTCACATTTACGCACTGACTCTCACAGGACTCTTGCTAATTCGCAATTACCGCGCTAATGTGTCTACTGAATTACAGCGGCTCACACCCCGTTGGTTGAAACGCGGCTCACTGTTTAAATTACGACTTGCGTGGCGGTGCATTTGGGAGCTTCCGAGAAGCCATCGCCAGTGAAATCACCACCATCCATTCTTCATCCACTGCTGTTTTCTTCATCCCTCAATTTAACATTCTTCGGACCAATTGCATGATATCGACCAGCATTGATGCACCGTAGTCTATACGAGTATAGCCGTGCATGCGGTATAAATGCGCACGCGTGTACGGGCGGAGGTTGCCTTTTGAAGTAGCCGCTCGCGATATTGCCGCACGGAGCGCATGCCAAGTACCTTGGGCCGCCGCAGCTCCAGCATCATCGCGTGTTTCTCTGCTTGCCGTGTTGGTGTTGTTGTTGTTGTGCGCGCATCTGCGCACGTGCGCGCGCGATAACGCAGCGCGTGCACCCGACCCTGACCGGCTCCGCCTTGCGCGATGCGGCGACCCCCCCCCCCCCCCGGCATGGATTGCCGATGAGAGATGCAAAAAAAAATCCATCCCGATGGTTTTTTTTTTTGCTCTCCCTCCCTCTTCTCGCGCGAGCAGCTTCTGCAAGCAGCGAGACGCAAACCCTGCAGGGCTCGGGCGCCTCCCTTTCATCTCCTAACCGCGTCCTGTCGCATCCCATCAAATCTCATCGCATTTTTCATCCACTTTTGATTTGTACGGATTTTTTAAAAAATATACCTTGGGTGTGCCAGCGAGAAATCGCTTAATCGTAAATATATAACGAGAGAGAGAGAGAACGAGGAACAGACGTGCACGTACAGAGTAAAAAAAAAATAACAACGATCATTCCGCTGTCTGTCCATCATCGGCCATGCGAGCTGTGAGAGCGAGCGGCTTCCTGGCCGCCACGCTGATGCTGATATTGGTCCTCAGTGGCCCGTCTTGGTCCAGGCCGACCTCCACAACGGGGTCGTCCCCGCGGGCCTCCAAGGGCGCGCGAGGCTGCCCCGGCCAGCGCCTGTACGCCGCTCAAGACGCGGGGGGGCAGCAGGGTCGGCTGGACCTTGGCACCGTGGTGACGGCGTCGGCGACCGGGGTGAGCGGACGCGATGTGATCGCTGCTTGCGCCGAGGCGCGCGGCACCGATGTGAGGACGACTGCCGTGGTGGGTGGCCGTGGTGGTGGCGGTGGCGGTGACGGCGGTGGGGCCTCGCGAGTTCTCCACTCCAGGGCGAGGCGGTGGCTCGAGTCTCTGGCGCCGGTCGACTTCCCCGAGGAGCACTTCCCCGGCCTCAACTACTGGGGCTTCGGAGACGCAGAAGAGGATGAAGACGAAGACGAGGAGGAGGAGGATGGCGTGCAAGTAAGGGGTGAGCGCGGCGAGGGAGAGGAAAAACGAGCAGCGCAGGACGGTGCGGACGACGTGGATCAAGGTGACGGCGAAGGAGCAGACGTCGTGGATTATGACAAACCACAAGGCGAGAAGAAGCTGTGGTCTGAAGAAGCCCTCACTCGTGGTCTCACCCTGGAGGAGCGAGCAGGTGGTGAACAGGAAGCTGTAGACCTGGCTGCCGATCGCCAGGAGGCAGAGGATCCTGCAGATGATAACTGGAAGGAAGAGGACCCTGTAAGGAGTGATCCAAAGGTTGAGGATCAAGCAGATGACGATGAAGAGGATGCTGAAATCCCTGCAGGCGATGTGGAACTTGACAGCCCCGCAGATGGAAATGTGAAGCTTGAAGACCCCCAAGGTGGACGTGAAGAGATGCTGGACTCTGCAGGTGGCGATGATGAGAAGGCTGAAGACCCCGCGGGTCACCATGACTCGAACGCGAGTGACTCCACACGCGAAGTGCCGTCCGGCGTTGATCCACAAACCCAGCCCAACGCCTTAGACACCACGGAGGCGGCTGCCGTCTCTGACAAACACGGAGGGGTCACAGCTGAGGCAGACTCGACAAAGCGCCTGCACAAAGCCACCTCGTGGGGGCTCGGCGTGAACGAAAGTGCCCCTGGTGGAGGAGGTGACGACGACGACGAGCCCGGCAGGGAGACGGAGCTCAACGAAACTTCGAGGCACGGAGACATCACCAAGGGTGACACCAAGGGTGACGTCTCAGGCAGCACGGACGCCGGGCTCAACCTCACGACCGCTGCAGGTGACCGTCAAGGAAAACCAGGAGGAATAGATATCTTTGGGGTGAAATGTGTTTTTAGAAGCAAAAATAAGCCCCAAATCTATGAACATGTTTCACATAATGTCATAGCATTTGATAGTGGGTATGGCGGTTAGTAGAGGCCGCCTGTAATATGCACACACTCTATGTACAGATGTTTTATTATTGAGTAAATGAGGTTATAGTTTGAGCTACAACTACAGTCATGCATGAACGCATGATGCGTGTTTTGTGTTTAATATGTAAATTGAATACTCTTTAAAATGAATTCGGCCAAATATACCAACGCGAAAGAGAGTATTGAGAGTGAATGTTTTTTTTGGATACGTGTATTTGTTTTTATTTGAGGCAACACTGGCACTGCCATTCTATTCTCTTCCCACCTGGATACCTGTTTTGCCTGGAACAATAATTTGGGAGTGGAGTGGTGGCACAGTGCTTAAGTCGCTGTGCTCTGAACCTGGTAACCTGCTGAGTTTCATTCCCAGTCACGGCTAACATCAGTGGTGCGTGATATATGAACCGGTGCCAGGTCATACTTTACCACACTGACTGGTGTGGTGAAGTATGTTTTAAAAATAAACAATCCCCATGATCGACACGGCCTGACGAGGCCCTCACCCAGCAGTGGATTTACAAAGGGCTGTACATTATTAAAAGAAGCGCGGCAGTTTTTCGTTACCTCGTAACTTGATATTATACTCAATGTATCGTAAATATATATCATGTATAAACCAAAAATACAAGAATACGTGTGTCCGCAGAAGCTCAGAAAGGTCGTGATGCACACGCGCAGACACGTGCGGGGTTTTTTCATGATACAATGGTTTGTTCTTTCCGACAATGTCTCGTTTTGTTGAGTGCCAATCAAAGCTCGTTCCCAGCTGGCGTACAGAGCTCAGGGGGGCAGCGTGTCCTTGTGCCAGTGCCAACACAATGCAGATTTAGTCGCACCGCTGTGCGTAAAAACACGCGAGTGAAAAAGCCTTTTGTCGTTATTAAAAGGGGAGGCGTGCGTTGCCGGTTTACCAAATTATATTGTTTCCGCGTTGCGAGCGTCGTCACATTCGGTGTGTGCCTGTAAATGTATAAACTCTACCTTTCCTATCAGCAGGATCCACACGCCGACACCTCATCGGATCCAAAGTCATTGACACACGCATCATGGTCAAAGTGTGCCATGGTTGCACACTCATTAATCACTCGGAGCTGCAAATGCAGTTTAATTTGTAAACAGTATTTGGTCATACAGCACCCATCTTTGCTTTGTCGCACACACATGTAAATATGAACATCATATCCATCCTATACACATGTGTAATTAGTTTTAGATGCATTTACTCTATTGTCAAACTGTCCAATGGAAGTTTTGGCTGATTATTCCTTAACTTGTAAACGTAAGGAATGGGTTATTTTGCTATGTAATAACTCACAATCATTTTTGTAAATCCACTGCTTCATGACGGCCTTTGCACATTATCAGTCTTTGAGACGGCTTGACCATAATTCACCACGCTAGTCAGTGCGAGTTGGTGAAGGGATATAACTTGGTCAGATATGCTGATGCTCAACAGAATGTCCTTGTAAAATGCAAATGTGAAATCCTGTCCTAACCTCCGCTGCTCCATTGTATTCCACGCAGCGATTATCCACCTCCTGTGGCCCATGAAGGTGTTTTTATAACTCTCCCCTTATGACTCCGACTCGTACGTAGCCCAAGTCAACATTGGGGACGATCCCGCCATACATGAAACCAATTACTCCTGATGCATACGGACAGGAGAGATGAACTATGAATTCGGTATAATGCACTTACGCCCGTAAAGGTGAGTAGCTACATATAGGGGACGGAGGTCTGTAAGCCATAGGGGCCATCCATAAATGACGTCACGCACCTGGGGGGGGGGGGGTCAGACATTTGTGACGATATGTGACGAGGGGGGGAGGGTGAGAAATGTTCTCTCCTACAACATCAAAGTGCAGCGCCACATGAAATACGCACTACAATGACAATAGTTTAAAGCGATTTGAAGCATGTTTTATATTTTGGGGGGGGGGGGCAGAGCTTTGTGACGTCATATTTGAGGGGGGGGGGTCTGACTTTTTGTGACGCCGTGTGACGAGGGGGGGGGGGTAAAAATCGTCCAAAATCGCGTGACCTCATTTATGGACGGTCCCATAACCAATCCAATGCTAGTGAAGGCCTCTTACAAGCCATCTAAATCTACCAGCAGTCTCGCAAGAACGCCTCCACATGTCTGCGCTGGTCAGGGGATTTGTTTGACCATACTTCACCGAGACTTGTGAGATTGAGAAACACTGGTTCGGGTGTCACTCGCCACATAGGTTAGCCTCGGCCAGAACTCAAGTTGTCAGTGTGCCAACCACTGTGCCACTGCTCGCCTTGCTTGAAGCTAGTGCAGTGCCCTCCAATGTGAGGTGTCCAACGGCACTTAACAGAATCCACAGAGAATAAAACAACTGGAAAACTACGAAACTTCTGTAAAACTACAGTTTATCCTGTGGGCAGAATTAAAGATAAAAACAATTGGAAAGTCTTTAAATCTGCAACATAACACAAAGCAAACTTTAATATCAAGGCAACAAAAATATAAAATTCCAGCCATGATAAATCCACAAATGAAGGCCTCCTCACTCCACGTCAGTATTGAGGGTTTGTTGGCCATACTTCACCACACTGGTCAGTGTGGGTTGGTGAAGAAGGGTACATATTTTTTGACAAATTACATTTTTTTAATGCTTTTCAACATTCCGGTTTGCTGAAAAAAACAAATTATTTGGAATATTTACCCACGTGACAACTCGATTTTATTGGCCCTGTTAGGTGGCAGAGGGTGTAGCTGAAAATTGGCATCATACCTACACTTTCTATCCCAAAAGTAGCTAATTACAGATCATACGTTTAAAAAAGGTCATGTACCACTGAGGATAGTGAACTTGGATGGTGCCAAAGTGACATTTGTTGGCCCAGGGCCAACTCCTAGCTCAGGCCCTGCTTGTGGAGATGGCAGTGCGGCGCACTAATCACCGTCCTCGCACTCCACCCAAGAAAGATCGGAGCAGTGCGCGGTGAAAGTACTCCGTGCGTGTGCCTCTAGCGCCGACACAAGTGCTGCAGAGCAACACGTGGCAGCCGGACAAAGCGAGTCGACCAAGTCCATCGGCTCGCGGTGCTCACGCCGGGCCAGCGGAGGTGAAGGGTCAGCCTGGGCAGGTGGAGCACGCGGCGCCAGCGGAGGCGGGCGGACCGGCGGGACCGGCGGGCAGGCCGGGGAGAAGGCGGGCCGGTCTGCAGGAGGGGGGCGGCGAGGGGCTCCTGGTGGAGGTCCCCTACCCCCGCGGGGGGGCCCCGAGGGGAAACCCCATGCACGGTTCCCACGGATACGTCAGTAAGTGTGGGCTCTATATAGGGTGCTTCAAAATGTTTTTAACACTTATATGGGACTATCGTTTTTAATACGGAAAAGAACGGATAATACACTGTGACATAATAACAAATGTATGTTGATAGTTTCAAAAAGTCAAAGAGTTTCCACTTGTTCGCCATCATTGTCAACACGTGTCTGAAATCTTCTCCAGGTGGTATCCAGAGCCCGGAGGCGCATTTCTTGTGGTATTGTTGCAAATTATCGGAAGTGTTAACATTTTTTTAAATCACCCTGTATATAACAGCCACGGTAACGTGGGTGCACGGCAGGTAGACCAACAATGGTGATTGGCTATACGGTACTGAATGTGTATGCCAAATAGTCACCGAGTGGCTGACCTCAATAACATAAACTATAAATCAGTGGTTTTATTTTATTTTACCCGGTAAGGTCCACTGAGCTATGTAGCTCCTTTTTCAGAAGCGACTTGGCCACACACATTATAGCTCAACAAAGTGGATTGTCACGTGGAAACTTAATGCAGCCAAAACTTCTAAACGCATTTTTATAAATGTGGAGAAAAATCCACGCGACCATCACGGGGAGATCATGCAAACTTCAAATATACAGGCGTTAGCGTCGGGATCGAACCCACGACCTCCTGTATACCAAGCGAGGTAGTTAACAAATTGCGCACACATACACGTGTAATAACTGAGAGTGGGCCAAATGTTTGGCTGCTTTATTCAACTCAACTAAGAGAACTACAACACGACTAAAATCCCACGTCTTTTGCCAGACTAAGCCTATGTCTAAAATAACGAATGCTGAATGGAAATTAACACTGCTCACCCTTTTGTTCTCCTTCTACTACACAGAGGCACTTATGTTGGCGCTGCCAAGCAATTGAGTTGCACCGGGGTAAACAATAACGGGGATGTCTCTGGAGGCCATGGGATAGTTCGGGTTACCTCCTCTATAGGATTACCTCCTCTATAGGGTTACGTACTGTAGGTTTCGTTCTTTTGGCAGCATCAAGAAATTCTGGGTAATCTGAATGCACTTGTACAGCTATTTTGCCAATCGACTGCTGGACGAACGCCTCCTCACATTACGCAGGTTGTGGGGGGCTATTTGAGCATACTTCACCAAGCTGGTCAGTGCATGTTGGTGAAGGCGGAGCGCATAGACGTTTGGAGCGTATAAGTAGAGTACAGCGATTGGTTCTGCTGCACTGCTCTCTGCTGCCCACCACGTAACCCCCCAACCCCGAAGACAACCTCGTCTACGGTGGTCACCCATCCAAGCACTATCCAGGCTCAAACCTGCTTAGCTTCCGAGGTCGGGTGCATTCTGGGTGATTTCGTCATGGGCGGGGGGATGTCTAGACATCAAAATGTCTTCCTGATTAAATGAAAAATGGGGCAGGGCTCGTCGCCATTTGGCAGCCTTATAGCCGGCGAGCGAAATTGTTGGCACATTTGCGGCTCATAATTCCACAGTAGTAGACAGTACGGTACAAAAGTGTCGGTTTCACGCTGATGAAAACGTATTTTTCGACACACGTACGCTCGCACCACGACCACTTTCCCTTCTCCAATAAACATCTCCGTGGATCTGCATCTATTGAAATTGGATGACCCATCCTGACGAGGGTAATTTCAGCCACACACACACGCGTCGTGGCCTAAGCCAGTACGCACAGACGATGCTGACTGTAGTGATTGACAACTGATAATATGTAGACTGACCTTGTACGCTGAAAATAATGAATAATTGATGGTAAAGGTGCAGCCCTGCAATTGCTTGCTCACGCCACTGAAGGCAGAAGGGCCTCCACGAGATGGAGCTCTGGAGAGCTACTCGAGAGTACGTTGGGTCTGCTCATCCAGACTGCTTAGATATCCTGAAAGAGGCGGCAGTAACTCACCACATGCCCACTTGCCGACCGACTCACTGTCGTTGTGCCCATTTGTACTGCTGGGTGGACAGAGGCCGGGGGGATTCAAGAATAACACGTGTAAGGCTTTCGCGACCAATTGTAAATGCTGTGGCTTGGCTCTCCAACACACCGGTGTGCTGTACTAGTGATGCATTGGCCACGTTCTGTTTACGTGACAACTCTTACTAGTTGGCTATGTCGGGTGGTGGCGGGTTTAACGACACATGTATATGTTTACGCGATCTAACCCAAAAAAAACCCCTGTATTATGGATTCAAGAACTTTCCTCGTTGTCAGCTGCTGACCTGGCTGTGTCTGCCTGCAATGTTTGGCCTTGGTATGAGCGATGGGAACAGTATGCGAAATGTTTCACTTTTTGTTGTATATTTTGCAGTAAAGAGCTGGGTTCGGGAGCTGCGCAGTAAGGTAAGGCACGCGAGACGCGCACTCCTGAGAACTGGCAGCAGTGAGTGGCGACCAAAAGCCTCCTTCCCAGTTCTTCCCACAACCAGCTAACACCCACCGACATTTCCCACCACCTTGTTCTAGCCTCCCTCCTCCATGGCCAAGCCACTCCATCTAAGCCATCAACAGTTTTCACCAGTGGCCCTGATACCCAGCTCACTCACACTCATCCATCGTTCCGTCATCACATGCCTACCTCCACCAGCTAACACCCACCCATCTCACATCCACCAATACCACCTCGTACCCGAGAAGAACGTGGACTTGTTAGATGAATTAAAACGGAGGAAGAAACTCTGGGTTTGGCGAGTAAATAGTCTGTGCGGGCTGGCAAAGGTGGCAGCGTGGATAAGGCTGAGTGCTTTTGTACTCGCAGAGCGACACCTGTGCATGTTGTTGAATCTGGATGTGGGAGACGCCCACCGCGTAGCCCTGCGAGTGCTGGAGACAAACCGCGTGCACGTGGTGGTGACCGATCCAAACACTATCCAGGCTCAAACCTGCTTAACTTCTCAGGATCTGACAAGATTGTGCGCATTGCGGGTGATTTGGTGATAGGGCTCTGGTATTTCCTTCTATATTGGGGCGTCACGGTGGCGAGATAGTTAACATCTCGCCACGTATACAGGAGGACGTGGGTTCGATCCTCGACCCTGACGTCTATATATATATGATTTTGCACGTTCTCCCCGTTGGTCACCTGGATTTTTCTCCGGGTCCTCCCGTTTTTGCCTCCCCCCCACCCCTCCCCGCCTCTCCGCCCGGTGTGGCCACTCGTAGCGAGGCACATGCGGCAGCAGGGGGCGCTGCTCGCTACTCTCAGCAGAGCCCTAAAAACCTCTTTACACCCCTCCGCTTAATACATTTGTCGTAAATTTAATAAATATCCTTTTAGTATTATTTTTATGCCGACTGCCTGCTGCTGATGTGTCCTGTACAGCGCTTTGATGTCCTTGATAAAAATCGCTATTTGATGTAATTATTATTATTATTATTTCATGAGTCCCAATCCCCCGCGGGATTGGAATACTCCGATCCGCATGTCCCATTGTCATTGGAGGTTACCGATAACAATACGATCCCTTGTCAATCTACTGCTCGATGAGGAGCTGCCCGCACCGTGTGGCTCTTTGGAGTTGTTTCACCACGGCAATAATTCACCACTGGTTGATGAAGGCGGGGAGCATAGATACGGGAGCCTAGAAGTACAGCACAACAATGGATGTTGTTGCATCGCCTTCTGCTAGCACAACTTAACCCCACCACGACCATGTGCTGTTGGCCGTTTCCCGTGTGTACGTACCTGGTGGTTGGTGGACATGTGGAGATCGGCCGGGAACTGAAGTTATAGAAGCACTGCACAGTGAGGTGGCCGAGTGACTCAGGGGTCCTGGGGTTCGGATCCTGGGTTCGAATCCAAGCGACCACCTGTGATTAAATTTGGCTCTCAGGTGTAGCGAGTTTATCGATTCAGTCACGTCACAAAGACCAGCTTACAACATCATAAAATAATGGTGGATTTTTCACTTCGTTTGGAAAGAAATCCAGCTTTGATCATTGACATGTTCAGTTTGACTTCAGTGTGGTGGGTAAAAAGTCACTTGAATTGATCTCACAATTATTTCCGTGACATCACATCCCAAGGTGGGGTAATGCACGAGGCTATGAAAGTTCTGAATGAGAATTGCCCCATCTCATGACACAGGTTGCCCAATTTCAGGGCAAATTCCCGGTTTGCTTGGCGACTTCCTCTAACCCTGACCGCAGTGGCGTAGCTACCGAGTGTGCAGGCGGTGCAACTGCACCGGAGCCAAGAGGCCATGATAGGCGGGGGTGAGGGGCTACGGAGAGGAAGGAAAATCGGACAGCTGTGGGGGTAGTGGGGGGAGATGAATTTCGTTTGGTGCACCAGGACTCAATGCCCACCACGGCACGACCACTGCCTGGCTGCAGCTGTCGGTGCGAGGCTGAGACTCCCGCGTGGCCCCGTGCCCTCCGGCAGGTGGGCTGCATGTCGGGGCTGCTCGTGCCGGTGGGGATCGGCGTGGCCGCCGCCGCCTTCATGCTGCTGGCCGTGTACGGCCTGCGGGCCGCGGCCACGCGGCGGTGGCGACGCAGCGTCAAGAGGCGACCGCAGGTGAGGAGCTCGAGGTGGCTGCTCTCAAACTTCGGCAGTGCTCTGGCCCTTTGGGGGCCCCGAAGCAAACAATATTTGTGGTGCCCCGCCGCCCACTCCCCTTTCAATTGATACGAAAATAATGGCTTCTATTGAGATGACAGAAGCGATTATAGGTAAGAGATAGAGATGCAGTGAGATGAGAGAAGGGAGATGAACATGAGTTAGAGATGTAGTGAATAGAGAGAGATGTAAACAAGAGATACGTGTGGAGGTTTATGAGAGCAGAGAGATACAGACAACGCAGCGATCAGAGACATTTATTGGAGCTTTTAGAATGTTCATTGGCTTTATACGCTTATTAGGATTTTAATTGAAGCTTTTAATTGGATTTTTTTTCTCATGAATTCGGGGCCGTTTGAGTCACTTGGAGGCCCTGACGTGTTGCTGGGTTTACTTCTGCCTAGCGCCCCCACTGACCCAACATTCCTCAGACCTACCATATGTTCACGACCCTCGTCAGACTCCCCACTGCTATTGACGCTGCAGTTGTTTTTGAGTTTGTATCAAGTGCCGAGGACGTGACACGGCCCCTCTGTACTCTTTACAGCCAAGTGACAGCCACGGCTGCAACAATGCTACCGGCTACCGAGCCCTTTTGTGCACGTGTACAATGCACAGCGCTCGCCCATCGGAGCAACTGTCCAGGCTGAAGCCTACTTAGCTCGCGAGACCTAACGACGTCAGACGCAGTTCGCATTTGACTGCATCGTATGTAGTGGGTGCGAGGCGAACTGCCCTCCCAGTGGCTCCCTCCCCACCCCACACAACGCCACGGCTCCACGTGGAGCAGCAGGGTGAGGTCACCGCGTTCTCACTCATCCGCCCAGCAGCTGTGGGCAAGGCGCCTCGGGGTTATGTACCCGGTCCAGTTCACCTGGATTTTTCTACTATTTTTAAACTTGTTAAAGAACATGACACCACATCCGAAGTGAAAATACAGCCCCGTGTCAACGCATTGCTGGGTGAAGGCCTCGCCATGCAACGTCGGACATGTTTACTCCATGTCCGAGGTTGCATGAGGTGTGTGAAACAAGTGCCACGTGTAGAGGCTGCGACACTTGGTAAGTAGTCGCAAGTGGTTACTTCAAGGAGAGGCGAGCGTCCGTCATGTGAATGTGGAGTTTCCACCGACGGTTCGCGTTCGCCCGTGAACAGATTTAGCTGCCACGTCGCGCTCACTGGAGCATCGCAATGCGCCCGAATCTCATCGCGTCTCGCCCGTTAAGCGTCGTGGGGCAGTCAGCCGTGGAGGGCAGTCGAGGGCAGTGCAGGGAAGTCCATTGCTCTCAACTCCCACACCCCGTGAACCTTCACCAGCCATCGCTGACCAGCGTGGTGAAGTATGCTCCAATATCCCTCACGGTCCACAAGGCGTGGGCCCTCATACAGCAGTTGATTCACAAACGGGCTGTACATTTTACATGTGCGCTGCGAACTATATGTTGCTTATTGAACGTCCAGAAGTCGTCACGGCCAATGCCGCCGCCGGCCGCCGGGTCCAGCTTCCAGAGGATGTCTTACTGGACATCTGTGAAAAAGAGCTTTATAGCTCATCGGATTCCTCCGGTGTAAATCAACATGAATCTGAGAGGGTTTGCCGTAGAGCGAGCTGGTAAGCGGTTTCAGAGAGCAGTGAGCCCGATTGGCCCTGGTGATGCCCTGTGTACGCGTGCATTTGCCACAGAAGAGCGACACCACCAGCACTCAGGATCGCATGATGCTGCTGGCAGGCAGCAGCGAGGAGGAATTCTAAACAACCTGGGCCGGACCCCACACTCCCCGGACCGCAAACAACACCAACAACAACAACCGCCAGGCGCCACTCGGTGGCGGTGACGTCACCACGGACCGCACACACACACGCACACACACGCACACGCATGTTCACTCCGCACTCCTCTCCACCACACGCGTGACGGTGGCGCACCGTCAACTCTCAAGCGCGTCCCAACACACGGAACGCAGCGAACCGCGCGAGAGAATAAAAGTAAATGAGCGCGTTACCACGGGCGGACCGAGACACAATTTGGTGCCGTGCGCAATTACATCAGTGGGGATACAAAGGCGGTCGGGCCGTGCCTGCTTTAAGAGATCACTTGCGTGACGTTTCCCCCAGCGGTCTCTGACGACCGATGGGGAACCTCTGCGTCTGTGCGTGGAGGGTGAGAGGGTGGCTGAGCGATGGCGCAGTGGTGAGCGCACCGCACCGCAAGCCTGGTCATATAGGTTCGATTTAGGGCCGCACCTTTAACCTTTTCACTGAGACACGAGGGGGGGGAGACGCAACCACGCGGTAACTTTAAGCCTGCCGCTGGTGAGTTTAAGATGACTACCGCTGACCAATCAGAGTCGCAGGCGCCGTGCTATTAGAATCGTTGCTGTGGAATCGATTACTACAGGGCATCTGTGAAAAAAATTGTTTCATAGCTCATCGGATTCCTCCAGCATAAATACATATTACGATTCCGAATGAGGCGAAGTCACGCGGCCGGCGGCGCCTGTGGCACCGCGAGACGATGTTTGCACGTGCCGACGTCGTCGCGAGGCGTGCACGTGGCGCGTGACATCATCGCCTTGGCGAGAAAGGCTTAATGACGTCACAATGGGGGGTGCGGGTCCATTTTCCTCCGTGGGTCCTCGGTCTGTGCCCGATCGCCCCAATGGTCATGCTCCAGCGACATTGTGCCCAGGTGACCCCGCCAGCCGCTGGCTCCAAGCGTCCCTTATGTGCTTTTTAATTACGCTGTGGATTACTGGGATTTACTTTTAATCTTATTTTAATTGATGGCATTGAAGCCAGACACAACCAATGGGAAACAATTCAGATGGCCGGCCTATTGTGTTTACAATGTGGCACAGAGGAAGGAATGCTGCTAAGAGATATTAAGAAAGGGTAGAATGTTTGTGACACAGGCCGAGGATTTCCATTTATTATAATTATAAAAAAGTCCTTTGTTCATCTGCCGCTGGATGAAGGGTTCCACACACCGTGTTGATCATGGGGTCTATATGATCATACTTCGCCATGCCGGTCAGTGCAGGTTGGCAAGGGGGGGAGAAGGGGGGGTCCACGATAAGTTCAGAAATCACTCGCCACTGATGTTAGATGTGGCTGGGAGTCACACAACGGTTGAAATGTAGAGAGAATTTGGTAAGCCAAAGCAGTTATTTTGTCGGCACTTCTAAAATGTGACTTTTTCAGGGAAACGGGATCTTCATCGGAGCTCAATGCTGGGCTTTAATGAGGCCACATCAGAGAGACAAAACCCGCCCACAGCGCAAACCCCCCCTCCGGGCACACACTGGCACACGAGGCTAACAATCGCAACTTCAACAGCGAAAAACTCACACAGCACCCAAAGGAATTCTAAAACAAATAACTTGTGATGAACAAAATGTGCCTGAACGGGCCCTCTGTAGACTGTGAAAGCAGGGTACGAATTAATCACTCCTCCCTTAGCAAGGATTTATCTTGTATTCTCAGAACTGTAAACTGTTACTGTTGCAAGGTCAGACTTTTTGCCAAGAACCAGCAAGCCCGTATCAGGCTCCTTAATCTCACCATCAATGAACGCACACCGTGAACACTGCGCGTTGCTTAGAATTAACAGAGAATCAACAGCTGCCCGCTGTGTTTCGTGGGTCGTACCGCGTGTTTTGTTTTTGCATTATGTCCGACGTTTCGCTCCACATGCTGGTAGGAGCTTCTTCAGGAGCCCCACAACTAAAAAAACTAAACTCTTTGTTATTTTACCAGGCAAGGCCCACTGAGCTATATAGCTCTTTTTCAGAAGCGACCTGGCCACAAATGATAGCTCGCCGAAGTGGCTTATCACGTGGAAATTCGTAGCAGCCCATATACTCTAAACTCATGTTTCTAAATGTGGAGGGAAAACCTGGTTGGACATGGAGAAAAATCCACGCGACCACGGGAGGAACATTCAAACTCCAAATATACAGCAGGCGGTCAGGATCTAACCCAGGACCTCCTGCATACCAGGCGAGGTAGTTAACATCTCCTAGCCACCGTGGCGCCCCAAAACCGCGTGGAACAATCGGGAAACACATCGGACAGCCGGTACACGGCACAACCGCCAATGCCTAGAGACTCAATGAGTGCGGCGAGCAGGATGGGTCACGAAGAGCCCAAAGCGGAGCTGCGTGAGCTGCGACAAATGGCATTCAAGAAGTTGCGACTCGACGAGAACGTTTCAAATGAAGTGCGAATTTGACGGCGACGGTGCGCCGTGCGGGCATCGTTATTGTTTGCAGCATTGAGGTATTTTCATGATCACCGTCATCATAGTTTAGAATCAAAGTGGTAAATTTTCACGCACATTTTCAAGAGAATGTGCCCTCGTTGCATATATTTAAGTCACAAAAATAGGAATAAATTCCAGGCACACTAGAGACCATCTTAAGCAACTTATTTGCTGTCAAGGCCCGCATCCACCATAAAGTAGACAGCGTTGACACGAGCCACACCACGAGACGTCCCAGTATTTTGTACGTTTTGTGCGAACTTTATTTATTCAACTTCGCGGGCTGGCCAACAGTCGTCTTCCCCTTTTCCAGCTGCGCGTCGGTGGTGGAAATTCCACGTTACTTTGGTGGGGTCCAGCCTAGCCCCACGAGACAACTATCGCAGTCATCCACCCACTAAGTGGTCGGGGCTCAGCCGAGCGACTACCACGACGGATGGCCACGGTGTTGAACCAGCGCCGCTGGTGGGGGATGTGTTCAGCACGTGCTTTAAATCCAACATTGGAACGGAAGCTTGCGTAGGCTTTTAATGTGATGGTAGTTTTTGTTATTGACGACGACATCGTAGGTGTGTGCCGTTATTCGTACAGTTGCCGCAAATAGCGTTGGCTTGACAGTGGCGTTCGCCTGTTCCCAGTCGCGTGATCGTTTGTAACGTGTGGCGTCGTTTTCCGTCTCTTCGTTCGGTTGCGCGTAAAGGGGGTTACTTGTGTGAGACAGGCAACGGTGACTTTGTAAGAAAAAAAAACCCCCACGAATAAACACAATTGATGTCAATAAAACCGTTGCCACTCTCGTGCGCGCGTCTGAGAACACTGCGGTGACTCAACTGCCCATGCCTGGGCTGTGTGTACATGTGGGTGGTGTGTGAGTGATGTCTGTGTGTGTGTACATGTGGTGTGTGTGATGTTTGTGTATGATAATGATGTATGTGTGAGTGTGATTATGTCTGCGTGTGTGTACATGTGAGTGGTGTGGGTGATGATGTCTGTGTGTGTGTACATGTGGGTGGTGTGTGTGATGTCTGTGTATGATAATGATGTCTGTGCGAGTGTGATAATGTTTAATCTGTGGTCTTTTTTAGGGTATATTTCACCTGTGCTTCAAATCTGAATAATAATAATAATAATGACAGTACTTTGTCAATCCAATGCTGGATGAAGGCCTTCTCGTGTTTCACGGGGGCTGTGTTAAACTTCATCACGCTGGCCAACGGTGAGTTCCCGGGACCGTTTGAGACATCGATCGCCACCGATACCAGTTTTGGTTGGGAATCGAACTCGGATCTCCAGGCTCATAGTGCAGTGTGTTACCCGCTGCGCCAATCCCGACTGCCTATGTTGAAAGTGCCAGTGACATGGCAATCGATATTTTAACCTTAGCCTGTGCCTCATCTAGGTTGACTCAGCCGAAAACCATGAGTAATCTGTACGGTGGTGTTGTTTTGAGCATCGGGACTTCGGAGACAAAGGCGCTCAGTCAAGGCAGTTTGCCTAACGGGCCATACAGCAGCCCCGTGTCCTCCTCATGGGAGATGATGGTCGAGACTGGCATGGAAGAAACAAAAACGACAAGAACACTTCAACACCAAGAGGATTAATGACACCACAATGCCGCTCAACACTTTGAAATGAATGCGTGTCACCTACGTTTAGACTGTGGACCCTCCAAACATGGCAGCGTATTTAGTTTACACGTTTCAAATAGCACCGTTATATTCGTGGTTTCTTTGCGTTCATCCCACTGGCTTCTGGTGGTGGAGTCGAGCGAGATTCGAGGAGCCGGACGGAACAGCAGCGGCATCGTTTCACTGCAGTCCGCTCCCGCACCGCACCCCAGACTCCTCCTCTTCATCTCTCCGACGACAACTTTGCGTTATGGCTCCCGTATAGCTTCACTCCCGTACTATACAACAATTCAATTCAGTCAGTCTTTGGGGAGAGACGCGGTGGCGAAGTGGTTTCCTCACTGCGTCATGAACATGAGTTTGATTCCCGTCCACGGTTATAACATCAGTTGTGAGTGATATCTTGAACCGTTCCTAGGCCCTCTATCACCAACCTTACTGGATAATTTTTTTGGTGAACTATGGTCAAACAACTCCCGTGAAAGAAACGGCATGGTGAGGCCGTAAACAGAAAAAAATATGTAATTTTTTAAATATTACTAATAGATGTTTCTGTAAATGGATACATTAAACAGAACCATCCTCGTGAATGCGACGAATTTTAAAATGCATCTGCACCAATGACTGCAGATTCAGCAGCGTCCTAAATCATTTGGCATTGCCGTGATGAGTTGGATCCCCCCACGCGGCATAATGGGCAGATCCGTGGCACAACCCACTCTCACCCACGGGCCGTACCACCGCACGCCGTAGGGGTGCTCACAAAAGTTCTAAGTGACCTCCACACACCACACACTCTCACCGGCACTGTGAAGGTCCCCGGTGGGCCAGTGTAACAGTCGAGGTGATGTAATGGGTGGCTCTTGGCCAGCAGGCGACCCCCCCCCCCCCTCGGCCCCCACCGGGTGTCTAAATCTTTAAACAGCGTCTCGCCAAAGCGCGCGCCTCTGTCCTTCAAGGGCATTGTGCTCAAAAAAACATTCGCTCCTGTGACGTTAACGGGCAGCAGTTTCGCAGCGGTGAGTGCACTTGTGCTGTGAGCCCAGCCACCCGAGTTCGATTCTCCAGCTGCTAGGTAATGTCGGCGGCGAGTGATGCACGAACCGATCCTGGGGTTCCCCCCTTTCACCAACCCACACTGACCAGAGTGGTGAAGTATGGTCAAACAACCCTCATTACTGACATGGTGTGGGGATGTCTTCACGCAGCAGTGGATTGATGCTGGGCTGTAAATTTGCAATCGTTGTTGGACAGGTTATCAAATTCACCGTTTATGGCTGCATAAGTAAATTGGTACCACTTATGTTATTCCGTGCTGATTGATACCAGTTCCTCCCGTAGCAGTGTGAGGTTTAGGTCATTAGCCAATTAACTTACCAGACATTACAGACTCCCTTGGCCTTTTTCTCGTCCAGACTAAAACTACCTCCTCTGCTCATGCATGAAGTCTCATCTTAGTCTGAACCACGATCCTATCTATTAAACAGCTGCCCTGCTCCCCACCTGGTGCTGTACACGACACGCAGATGAGGCCCTGATGCACGCGACCTCTCTGCTCTTATCATCATCGTTATTATCACCATCATCACCATCATCGTTATCATCACCATCATCGAACGCCTTCATGGCTCTACAGTAGAGTATATGTGCGCTTCCTACCGGTACCTTTGTGACGATTTCTCTCATTTCACCGGACTCTTCAGCATAATCGGACGAGTTTTCGAAGCATTCCAAACCCAACATGTAAATCGTTATTCCATTGTTAAAGATCCCGTACACGTGTGTTTGGGATGCATCGCTGACAAAAGCCGCGCGCACCAAAGCGCTAATCCCACCAGCACAAAGCAAATGCGGACCTTAGCAAGAGTTGGGGGGAATAAAACACAATTAACAACCTTGCATGTGGCCGGCCACGTTGAATTTGTACGTAGCAAACCGTGCTCATGGTAGGTGCGGGGGGAGATCAACAAACATTGACCCCCGTGGCCATGCTGACAGAAACCAGGAGCGGCTGCATCTCTGCGGCATATCCAGCGATCTGACCATCTGCTTGCGTGCGGGAGGAGCACGTGATCGGGTTACGTTGGCCTGGCGCCCCCTCCGTACGGCAGTGGCTCGCGCCACCGCACGGTTTAAAACGAGGGCGGTAACCTGGAGATACAGATAAAGAAAAATACCGAATCTTGATAACTCGCACAGAGGTGGGAGCGGTGGTGCAATGGTTAGTACGCTGCGATGTCAACCCATCACCCGAGATCGATTCCCAGCCAGGGCTAACTTCAGCGGCAATTGATATCGGAACAAGTTTCGTCCTCCCCCCTCCCCCCCAACACTCTTAGCAACCCTCAGTGATCAGTGTGATGAAGTAAGGTCAAATGATACACTTATGCCCGGCATGGCATGGGGAGGCCTTTATCCATTAGTGAATTGAGAAGGGTTGGAATGATTTATTTACCCGCAAAATCTACTTTTCCAGAAAGGAGGGGTTTTGCTGAGAATAGGCAGATTAAGTGACTGAAAAATGTATATTCGGTCCATTGTGTAGCCATCTGTGGGCAGATGATTCAAATTGATTTCATAATCAATACGACCATTCACAAAATCGAGTTTGAAGGGTATTATTATTCAGTAGGGGACACAGTGCGAGTTTTAGAAGCGGGGTGATGGTGATCAGCGCGGTCTGGTAAACGTCGGTGGATAAATCAGAAAGTGCATGGGCCATTAAGTGGAAAGTGAATTGCTGCAGGAATAAATCCATTGACATTTTCCCCAAGGTGAATGACGTCCATGACTCTGCACTGATGACTCACGTATATTTCCATCCGCAGACCCACGTGTTCAGATATTTATTACGTTTAAAAACTTTATTTTGAATTCTTCTATTTTGCAAAGAACACAAAGTACATTAACAGTGGGAACGCGATCTCAAGACTCGTGACAAGTTAAATAATTCAACAAACAAGAACATAATTTATTATTATTTTCTCTTTTTATTTTCTCTCATTCAGACGCTGTCTCTCCGACGGACCTGTTCTTCACCTGAGGACGGCTACTTGCGTTGTGGCCGAAACGTCGTGAGAATTGTATTCTATTACGTTTTATTTTTATTATTTTATTATTTCCCTTCTACGTGACTTTACCGAAAGAACCAAGAAGATGAATCCCTGCAGTCACGAAAGCTTTAAATCGAAATTTATTTTCTCTTTTTACGTGACTTTACCGAAAGAACCAAAGAGTAAAACAAGAACATATTTTCAAAACAACGTCACATTTTTATATGCATGCTGGCTGTAGAATATGCTATTATAGAAAAGCAATTACATATTTTATCAAGTAACGAATATTTAACTGATCATTCAAATTAAGCTGGGAAAGATTTACTTAAAAAAGTAAGAGAACGTTATTCCACATAGGAGGGGGCATCTGGACACAAACAATAACTTTTCGTATGATTGAATGCGTGCGCCTGGGACACGACACGAGAATGTTGGGGGAGGTGGGGAGGAAATGATTTGGCATTTTAAGAATGAAATCAAAATCGATATTGAACCTAGCCTGGCAGAGCAGATGGAGTAATGGTACCGGTAATGTAATGCGTGCACTTTAGCCCTGGCGCCCTGATAAGCAAACAGCGGAGCTCAGGTCTGCTCGAACCAGCTCCGTGCAGGAGCTTCCACGGCGTTGGCCGCTGATACGAATCTCACTCGCGGCGCGTCTGCTCCGAGCGCCCGACCTCCGGAACAAACGCTCGCGTGGCATTCACAGGAACGATTGACGTGGCCGTGACGCCCATGGCGACAAGGTGTCCCTTTGGTGGCCAGGTACCGAAACATTTCCAGGGTCAACTGAGCGCCACCCAGAGTAGATAAAGTGAGCGCCAACTTTGCGCTCAGTAATAATGACAGCAGTGGAAACATTAACACGTTTTGATAATTATTAAGTTAATGGAGTCGACCTAGGGGAGGCCTAGGGCCGATTAAGATATTCGTCACCGGTGTTGGCCATGAGCGGGAAATCGAACTCGGGTCGCGAGGTTAACAAGCGCAGCGTGCTAACAACTGTGCCACTGCTTCTACCCCATTCACAAGGCGGCAATGACCAATATGGCGAACAGCACAAAGACATTTATGCCAATATCATAAATGTCTTTGTGCTGTTCGCCTTTTGGTGTCTGCTGGTCTAACACTG